AAATAAATAAATAAATAAATAAATAAATAAATAAATAAATAAATAAATAAATAAATAAATAAATAAATAAATAAATAAATAAATAAATAAATAAAATAATCGATTTTAATATAATAATTTAAATTAATATAATAATTATTTTAAACGTAAATTAAATTTATAATTGTTAAAAAAACATTAATTAAATTAATCGTAAAATAAAAGTTTAAATTAATTTAAAAAAATAATTATTTATTATATATATATATGGTTTTTTATATAAAGTAAAAAAGTTTACATTAAAATTAATTACTTTAATAATTAATTAAAAATTATTTATAACGTTAATTAAAAACCTCGTTAATATAACAATTATTTATTATTTATATTTATAAAAAAATATAATAAAAAAATTATTTTATATTTTTTAATAAATTATATAACGTATATAATATAATATAATTTATAACTTTTATTTTTATAATTATAAAATTTAAAATAATAAATATTAAAACTATAAACATTTTTATGTTTTATGAAAAATGCGTAACTTTTAACTTTATACGTAAAACTTTAACATAAAATACAAATGGAAAATAAAATCCGAAAACGTAACGGTTTATTTTAATAAATTTAAACCATAAATTTAAAATCGTTTATACGGTTATACTTTTTTTAACCACATAACTTTTTAACCAATTATAATTTTAATATAATTTTAAAAACAATTTTAAATTTTTGGTTTAAAGTAATTTAAATAATTTTTATTATAATTAATTATTTAATATTAAAAATAATAATAATATTAACGCGTTTAAAATAAATTTTAATTAATTTAAAATATTTATTAATTTTATTAATTTTATTAATTTTATTAATTTTATTAATTTTATTAATTTTATTATTAATAAATATATGCGTTTTAAACGTTTAAATATACATGTTTTAAATGTTTTAAACGTTTTAAAATAATGATTAATTATAATATACCGGTTATAATATTAATTATAACGTTTTTAAAAATATATTATTAATTTAAACGTTAAAATTTATAATATTATAACGTAATGTTATATATATATGTAAAATAACGGAAAAGTTTAAAAAACCATTTTATTAATTTTAAATTAAAAAAAAAATTATACGTAATTATAAATATATATATAAATATAAATATTATTTTAATATATTATTACGTGTTTTTAAACGTTAAAACTTATAATATTATAACATAATACCGTGTAAATATGTAAAAAAAAAAAAAAGTAAAAAAAATAAAATATTAACTTTAAATTATAAAAATAAAAGTTATTTTATACGTTATTATTAAATATTAAATTATTATAAATATAAAATTTAATTTTTAAAAAAACTTTTTAAAATATAATTAAATACGTTAAATATATTTTAAATTAAAATTCGTTAAAACTTAAACTTTATATTACTTTTTTAAGCCTTGGACCCACAAATACAATAACACGGGCCAAGCGTTTGTGTAACGCTTGTGGCGCCGCCGGGTGTTAACAAGCGCAGCCCGCCAATTCAACGAATTCTAGTCTGAGTTTACTGAGATAAGTGGCGGCCGGTTTTCAGAGTAATTATAAATCCGAGCTTCAAAAGCGGTACACTACATGTGGACTTTGCCGCCTTCTGCTGCTGACACTAAATGCCAATACATAGGGTTTGTCCGATCGGGAGGATGACTTTGAGTGGGAGGCTGCATGGGTGCTAAACGATATTGACTACAGAGTTGCCGAGCTCATCCCAAACCGCAAGGGCTTAGGTCTTTCTATAGTGAGAAATGCATGGTTTGATGCCCCGGTTAATCTGATACAACTTGTTGAAGACTAAACAGCCGTCGATGAGCCATTATACGGTCGCCACCGTGGTCTAGATATTGATATTGACCGCATCCTCTCCTGGTTCCAATGGTGCCAGTGGGAACACAGCGACAACTGTTCGGCTGCCTTCCTCCAAGTAACCCAGCGGTCTGTTCCAACACTGATGATCGATGTTATTGCCGTTACCGTTGCACTTGGCTTTCGCAACCTGTGGATCGATTCACTATGCATTATACAAGACCGGGTGAAGGAAAAACTTAACCTTATCAACGCAATGGACTCGATATATAGTCAAGCCGCTTTGACTCTTGTGACTGCAACCGGAGATACTGCGCACTCAGGTTTGAGTGGCTGGTCAAGAGAGTCTCGGGAGGAAGTGCGGGAGTTAACCGCGACCGTTGCTTCAGATCTGACAATAAGAGTTATTGCCCCCATGTGGACATCTGATTGGGTACAGAGAGGATGGACGTAAGTTTACCAACCTCCCGTCTGCTTTATAATTTCATGCTAAGTAGTTTCTGGCTCATAGTTACCAGGAAGGTGTTCTATCTAATCGCTGCTTAATATTTCTCGAAGGACAAATCTACTTTATGTGTCGAAAGAATCTTTGGCGCGAGGATCTAGTAGGAGGACTACCGACAACTAACTTCTCAGGCTCTCCTTTCCTGGGAAGACCCGACGAAAATTGGAATTCATCTCCCCAGCCAATTCTTGAAGAGTTGATTGGATATTATTCACCACGAATTCTGACCTTCCCAAGCGATATTGTCTATGCATTCCGGGGTATCGAAAATGCGATTGGTCCTGCAATTGGTGGCACACAGTTCTTCTTTGGACTCACGTCTTGTGCTTTCGACGCCTCGGTGTTATGGGCAAAGAAGTCCAGAAACGAGGTACTCACTCGTCGCCCAGGAGCTCCCAGCTGGAGCTGGATGGGCTGGGAGGGAGCAACTTCGTATCTTGGTACATCCTATTTCACCGATGAAATATATTGGCTCACGACCCGGACCAGGGTAGACTGGTATATCGTGGATAGTTCTTATAACCTCATATGTGTCTCGGATTTTACAAGAGACACCATCATTGACAATCAGAGCTCCGAAGGAGACTTAAACCTTCAAGACAAGCTACAACCTATATGGCGCTACGGTCATTGTTCAAAAGACAACCCCTTTGGCCTGTTCAAGAAAACCTCCTGCCTTAAATTCATCTACGGTGCCTAGAGGGTTTCCCTATCTCGCATTTGTGACTGCCCATTCCATATCCAATGTGAGAGTTGTCTCCCTACATAGATATATGCGACAAGGACGGTTTAGTCTGTGGCACATTAGGGGACTATTATGTCTCCGATATTCCCTCTCCCGACGATGGCATGAAATCCGTAGAGATTATAACTATATCCTATGCAGACGAAGGTCTCACTCATTTCTTTACAGCGGACAAGAATATTAAAGAGATATATGGGGAGTTTGAAGTAGAACCTCTCCCAACCATCGCTTTTAATGTTTTAATGTGCTAGTCGTCGCACCCCATACACAGAAACAAGGAATTTACGAGAGAGTTGGATCCGAGTTCCTCCTCAAAGATGCCTTATTCCGGGGATTGGAGCCCCCTACTTGGAGGCAAATTGTATTGGGTTGAGGGTTTTTTTCTCTCTCTTTGAGTATGAAGCCTTTAGCGCTTCCCCTTGTGACCCACGCCTCGGGGATTGATATATAAGGAATGTCCTTCTACCTCATTAGAATATATGTTTTGGTATAGTACTGAACTTTGATAAAAATGTTCGTATTTCTTAGTCCGACTTTGTACGTACAACTTTCATTTGCAAGGCCTACTTGACCATACTTCTTCACCTCAGCATTTATAATTGTCAATTAACGTATACGACGTTACACCCTGTATAACATACATCGTAATTTAACACATTACCCCGACCATTGCACTGCATACCACTACCACTTGTCCTGTGGTTACTTTGCAAACCCTCTCAATACTTAATTCTCACAGAGAATAACCCGTTTTACGCAAACCAATAAAATATTACCATCCAAAACAGCCCTCAAGCGTTCCATCACGAACTTATGCTGTCTCACGTTCGCTCTTGGTGGCACGGAACTGGCGTCCCTTCTCAGACCAGGGGAAGTGGAAGACGGGGATGACGAAGAAGGAATTGCTGCGATAATGTTAGTCGTGATTCTACGTCTAGGACAAACATAGTTAGGCGCATACCTTGAGTCGGCAATACCAGCGAACGCGTTGTACCAGCCAAGGAATGCGGCAAGCAGACCAAATCCACCGCCCGCTTGTGTCAACATCACAGCCGAACCCGCCGCGCCGTTAGACTTCGCGTATTCAGCACAGGCGAGCATGAGGAAGGCGAGGTCGAGGGTAAAGAATAGCATGAAGAACATAACTGTAGACCTCAAGGTGCACAGAAGTAGGATGAAGGTGAATATGAACCAGCCCGTCAAGAAGAAACCAAGCGCGGACGCTGTCTGGGCTTCGTCTGGGTAATTGGCCAAGGCCTCGAAGCCTGGGGTCAGGGCGATAGCGTAGGAAATCCAGAAACCACCGTAGGATGATAGGGCGGTGGCACCGAAAGTGTTGCCTACAGCCATTTCCCTGTATCACGGGTTAGCAGGTGACGATAGCGAATGACGGGGTCGCATCATTGTACTTACCACATGCCAGCCAGCAGCTGCACGAGGCCACCATATCCGTATGCCAGCGTCAAGGCGATATTAGGTATGGCGATGCCACGCGCGTTGACGTTGACGAGAGATAGGACGAAGGTAGTCATGGCGAAAGCAGAGAGACCAAGAGGTGCAGGGTTGGCGAACTTGCGATGCTCGGTAGGCTTGTACAAACCGGGTTGAAACTCACCACCGAAGGCAGGGAGTCTGGCGTCGGGGCCGGAATGGGCGTGATAGAGCGGGTTGCCGCCATAGTCGTAACGTTGGGTGGTAGATGCGCCGTTGAGCTTCGCGCCGGTGGTGGTGCCGCCGTCAATTTCCTTCTCGGCGGTAGGCGCGTGGTGCAATTCGGTAGAGGCCATCGTGAGTTGGTGAACGGTAATGATGGAGCCTACGTAATAGATTCCGAGTTCACGATGCGCAACTAAAATAAAAAAAGCAAAAAGGGTCCTAAAGCCGGCTGGGGAACGGGGAGAATCTCGATGGTTTAAATAAGAGCATGGAAAGGTCCCAAGCGGTGGGGAATGGTCTGGGGGTAACCGGGGGCACGGAGGAATAGTAATAAATAATATAGGAGAGGTAGGTCGAGTAACTCTAGTAACTCGAATAGCTCTAGGGTTTGATAAATCTAGTCCTCATGCAGGTAGAATGCAAAGAGAACCAAAGAACCAAGCCATCCGGCCATCAGCCATGCAGCCATGCACCCGGTGCAGTGGGGAAATAAGAACAAGGATTGTTGTTTTACGTATTTTCACTCCACCTCTTTCCCCCCTCCGACTCCTCATCAGCTTTGCAAATCGTATCTTGCATCTAAGTATTTATTATTATGTACTAACTATGGTATAATAGGGTAGACAAGGGGCACTTCTTAGCTTTTGCACTTCACATTCGGGGTAAGCTACCCCAGTTGCCCAGAATATGCCCAGAAAATGTCTTCACTTAGACTAGTTAATAGCTACTAGGTTAGCTACCAATAGATTGGGTTGCATTGAGATACCTTTTCTGTATAGGTTGCAACGTTGTTGGATGAAAAGATAAATTTCACATACATACATCCATGTATGTAGTAACATAAATTGGCTTTGGGATGAAAAAATTACCTATTAAGAAACTAAAAGATTAACGTGCGTAGGGGTGCGCAGCAGAAAAAATGGAATAAAAATGGAAAAAATTGGATGTAATAGACCAAGTGGTATCGTTTCCCGCTCCAGCGGACGCTCCAGCGGAACTTCTACTCCCCTTTTTCTTACAAATGCTGGTAATGTCATGCAGACCGTTTTGAATGGGGTGACTTTAGCGCTAAGAAGAAAGGCTCAGCTTCTGGAAAAGTAGTGATCCGGAACTCTATTACATATACAGATTAACAGCTGGACGCGTGAAACTGGGGTTAAAGCTTAGTTTGGCAAGTCGTTGCTTTCGAGAGGGTCGTGATCCCTGTTAGTCTTCTGCTACCATTCGTAGCGCCTTTTCCCTGCCGCGCCCGGAGAAAAGGGACGAGCTTCCATTTGGTCCACCCCCATCCTTTCATTTTTATTTTATTTCCGTGAGGTAATCTGTTGAGAAGAGCCGCCTGGCTGAATAATTTAAAGATAGTCCCGGGTTGCGGAGTTTATAACTATTGCGCGGCCATCCCGCGATATTAGTTTGTTTGGTTAGCGACGGAAATATTAGAAATCTTGCAAGAATATGTACATCTCTCCCATATAACAATTGTTATAAGCAGACGTGATATCTGACGTCTGTCTACATAAGAAGATGATGGAAAAGAGGGACAATGCAACTCTATGCAATCAAGCAAGTCAAGGGTGATAACAATAAAAGTGGTACGCCACGGGTCACTGAGAGGAGCCGCATGTTGTTCCTTCAAGATGTTTCTTATTAACTACCTAAAGTTAAAGGTTGCCTCGTAGTTGAAATTAGAGATTACCTACCACGTATATGCAGTTTGTAGAAGAAAATATAGTAACTCGGTGAGAGGTTTGATTATAGCTTGCAAACTTGTTGTATATAACATCTAACTGCGACAGTAATAGTAAAATTGGCTAATTTAGATCAGTAGTTTTCCCCCTCCCCATACGGATTAATGTAGTACTGGCATTATATTTTTATCATTATTATTCGGTCGCCAGTCGTAGGGAAGTACATACGCAGTACAATAAGCAAACAGGATAACACATGCATAGGTACCTATCTCATATAGCTTACGATTGGCTACGTTTAATTCCTATGTCAGCACTATCGTCCGAATATCCCTTTCCCGGTTCATTCGTCCGTTGTAATCATCGTAATTTCAATTTCAAATCAGTTCAGCCTTTTGCTGACGCAACAGACGCAACAGACGCAAGAGCCGGCCTGTACAGTGTAGAACGACAAACCGCGACGCTGGCTCGGGTTCATGACTTGTGATCTCATCTTTACGGAATAGTGTGTAAAATGTCCGCACCCGCACGACAACAACAGCCATCCCGGCTGCTGACCCGAGGCTCTAGATACTCAGATCTTAGTCCATGCGCTACTGTTGTCATTGGATGAAAGGAACGACAAAGTCCTAAGGCATTGTACCAAAAACGCATGAGTATCAGCTCACAAAGAGGACTAATCCCCCACAAGAGCGGGGGAAGCCAACATTTCCCTTCATCCTCCTCCACCATCGTGATCTCCAAGATTCGTCCAAGACTCACCATCGTGCTCAATAGTTAACTCTCACCGCCCCGACGTGGTATGTCATTGGCAACTGGGAACTGTACTATACGGCCACTTAACTTAATAAGGTTGTTCCTTTGGTGCGACTGCCATGGCGCAAGCTCGAAGAGAACCCCAGGATCTTCTAGATGCAGCAGATCTACACGCCACGCGATACGAGCATTGCTTGGCCGCTCGTAGCTTGCCTTACCCCGGATTGTAACCCCACAAATCCACGGTGCAGAGGAACCTGAGGGCAACACGTCATATGCGTGTTGGTCTGCACATTACCGATATACTGTGGTTCATAATCTTTCAAAGCTGTTAGATTCTCACAAGTTCCGCGGAAGAAGACTACAATTACAAGTGACGGGGAAATGATTAAATACCAATCTTACTATCCGGAGAACACATCCGGAGCTCCCGGTTCAATGCAATATCCGGGGCATTACAGAGTAGCATCTACAGGATGTCAAAATTTAGACCCCTGTGGCCTTTTGCTCAGCCAGTCGCCGAATCAGAAAAGGGTGATTATTCCTTGCCAAGATCGACTACCACGTCCACTCAAACAGGTTAACGAGACAAAACTTCTTATGACTGATAATATATGCCCGTTTCTATTTATGTAGAAAGTAAATGCTTAAGTGTCTAATATCGATCTACTTGTAACAGGTTACTCCGCATAGCACTCACCCACTTCGAGATGCTTCCTGGCACCATCCACGTGCATTTAAGCCTCATCTCGGCGTCAATACGGCATAACACTTTTGGGGTCTGTGACAACAAATGTTAGGGCACACTACTGATAAAGAAAAGACATGCGGCTCGATAATAGACGGATTTCCCCGCCGCGAATGAGTTGTGGCATTGACATTCAACAAAAATCGAAGAATCTAAACTTGCGGTGAATCCGTTGGCATACAATACGGTCGATAATTGCCCTGTAGGAAGGAAAAGGGGTGATGTAGTCTATGTCGACCTTATGGGTTAGTCGCATGATATTAACCGGCCATGCCGTGTGCTAGTTTAATGCCTATCCTCTCGTAGTAGAGCTATAACTTGATACATTTACCCGTTTCAGTATTACGGGAACGGGCACGTTCTCAATATTTCAACTTAAGTAAAGGCTTGCAACATCGATTTAGGGGATTGCATAAACTCATGCAGCTTGAGTAGAAGCTGTAGCCACTACCCTTACTGTGGAAGATACACATCACTTCTACACCACATGACTATATCAAGGGCCTAAGTAATAGACGATGCACTTAAGTTTCAGAGCACAGGTTAGTTTTACTATCTTTAACTAACTAGCCAAGGTTGCTAGTAGTAGTTTAGAGCTACGTTGGGAAGGTAAATAGCCCGCCAGGCCTATAGTAAAATGGGTCGCCACTAAAAAGAGACCTATAGAGAACACCACTGTACCTAGGAATCCCTCTTCCTTTATTTCCTCCCTTTTCATTACATGAGTATCTACAATAATCACGGGCTCGGAAAACGAGGTTCATATGATGTGGAGCCCCCCTGATCTCCCTGTTCGATATGCGTTGATGAAGTGCATGTAGAGCCACATATTGCATGGGTATACACCGGGCGAATGGAGATGGGACACTCTAACACAGTAGTTAGGATGCTAAACACGCTGCATCTACTTTATACAGTCCCCCTTCAATGGAAAACAGGTTGAATAGCAATGGCTACTCCGCCGACTCGGTGACGACGACATCTGGTTAGGAACGCAATCGATTATACACCTCTGGTCCAGAGAAAAGTCTTCGTGCAGTTGTATCCCTTTAAGTAGAAATCGAAGAGGGTCTACTGACCTCGCATCAATCCATAGACACATCCTCCCGATCCCTCTCAAACCCGCCAGATTCGTTCATATCCGGCATCCAACCCTTCGGCCGCTCATTACCCCGGACTGTGATACCGTATCCAACCCTCTCCACCTTCCGGACCTGCTCGATCATGATGTCCAACTTCTTGGCGTAGACGCTCGGCTTTCCGCCGGCGGGCGGACAGATCTGAAGCATGGAGCTTACATCTTGAAGATCGTTCAAGATAGTCCGATTGTCCGTAGAGCTTTTGGAGCTTGACCCCGGCATGCTTCCGCTTAGCGCGGTGACAGCAGTTGCGAAACGCATCATCTCGCCGGTTAGGTCGAATATACCGAATAGGTAGTCAGGGGCCGTTAGTGCTATGTCAGCTGGAAGGGCATCTTGGGCCTGTGACGGTGAGAGGAGCTTCTGGTGTTGGAGGTAATGAGAGAACGAGATTGCTTCAACAAATTCTTCCAGACATATCAACGGATAACGGTAGCGGTTCATTCCGGTTACGTCTGACTCGATGGTAGCTAGGTGCCCTGCTATCTCCTTTAGACGCTCATCGACGTCTGCTTGGATGCGAGGCGGGAGTGGCTGGTTCAGCTTGCGGACACTGCGAGATATCTGTTAGGGGTAAATGACTTGAATATTGACAGATATATTTACCGTTGCAGCGAGAAGATTCTATGATACTGTTAGCAATCAGGGATGAGGAAATAATTGGAATGCTCCCTAACTTACATCTTCTTACTGAGAGCTGTGACATCTCGGGAAACCTTCCCAGTCTTCATACGGCGATCATGATGCTCGTCCAATTCGTCGCGAAAAGACTCAAACATGGAAGTGTATTGGTTGCGAGGCATATCCCTAGTAGCCCTGCTGCTGTCCGCCACCTTTTCCTTTCCCTGATGGTCTCTCTTGATTCCACCACCCATGGCTCGACTCTGATTCTGGGGGACGATTACTTCAGACATTCCTCTATTTTACCAATTCTCAATTCTCTAATTCTTTTGGAAAGTTGTGACAATGTCCAATTGTATATCAGGTGACGTACTGAAGTACATACATCTAAAGTTCCACAATCTAAACTTTTATCTTTGATTTATCGATACATGTACCTAGGTACTAAGGTACCTTAGAGCTACATAGGCAGCTGACGGTAGCTTATGACCTATTGTTTCACCGAAGATATGCCGACTCTCATTAACAGTCATTTTCAACCTTGAACTTGACAACATTCTTATCTTTTGTCTTTTGTCACCGGCAACCTCTAACTTTTGCATCTCTTTTATTATATGAATGTATTACTGGGTATACTTTCTATAATTCTCGCATGGGCCATGTTCGAGTCTGATGGGCGGTTAACACTTGTATTAAAACCATCACTCGGACAGTGTTGAACAACTCGTTCTACTCCCACAAGTGCTGGCCACTTCTCTAACTTTCCGGGTTACTTAGTCTACCTCGGAGTAGACTTCTCTGCCGGGGTAAAGGCATCATATCCGAAGAAGAGACTATCTGTACGTCTCTGCGTTGAAAAGATGGCGTCGCAAGTTGGGGCTCTCATCTCGCGGCCCCTCCCTCTCTTCGCAGCTGCAACTATACTCCGCGCTGCCATGCTATTATACGGCCTATGGCAAGACGCCAACTCGCCACTTAAGTACACAGATATCGACTACCTAGTGTTTACGGATGCCGCACGTTTCACCTTTGCGTCTGCGTCCGCGTCGCCATATACTCGGGAGACCTACCGCTACACACCCCTTTTAGCTTGGCTCTTGTACCCAACTACATGGCCTGGTACCTTCTGGTTCTCATTTGGCAAGGTGCTATTTGCCGCAGCTGATATCATAGCTGGTTATTTGATTATCTGCGTGCTGCGAGGACCGGCCGTGCGCATGTCTGAAGATCGTGCTTGTAGATATGCGAGCATCTGGCTGTTAAACCCCATGGTCGCTACTATCAGCACAAGGGGTAGCTCTGAGGGACTTCTCGGAGTGTTAGTTATGGCTCTGCTATGGGCCGTGCTTGAGAAGAGAGTCACGCTTGCGGGCGTACTGCTGGGGCTAGGTGTCCATTTCAAAATCTATCCCTTTATTTATGCGCCAGCCATTGTATGGTGGATGGATGCTCAGCAGATGAGTGGGAGAACAGACGCTCAGATTCAAGCAAAGAAGGATGGCCAGAGTCCGACAAAGCCGACAGCATTGCTAGGTAAATTCATAGCATTTATTACGCCCGATCGTATCTTGCTTGCAATTGTTAGCTTGACCACGTTCTTAGGCTTGAACTTTGTCATGTACGCACTTTACGGGATGCCATTCCTCACTCACACGTTTCTACATCACGTTAGCCGGATCGACCACCGTCACAACTTTAGTCCATACAACATCCTACTCTACCTTACTTCGGCGCATCCAAGCACTGCCCTAATCAAAGCCGAGTCGGTGGCATTTTTACCGCAGCTGGTCTTATCAACGGTTCTAATTCCTATAGTTGGAGCCAAGAAGGACCTACCAACCACTATGTTGGCACAAACTTTCGCCTTTGTTACCTTCAACAAGGTCTGCACGAGCCAGGTACGTTCATCTCTTAACCCTTCCATCGCACTATACCGAGTTCCTGCTTCATATTATAGACCTTCCTTGTAGACCTTTTAATAATATAGTCTTGTGTACCCCTAATCCATCGTATACATAGCTAATACTTCTGAGTAGTACTTTCTTTGGTATATGGTCTTCTTACCTTTATACTTACCAAAGTCCTCGTTCTTCCGTAACCCGCGACTTGGCCTATTAGCTCTCAGTCTCTGGGTCGCAACTCAGGGTCTGTGGTTGCAGCAAGCCTACAGCCTTGAGTTTCTTGGTATGAGCACATTTATCCCTGGCCTCTGGACATCATCTCTGGCCTTCTTCTTGGTGAATTGCTGGGTCTTGGGGATCATCATTGGCGATCTAGACTATAGTCCCCAACATGAGAAGAGTAGTTAATGTTAATAATGGTAAGCGGCGAGGAAGTTGGTAATACATGTATACCTATTACTCTTTGTATTGGTCTTGTCTAGTAAGTGGAAATGGAGGTGCATTCGGAACCGGTAATTTCTATGCATAATTGGGTCTAGAGGATACGCTATCATATAATTATTTTATATATTAATACCTCGAAAGAGGTGATTTAATACTGGATCGACTTAGACCATATATGAATTTATATTCTATCATCATTACACCTGTCCGCGCGATAAACTGCATTGCTGAAACATCTGAGAAGAGACTCGGTACGCCGGTTGATAGAGAAAGCCATTGCAATGGGTATTATTCACTTCCTGAGAGTTCAAACCTGTTCTTCCCCTCCTAGAAACTAGATAAGCATCCGTCTACACATGCCCTCCCCTAGACTACCTTAGGTACATAAGATACCAACATCAAGCACCGCGTCGATTGCGCAGCCTCGTTACATACTTATGATCTCTATATGAGCACCATATGTACCGGCCTTCCATCCTATGGACGAAGGACCGCCTTCCCTGCACCTATACATAGAGCAGGGCATCATCATATACCTCGCTAGATTATGCCATTATGCCAGCAGAAAACCCCTCTACCGCATGCGTCATGATCATCTAGTCGTGAAACGACATTATAACAACATCGAGGTTTCACACGATTGAGATACCACCTGAAAGCATGGCGTAGTTGGCTAATTTAAGGGAGAGCACCCGTGATTTCGGAAAGTCTGGGTTAATAACCAATCGACCATCCTTATTATAGCCTACCTCCCCAAAGCTGTCCACCATCTCCTCGAAGCGGATATCGGGGCGCACACGATTAATTTCTGCCACGATGTCCTCGCTCCATACCCCAGAGCACCAGCCGTCCTTAATCATGAAATAGGGGTTAAGAGGCGGGACAGGCGAGTCTGAACGGAACCGGTCAGCACGAAAAATTTAACGGCAGATAGAATACATATACTTACCAAGATCAACATATCGGATCCGTAGAAGTTCTACAGACTTTAAGCGCTCCAGGGCCCGGATCCCACCCAGTACAAGCTGCTCAAAAGCCGCAATAAAATGTATGTCAGTAATGCCCGAACCCGACTCGTTCCACTGGGCATTCTGCCGGCAACAATTCTTGACGGTGATATCAATAGTCTTAAGTCTCGTAGTGCGAGGATTTGAATATCTCGAGAGCACATCGAAGAACCCAAAACAGACACGGCCGGTATAAGAGAAGTGCTCCAGATTACTTGCAGCTTTTGCCATTTTCTCACACCAGTGAAGCTGCTCACAAACTTTCATATAGTAAGGAGGACATGCCATTTCCCTCCTATAGTCACACTCAAGGCAGAGATTGAGACTAGTAATTTTTGTATCGAGGCACTCAAGAGTGCTTGCCATACTAAGATAGCTCTTAGATTTGGGTTTGGCATAAGTCCCGTGCCATTCCTCCAAGTTCGGTAACGCGTGGGAGATGACTTCCCAATCCTTCGGCTGCCGAATGATGTTCCACTGGCCCTTGACAATAAGCGTTCGAATCGACGAAATTTCTGGTAAATTTCTGGTGACCCATGCGGGTCCGGCCAAGTTGAATTTCACCCGTGGCGCCTTTTTTCTTTCTCCGCCCTCAAGCGTCATTACCCGCGCTTCGGGGAATTGCATGCTCACGAGATAGAATACTTCTTCGAGCGTAGAGTTGTCAGTTGGTAGTGCATATGTTGCGCTTGCGATTCCCTCGGGAGAGACGGTTGGCAGGGCGAGGGACATATCCCCCGGTGTTGTGGCATGAAACTTGGGTTGGAACACCGGAAACCATATCTCGATATGCTTTACATAGGTTCGAAGGTGAGGATGGCATACGAAAAAGGCCATAACTTCATTGCTGCAGTGTACTGTTGCTTTTAGCTTAATATGTCGATAGAGCCGTTGCTGAATCAGATCCCTCCATAAGGGACAGACGAGGGCTAGGTTAGACAACTCTTTCCTTCTCGAATGTCGTAACGCAGTACTCCAACTTCGGGCGTTCATGCTGGGAATGTTGAGAGAACTTGGTGATGTAGTGGAAACCCGATACCCAAATATGTGGTCAAGGATACATTCGTGGATCTCGGCTGGTAATTGGGCTAGGGTTAAGACAGGATTTTGTTCGACAATAACCGGAGTGGAAACTGGGCTCGAGGCCAGACTATCGTCAGATTCGGGGCAGTATGGTTGGCAGGTTAAGCAGCGAATATCGGTTTGGCCCTGCTGAGCATTGGGGAATGGAGTGCTACTAGGACGCGTTGGAGGGACGAAATCGGTCGACTTGGGCGGCTCGAGAGGCGGGCTTGTAGGCCCAGGTGTGACGGGTGTTGATGTAGTGGTCATGATAGCGGCTAATTCGACCGTTGCGGTGCCCTCATCTTCATCCTCGTCCCGGTCGACAGACATATCTCTCTGCAGGTACGGTTCTCTTGGGAGATGAAGACTCTGAGAGTGAGCCTCGAATGCAGTAGCAGGGATAGCGTCTCCATTATGAAAGGAAGCAGACTCCCTAGTGCCCACCATGATCATTTTGAACTATCAAAAAGATTCGGACAACTACGAGATGGGATCGTTCATGACCTGTATTGTCGAGATTCCGCCGACTACCTAAACACCTACCTCGGGGCTCGGGTATGTTTCGGTGTGCTAAGTAGAGTTGGTGTTTAAGCGCATTCAGCGAAAGAATATCGGTGGTGTAAGAACTGACGATTCGAGCGAGATGGTCACAGAAGTAATCAACTGAACAAAGGAGAGATTGTTAAAACACCCAATTTCGGCGCTGATAGTTTGTCTAGCTGAATAGAAGGTAGAAGGGCTATAGTAAGAACCACGAGGGATGTTCCCTACGAGGTGTGTGATCTGACTTATGGACGAATCGTAAGGATCGCGTTTAGAGAAAGATCGGGCAAAGGTCGATATAATCAGGGTTAAATGGAAGCGAGTCGAGTGGTGGCAGAAGCAAAATGGTAAAGGACCACGTGCAACCGAGTGGTAATTGCGGTATGGTGATTACGGTGATTGAAATCGCTTGGTATGCCGTGATTAGATTCAAGTCTTTTATGGTTCGTTCTAACCTAGGTATACCTCACGAGTTGGAATTTTCGGGTTGGTGGTTGGAGTGGGAGATTTCAATTTTCGGTATGGTACGAGGTGTATGGTACAGGTCATGGGAGTTGTCGTCGTCCGTTTTCCGATGATGCAAAGAGGACGTGGACAGATTTGCCGGGGAGGGGACTTTTACATTTCGCGCCGTCAAAGTCTTTTGGGTACCTAATGTAGGTACATCGGACTGTAGCAGTTTGAGTGTAGGGTAACTGGTACCAGTTGGAGGTAGCGCCTGCATTGATACCTGGGTTTCTAGGTAATTACCAGGTACCTATTACCAGATAACGTGCCGTTATCACCCAGAGTTCCAGACATGTTTATCACTACGCTTATGACAACGCATACTTCCATTTTTATTTTTATTTTGGGGACCCAACCGTAAAATTAAATAATAATGTCAGCATCAATGTATGCATCTTGACTAATATGTATCTTTGAGTTTGGTATTCCTCACACTCTTTTCTCTTAACATATACCTATTTCATTAAGCATCTCTTACCCCTCTATATAATATCGTGAGATAAGTTCGATGCTTGTTTAATATGGACTTTTTCAATTTCCCTGTCCTATAATGTATTTACCTACATACATGTATGTAATATGTATGTCTATATGTATGTCGGTACAGGGAACGCATATTCGATGTGTTATATGTACTGCTACTCGTGCATATGTCTTCATGCAGCTTCGCAGGGCATTGGATTCCGCTAATCGTAACTCGCTGTTAGTCTTGATTCTTGATTGGCACAGCCGCCTTGTGGCATTAGCAACCAACCTACGTGTACGAACTACATATGCTACATTGTATATCTGTTGGCGCCTGTTGTTAAGCTTTGAGTGGACTAGGCACTTGCAGTAGATCTTCATTCGATGGCTTAAGCCAAGACCCAGTCTTGCCTGGGAGTGGATCCTATTTGATCGGGATTACTTGCATGACTGATTCTCTTTCTGGCCACCATTTAAATATTTGGTGTCTAGGGGCTCTGGACGAGTCGTGATACTACAAAACATGACATGTGGCGGCTGCTCTTATATGAATATCTGGCACTAGCTGCATGTTGCCGATTCAAAGAACAAGCTTATCGTCTTATAATTAGGTATTATGTATAAATTAATATACTTGATCTTTCCCCTCCCTTCCAAAGGGCTCACTCTAGCATATACGATTATCAGAGTATATATGCTACGACCGCATTCAATGCGAGATGTTCGCTAGTTAGTAATCTCAGGATTTTAGTTGACCTTTAACTCGTCGAGTGAGGTTACTTGAGCCTCCGGTTTCTTCAAGGTGGTGATTGGAATATCACGTGTCAAGGGGTCCCTTACATACATGGTTGTAAGTAGTAAGTGAGCGTACATATCTGATAGCAAACTGCATCGAGCGAGGATGGATGGGTAGAGTATTTATTACTTTATCTACTTACTGTGTAGGCTGGTAGAATTTGTGTTTGTTAATATCTATATTTATCGTAGTTAGGTATGCTAAAATCCTACCTTCCAGTTTGCGATGGCAAATACCCTATGCTTCCTAGACCCTTAATCGATAGCAGGTCGGCCATTTTACATATGTAACACAGCAGATCATTTATCAAGTGTGTTGTTTCAATTAACTTAAATCTAATATTCTGACCAACCAGAGCCTGATATTGCTGAAACGCCCCTTGGATGTGAGAATCCACTATTACTTTAAACGGCTTAACGCGGCAATCCCTAATAGTCCCTCAATATGTTTCTTATTTGCGGGTTCGGCTCCATCGGGCAGTTGAGTACAAAGTACGTCTTAAGGGTCGACCTTCCTGCGGTTTTGCGCTTTTGAACTTTAAAGAATCACATCTGATGTGATTCTTCATCCACAGTTAGAGCCGCTTTAATCTTCCGATGCTCCCTACCCTAGAACCTACGTAGGTGCGTTGGGTCTAGAATCTCAACCCATGATATATCTAGTATCATCAGTTTACCATTACACTGTACACAGTATGCTTAGAGAACGTTTTATTTAACCCGTTCCTAAATCCGTTAGTTCCCCCGAAATAGCATCACTCGCTAGGAGTAGCCGCACAATGCAAGATTCGGAAGGAATACTTGCTTCTACAAGGCTTCTCCGGATGTCTTCGGTGTACGGCGAACACGGCGGAGCCATCACCTACTTACGGTAGTTATGGCTCGGAGGGATCAATGACGACTTCGGATAAATCCGCCCCAATCTGTTATTGTAACCAGTTTGGTCGGTTCTACCAGCGATCATAGTCTACAGGTGGAAATGGTTCATATAGCTGCCACCTTTGCCGCAGTCGAGTTCATGCGCGCGGCTGAAGAATGGCGGGAACATCGCTCTATAATCCTAGAGGATCATATGAGTTGTAATTCTTAACAGAGGAATACGACAGGCGATGTGGACATCGGTAGCTGTCCTTTAATACGTATTTACAGGTCAAGATCGTACGAGAAGTTTGCGCTGTGGGTTTGCTAACAATAGTGACTTGGTTCTGACTGGTTACCAAGGTGTGGGGAGGCGGATTGGACGATTTCTTTTTTACGACTTTCTTCTCTTGGATGCAAAGAGACGCACAAAGATGCACTCGTTTCGATAACAGTTTATTATTGTTATTGATGCTGCAGCGCGATCGCATCTAGTTGACCCTGTTAGGTACTTTCCCAGCTTGGCCTGTCGCAAGGCCTTGTTTGGGATTGACGAACTGACGAGTATGCAAAAGTATGCGAAAGTATGCGCGAGGCGCATTAAGCCCCTGCATCTGAGGATCAACCGCGGCGGTCTAGGGGTTCACGTTTGACTTGGCGGTACTTGGCGCCTATGATGATTCCTGCCCATCCTTCTACAAACTGGGGTTATTTTGCTAACGTGTAAATTCATACGTCTAAAACGAGCCTCTTCGAAATCTTTTCTAGTTACTCATTACCGATTACAAGGCTAGTTTGCTCCATGCGTAAGGTCCCAGGCTGCCCAGGTCCCATACCTCTTTTAAGGGGTTGATCTTGATGGGGCGTGCTTTATGGGGTACGTTATTATTGTACCTACCTACCTATTGTATGATCCCGTATCTAATACCTATCTAGGTAGTTTATATGCGACCAACTGACAATCTTTTATTAAAAAGACAATGCCCTCTCATCTCTTTTTCGCTTTACCTTCTTGAGTTTGTTTGTCGTCTCTCAATTTCCCGCCCACGTTTTTTTCTTCTCGTATTTCTCCGGGTGAGAGTGGATCGTGAAGGTACATTTTTATTTGTCTTTGTTACTCTTTAACCTTGACTTACCTTCAACCCTCTACCTTTTTCGTTTCCGCACCACTCTCTTGAACTGAACATACTTCTTCTAAACTTTACTTTCGAATCGGTGATTCGATCGTAGCCCTTCATTTTTTAAAAAGTACATATCAAGCCCTCGGTTTTGTATCACTCACTAGGTGCTTCCAGCGATATCACAGTATTGGATCATTCTCGATTTGTCTGGTACAAAGAGAGTTGAAATAAGACAAATTAAAAAAAGCCAAACTCACAGCTTCATACCTAAATCGACAAAATGGCTCCAAGCATCGCTACCGTTCTCACCTCTCTCCTCGCCCTTGCCCCGTTGGGAGCAGTCGCAAGCCCTTTGAATTTATGGCGACCTTCTGCAACTGCGACGACTTCTTCAGATTCTTCAGCCACTTCAGACGTCGGTAAATTAATAGGTGACACTATAACCAACGCTGTGGCCGCCTTTGTCAGCAACCCAGGTGCAAAAGATATAGTTCCCAACTCATACATCGTCGTCTACCACAAGAACTATACCGACGATGAAATCGACCAACACCAAGCGTCTGTTAAGGTAGCCGTCAAGAAGCGCAACCTGAACAAGCGTGGGCTTGCCGGTCAGCTCCTCTCCACAAGAGTCCGTACATTCGCCATGTCAGGCTGGCGTGCTATGGCCCTAGACTCGGATGATCTCATGATGAGTGAGATGAACAACTTGTCTATGGTCAAGTACGTCGAGGCCAACACCTATGTCAAGTCCTCCCGCCTCGTGAACCAGGGAAACGCACCTACTGGTCTAACCCGTCTAAGCCATGCTAAGGCTGCAGGACAGGGCTACGTGTTTGACGATGCAGCTGCTGGCGAGGGTATCACGGCGTACATTGTTGATACCGGTATTATGGTAACGCACGAGGATTTCCAGGGACGAGCTGTTATGGGTTTCAATGCCGTTGAGGAAGAAGAGGTACAATATTAACCCCCCTTACTATAACGCTGATTTCAGCATGGCATTATGGCATCGTAGGACTCGGGCTAACGGTGTAACTATAGGCTACGGATTTGAACGGTCACGGTTCTCACGTAGCAGGTACAGTCGGCGGTGCTACATTCGGAGTGGCGAAGAAAGTGCAGTTGGTTGGCGTCAAGGTCCTAGATGCCCAAGGTGGTGGTACTAACGCCGATGTGATCGACGGTCTCAACTTTGTTGGTTCGGACGCTAAGAAGGGAAAGTCTGTGATGAACATGTCTCTTGGTGGACCCGCTTCTCAGGCCGTCAACGACGCCATTGAGCGCCTCTTTTCCAATGGTGTTGTTCCGGTTGTCGCCGCCGGAAATGAGGCTCAGGATGCCACCAATGTCTCCCCCGCAAGCAGCCCCAATGCCATCACTGTCGGTGCCATCGACCAGACCAATGACCAACGCGCTAGCTTCAGCAACTTCGGTAGCTTTGTCGATGTCTATGCTCCTGGTGTCGACGTCGAGAGTGTCGGTATTTCTAGCAACAACGCTACTGAGACACTGAGCGGTACTTCCATGGGTATGTTTCCCCCTAATTCCTGATCAATATGGGATCAATAGCTATCCGAAGAAATATCTAACAAATATTATAGCATCCCCGCATATCACCGGTCTCGCGGCCTACCTTATGTCCCTCGAGGGCCTCACTGATGCTACTGCCGTTTCGGACCGCATCAAGGAACTGGGTGCTGCTACAGGTGCCACTGTCGGACGGAATGTCAAGGGCACCACCAATGTCATCGCCAACAACGGCAACCTATAATTCAGTGCGTGATGTTCTGCACGTCTGATTCCCGGAGTGCTTCGATTCAAAGTTGGAGGACCTCACCCTATCGCTTTCTACACGTACCTCATCCCAGCACACATTATTGTCAGCATCTAGCGAAGCATGAATTCAATACTACATATAGCGATTTTTAACGAGGCGAACGTTGCGCCTTGTTTATACTCATTTTTATTTCTCATCTGGGAAGGATATATACGTGTGGATAGCGTAGCGAGATGTTATGCTTAAAATAGATGAGCGACCATGCATTATAGAGAAGATGATAAGATGTTCTACGGACGGGCTAGCAGTTCAGGCGATTTCTTGTCGCTGCACCAATATTGTGTATATTTGGGCCGGTGGATATTTTATCAGTATATAATCAACTTTCAGCAATATAATATATGTTCACACAAGTTCCCCCCAGTATGATTTCAGCGAGATTCAAAAATAGGCGTAACTCTGTATGATTCATTGCCCCTTTCTAATCCATAACGGAACTGCTATAATGCATATTACAAGCAAATAATTTCAAGGCCTTACGAAAAGCGGACGTTACTCGGCGAGTGGATATCAGGGTAAGCGATGGTAATATATAATACGAGCCCGCGCAGTCCCGACCTCCAAAGCCGCCGCCGCCAAGCGACTCTCGGGGCTTACGCAATACGTTGCGGGACGTGAGACAGAATATTGAAGCCAAGATGTTAGTTTCTAAGGTCCTGAGACTGTTGAGGATGAAACATATCTTGGCAAGCCCGCCGCCACCGTCTCGAACATATTCCACCAATCAGTTGGTTTATCGTCTGTATCCTGGGAACAGATCGTGAGACAAGCCTTACCGTCATATAATGTCATGTTCATCGCGGTAAGCTTGTGTATCAGTGTTTAATCATTTGCCTCATGGACGCTTACGTCGGCTGCGTTTCGTGGCTAGTTAGAAGTCGTAGTCAGATCATCATGAACAAGATGTTGTGTCAAGTAGTTAGGTAGTATTGAGACCTGTAGTAAACACCGAGACTTATACACGTACATATAGTTAACGCCTTCTAATCTTCCCCGTCTTCTCTTGGCACGTATCTCCGAGGCATCATACGAGGACAGCCTATCGTGACATCGCGTAGTACCCGGCCTAGACAGCATAACTAATAGGAAACTTAATCGCACACCAAGTAACACCATAAACGCAATATCACAAATGATCCCGCTTCACCTTCTTCTTCGGCCTCAAATCCTCCGAGTACATCTTGAAGAAATCTGTCGGCTGTGCCGGGTGGTTCCCCGTGACGTCGTGGAACGCCGTCGTCGCGATGTGCTCTCGCGTACCAGGCTGTAGTACTCAGGGAGGTACTCCTTCTCCGACTTGTCGACCTCAGAAGCTTGTGCCTTGAGGACTTCCCTTGTTTCCGTTCTTGGTGGTTTTGGCGTTTAGTCCCTCATGCTCGAGGTGGCTATACGGCAAGGTCGTTCAGAACACGACTTACTACTAATGATCATTATCTACCCGTAGTACCTGTTATCAAAGCCGTGCGAGCCCTTACTCGACAAAACGTGGGTGGCGGCCTAGGCAACATCATATACGATATAATGATATATAAACAATGTTGGGATTCATACCTCGAGAGCCACTGGGGCAAATTTATGTTCTTCCCAATGGGAAGCGCTGGACTGCCCTCGGACTGTGCTTGCGGCGTATAGAGCAGTATATTCTTGACATAGAAACCCGCTCTGGCTTACCGCGACAAGCACACACTTACCTGATCACGCAGGGCGCATGTCCAAGCGGAGCCGACGGGTCCCCCTTAGTAGACAGGACCAAACTCTCAAGCTCGATGAACTCCCTCTGATGAGCAGCACGTTCTATATGCCAGCCTTCTTAGCGGCCTGGACTAGTTCGACGCAGATATCATGCTTGTCCTTATGCGCCGGCGGAACTAAACAGATAGTATCGCAGCCCGTCTCCTTGAGCGTATTCGCCATGACCTTCTCTCGTCAGGGAACATGATGACCGATTTTAGCACCGAGCAATTGTAGCTTCTTTACATGATGGTGTCGGGGGTGTAGTGTTAGGCCTACCACCGAATCCACCTTGCCGATGCCCGGATATTCGTCTTGTCGAAGCAGTAAGTTGGCAATTAAATGGCCAGTTTGGCCCTCCGCACCCATGATACATACGTTTCGTGACATCGTTACGCGGTTGAGGGTTTTTAGCAGGTTATAGGCTTAATTACTGTTGTAGATAGTAATTTAGGTGGAAATAGTAACATCTTATATTAGTTGAGAAATGCTAAAGCTGAATATTGAGACGCTGAAGTATAGCCCGATCATCAGTGTCATCATGCATTATGACACGGGGCTAGCCAGTAAAAGGATTAGTATCATTCACGTTCTAGTTGCGTTACTACTAAGTCGTGATTGAATCCCTGCTCTGCTGACCTCCTCCGCAACAAGATATAATGCCAAGGGAAGACTTCCAACCATGTCGTAACTCTGTCAAAGGTATTGGGTAGTATTATGTTGATGATCCACGACGGGGAACCCTATCTGGGAATTGATCAGGTTCAAAGCCCGCCGTGTGCCTACGAATCGCAATGGACCCGGTACTCCTCGCCATAAATTTTAATATCAGCACTTCTCGGCACAGTCGCAGTCATTGAGAAAGACTGGACTGTAATTTGACATCCGTGCTTATTGCTCCTCGCCTCTTAGGCTATTCCTGGATGAGGGTATTGGACATATCGTACAACGAAAAACATGCATCAGTTACAATATTAGTATATGTATATTAGTAAGGATTATAAAGGGGATGCTTCATCATCTCGTAGCATGGTCTGTCACGCCTTACCGCATTAAACGTGGTATAATAAATAAACGGCGATCCTCCGAAGTCCTGCCAGCGCCACTTACGTTATCATACACCTTTCGGCGTCATGTGGGTTAGTATGCCCGTTATAACTCCTCGTGAGCTAGTAGTGTCGTGGTTGTCGTAGCTGTCGCCTTGGCCGCATCTCTTAAACTAGATGCGGCTGATTTATCGAAAATCACGTCAAACCTCGCTCCCATATACCACGCCAAACCAAGCTATTAGTATTATATTAGTTTAACTCTGCCGAACGGGACTTGCGCGGGTGTATCACGTACCATCAGACTAGAAACCATTAGAAGCACGAATACAACAGATCCGACCAACAATAAGGCTTCCCAGAAATCATTCGAGGCAGCGTCTTGCACCTCGCCCTCCGCTTCCTGCACAGCCTGCAGCTTCTTTGCGTCTTGCGTTGGGAATAGAGTTTCAATGAATTGCTCAATCTGTTCAGGTTGGGTCAGCAATGATTAGCTCTAGCAATGAGAATATGAAAAGGTAGCTTACCTTGCCACAAGCCACACTTATCTCAAGGTAGTGAGGGTCTCTTGGGTCGTTCTTTTTCGCAATCCTCCTTGCATATCCCTTGAATACTTCGCAAACGACTCGCAAATTCTGCGTTGATTGCATCATTAGGTTGCAAGCGTCACCCTTTGTTATCTTGATGTGACTATAGAAGATCTTGGGATTCTGAAAGACGAGTTCGAGGGTGGCGATAGCCATGGTCTGCGGAATTGCGACAAAGTTGAAGACGCTCTGCTCCTTGATACCAGCCATGTAAAATAGACATTCATCAGCATGCTTTAAAGCGTTGAGAACCATCTCAGAACTGCACTGGAGAGCCTGTGTACGGTACTTTGGGTTGAATAAGTCATCCCAGTTGTCAACATACTTGCTCCAGACGTCCTTAGGCCAGAACCTGCGCTTGTCTTCGAAATCCTCGTGCACATCACGGATGATGTTGGTCTTTTGTAAGAACTGGCCCATGCTCTCAGACAGCTCCATGCGGTCGAGTAGAGCGGGGTTCGCCGTATTGCCTTGTACGAAGATGCGAGTTAGGCCCTCCCCGACCAAACCAGCAACATAATGGCAGTATTCCTCATACTGCTCAAGCGACTTGACACCTTCTTGGAACTCGGCGTTCACGGCATAGTCAGCCATACCATTACCCATCTTAATGGTGATATCTTCGATGATATCATAGTACTTCTTGTCGATCTTCCTCATCTCTGCGATCACATCGTCGAAGTGAACGAGGAGCTCACGATCCTTCTCGTTAGGGCCGTTCCCATTGAAGTTCCAGCCATCAATATTTAAGTACTTGTCGAACTCGCGTAACATGGGCTCTTTTGTCTTTAGCGGAATGGTCATGTCATCCTCGATGGTGTCCAATCCCCTCAGCACGAGATAAAACAGAGCGATGGGGACCAGCATTTCAGGTTGTAGCTCTTGAATGACAGTGGAAAAGCTGCGGCTAGTCATGTTTAGGAAGTGAAAACATGATCGTAGAGTGGGAGCCTCCTTGGCGGGATCACGCCTATGAACCGGCTCATGCCAAACTTTCCTACAAAGTAAAAGCTTGAGTTAGTGAAATGTATACTAGGGAGGATAGGTGACGAATAGGAGTGATCCTACCATTGTACGATGGACCGTAGCTGGTTTGGGTGGAATAGGTAATACAGAACCTCGCCGAGGCCACCCATTTTTGCGGTTGGATGGATCTATTAAGCGGTATATGGGAGAATAATGTGAGAGTGGTTAAGGGGGAGGTGTCGGTGTCGGTGTGAATAGACCGGGTATAAAACTTTGGAGTGAACACAACGCGATAGTGAAGGAGTGATAATGAAACGAGAGCAGTGGTGTTCAGGACAACATTGCGAAAGGAATTATTATTATAATAGTAGACTAGATATACTAATGATCGGGACGGAAACGGCGTTTTGGTACGAAAAAGAAGTGTATGTGTTTTCTAGAAAATCAAGTTTACTTTTTTACTTTTCGGGACTGACACCATGTGGAAAAAGATTGCCGGGAAGAAACCAAAAAGTCCGTCCCCACATCCAATTTCGAGGACCCCAGCAATTAGGAATAGCGAATCAGAGCACGAATTTGTCAGCCCACTAGAAGAAGCGAGGCGACAAGCTCAGGTCTGTCTAGGACTTTGCTGAAAAAAAGGGACTTAGCTCAGGACATCTAGTTGGAAAACTCCACTGCGGGGTATGAGCGCCGAGTTTAGTGGATTAGTGGATGTATACTTCGTACCTGTACGGATCCCGTACCTTACATACAAATAGGTACATTTTTTCAACTTAAAGAAAGGAGGTTATTTTCTTACCTACATCGATGTAGTCGCGCCACATGTAGTACGTCAGCTATGTATAAACCATGCAGGTACGCTCATGTACCTAATGAGCAAGGCGGCACACCGTTACCGTAGGCCTCCTCCACAGGTCGTTGGTACGTATACATACATTCTCCAACTCTGCGCTTGCGTTTGCCCAAGAATTAGTTGTATAGATCTTGGTTGTTGGGGCGGTAGACAACGAACTCCGGATAGATTTGGTGGCTTATGAAGCGGGTGTGCTACTGCACTGTTGCAGAATAAGACTATGATATAAGAGGTTGAGATCCCAGAAATCGAGATTCCGTATCAGGGATAAGATGTAATGTAACACATCTTAACTACATAAGTACCTAGTTATCTTAATAGTCTTGAGATAAATCGTAAGGACGAAAAAACTATCGTTACTGATAAGTAATATTTTAATGCGGATATTCTTCAAAGGCTTCAAATCGTAACCCGTTAATAATTTGTCAAACTTGTCAATTGATTTCTATAGTTAACTAGAAAATTTACATATGTACAATTCATTACCTATGAAATTTATACGTACAGATTTGTCCGAATGGAGCCTTTCCTAACGTTGCCGATCAGCCGGAAAGTTTGGGCGCACACGCCCGCGTACCGGACCCGACGTACATCACCAAGACAATTTTGCCCCTCCTACTTCGTAACACTCCTGAAAGCAGTAATTGTACAATTGCTAGAAGGGGTAGTGACGACCCCTAATCAGTAGTGCCTGTATGTCGTACTTACCGTACCTATATTAACTTAATAGCTTAATACCATAACTTCCAATTCTTGCAAAAACAAGAAGCTGCGATTAATAATTGATAAACTATAAAATTCATAGTTAATCTAACATTATATCATCTTTTTTACTTTTCTTCTCAAATTCATCGTCGCGAAACCCCCCACTACTCCTTAATTCTCACACTCTAGGTTCAAGGGGTGTTGTCTCCCTGCCCCCCTGTCTACGTGTCTTTTATATCAACTACACCGATCCGGAACTTCAACATGGCGACGGCCAATGGAACCAGAGAAAACAGATTCCTTATTTGGGGTGGTAGGGGATGGATTGCGGGTCACCTCGAGAAGCTTCTCAAAAGTCAAGGCAAGGAAGTCTTCAGAACAACCATCCGTATGGAAGATCGTGCGGCCGTGAAGGCAGAGTTAGATGCGATCAAACCCACTCACGTACTAAACTGTGCGGGATGCACCGGCCGTCCCAACGTCGATTGGTGTGAAGATCATAAAGAGGACACGATTCGCTCGAATGTTATCGGGACGTTGAACTTGGCTGACTGCTGCTTCCTTGCTGGTATTCACTGTACCGTGTTTGCCACCGGTTGCATCTATCACTACGACGATGCCCACCCGATCGGTGGTCCCGGGTTCAAGGAGACGGACCAGACGAATTTCACGGGTAGCTTCTATTCTGAGACCAAGGGCCACGTTGAGGAGGTGAGATGACAGTGTTAACCTGCGGCTTGTAGTTCGGGGGCGGTTTGCTTACACGACTCCTAGGTTATAAAATATTACGCAAACTGCTTGATCCTCCGCTTGCGTATGCCCGTGTCAGATGATTTACATCCACGCAACTTTGTCACCAAGATTAGCAAGTACGAGCGCGTGGTTGATATCCCGAACAGCAACACGATTCTAACCGACCTTCTGCCAGCATCCATCCTGTTGGCAGAACATAAGGACACGGGGGTTTATAACTTCACCAACCCAGGCGCCATTAGCCATAACGAAGTATTGACGCTCTTCAGAGATATAGTGCGTCCAGGCTTCACGTGGAAGAACTTCACCGTGGAGGAGCAGGCCAAGGTAATCAAAGCTGGCCGCAGCAATTGTTTGTTGGACACGGAGAAACTGGAAAAGAAGTTGAAGGAGTATGACTACTCGGTGCCTGAGGTCCACGAGGCTTATAGGCAGTGCTTTGAGAGAATGAAAGCTGCAGGGGTTAAATAAGCTTGGACGCAAGCCACCTAAACTGATTTGGTGTAACTATGCCATGTGCCGCATACTCTACGCTTTATCGTGTGACTAATGGCGCTACGAGATAGACTTCTTAAATGACTAGTACCTAGACAGTTAGATGATTAGGTATGGAACTGTGCTGACTTGGACTGGTTTACATTAGAGACAAAAAGGGTGATGTTTCGTTATGCCCCCTCATAAGTTAGTTAAGCAAGAAATGCTAAGATTTTTAGAAAGAAGTAGTATGAAACTAGAACTAGTTATTTAGAGTGACAAGTTTTAAGTCGAGACTTATACGACTTGACACAATAGTAGAATATAAATGATATATGTGCCTAAGGTAGCTTATATCTTTAAGCAAGCACATCTAGGTATCTGATTGAGACGGTGGGGCAGAACTGGACTCAAAATTCGACCCCGCCTTGGTATTGGAATAGATGTACATAGAGAGAATCTTGTGCTACCTACACTATCAGATGTCAGCGGACTACTTCTGCCTAATGTGGCGCTAGAACACTGTGCCACAAGCCCTTATAGGCTAACATTCGTCATAGGTACAAGGTATTGTAGCTGATGTTCTTTTTTTTCTTTTCTTTTTCTTGGTATGAGGTATTCTTCAGTATTCTTTCGTACTTACCTCCTAACCTAAGGTATGTGATCGGCTGTATCCTTATCTCATCTCTCTTTAGACATAACTTCCTATATTCATCTGCCCTACATCCACACCTACATATTTTTTCCTGATAAGTTAACAAGTCAAGCATCCGAATCATCTTCACTTACCATCCTTTCACCTACCTCATCTCTGTTGAATCCTAACTGCTGACTCGATAACTACTCTTGTCAGGATTCACGCTATTCAGCGCCTATAAAATCCACCCCGCAACCCAATACCCTAGACCCGAACCCCTCGCATTTGTATTTGCATCTGTGACTGGTCAGAAGAGAAAGCATGGTGGCGGTAGTAGATACATCATATTATGACGCTCTCGGTGTCCAGCCAACGGCTACCGAGCTCGAGATCAAGAAGGCGTATCGCAAACTTGCTATCGTCCATCATCCAGGTGCGCGCATCCAACCGCGGCCTTATCCGTTCCTACTAACAGACACCGCCTAGACAAGAACCCAAACGATCCAACCGCCCACGAAAAATTTCAGACCATCGGCGAAGCCTATCAGGTGCTTTCGGACCCTGACCTAAGGAAGGCATACGATAAATATGGAAAAGATAGTGCTAAGCCCACCGAGGGCTTCGTCGACCCCGCCGAGTTCTTTAGTAGTATTTTCGGCGGCGATGCCTTCGTCGACTGGATTGGCGAGATTAGTCTTATGAAGGATCTCACTACCACCATGGACATTACTATGGCCGGTGAGGAAGAAGGGGAGGAGGCAGAATTCCCCGGTACTGAGGAAGCCATACGTGAGAGTGCAAAAACAGATACTATCGATGCTACCGGTACTACTAGTGCGCCAGCGCCTGCCGTCGTCGTTGAAGAAGAACCTGAAAAGCCAGTCGCCGAGGTACATCACGACGTTTCCGCGGATAAGCCACCGGTACCCTCACGCGGCGCTTCCCCAAGCCCTACTACTTCCGGTATAGCGACACCCCTTTCTGGTACATCGACACCCTCGAGACATGCGATTCCCATCCGACCCGCGCTCATGGACCGTCCGTCAGATGATGCACAGTTGGCGGGACAGACAGAAGAGGAGAGAGAACTACGCAAGAAGGAAAAAAAGAAGGGATTATCCAAAGAGCAACGGGACCAGCTGGCCGCCTTCGAGAGGGAGCGCGCCAAAATCCGGCAAGAGCGTGTCGATACTCTCGCCTCAAAGCTTATCGATCGTATATCAGTATGGACGGAGACAGATAAAGGCCCTGACGTCACCAAGGCCTTCCAGGACCAGATCCGTCTCGAGGTGGAAAATCTCAAGATGGAGAGTTTCGGACTCGACATTCTACATGCTATCGGCGCCGTGTACATGTCGAAAGCCACAGCACTCCTCAAGTCTCAGAAGTTCCTCGGCATCGGGGGCTTCTTTAGCCGTATGAAGGACAAGGGAACCCTTGTCAAGGAGACCTGGAACACCATATCGTCGGCAATCGACGCTCAGCAAACCATGGAAGAAATGGCGCGTATGGAGCAGGCTGGTGGCGAGGACTGGACCGACGAGAAGAAGGTCGAGTACGAGCGTAGAGTTACTGGGAAGATCCTCACGGCCGCGTGGCGCGGTAGCAAGTTTGAGATCCAGAGCGTACTACGTGAGGTCTGCGACAGTGTTCTCCATGATAAGAAGGTACCCCTAAACAAGCGTTTAGAGCGAGCAGAGGCGCTCGTTATCATCGCGGATATTTGTCAGAAGGTAAGCGCTATCCCACCTTATGACGTCTTAGTTCATCACATTTTCATATTTCTCATAAATCATCTACTGACACCTTTCTAGGCCCAGAGAACAGAGGAGGAAGGCGAGTATATGGCATTCGAGCAACTGGTAGCTGAAGCAGCTATCAAGAAGGAGAAAGAAAAGGACTCGAAGAAGAAGGGAAAAGACAAAGATAGCAAGAAGGTCGATGCACACAAGGAATAGTCGTAATAAACCCGTCTTATTTAGGGCTGTGGACTCTAGATACACACTTTATTGGAAGCGACCAGGGGTATATTCGAAATTTCATGGTTCCTGCATGATAACCTTGAAACAAAGATTCAAACCAGTCTGCATTAACCCGACCACGTTATCTAGTTGACGTCGAAATTGAATACGAGGCAGAAAATTCGGGGAGAACTCAAGCTCTTTTAGCAGCTTAGGAAGTTCAACGGTGGGGAGGACGGATAAGCTGATCCGAGAAGGAGATGGAAGATATCATAGGCAGCTCTTACGCTTCATAGACTGGTTTTAGGGAGTCTTTGGCCAGGATGGGATAAAAAGCCCCCCTTAATATTACGAATGCATGCACGCGTCTCTGTGAATGGAGATATAATCCACTCTACCTCTTGGTTTCTAAAATGGGGTTGAAAACGTATTGTTGTGATGTTGGGAGAAGTGCTCGTAAACGTAGAGATTTCCGTCGTATAGCTTAGGTAATTGTTATTCCTGTTGGCCTTTTCTATGATTACGGTAGACAGTGACCGTTGACTTATTAAGACGCAGGACGATAGTCGGTTGCTAACTAAGAATTCGCATACTGAATAGACTATTTTCTGATTGTACTTGCAGATCTATAAGCCGCTAATTTTACAGTATGCCCCTTTGTAAAACTGGGGTTAAACACGTAGTTAGTAAGTACACAAGGAGTCCTTATGATACCCCGATTTTGATATATATACGCAACTAGAGTTTACCAAGACGGGACAATGGTATTAAGTAACTAGCTGGCAATGGAGATAATAAATCGGGAGACCGTATAATACGAATGTAGTAACTAGGTTTAGAATAATGGTAGTCTATGAAGTTGAGTACCTAACCTATGATTAATGTAGACGCCTATCCCCCTTTCCAGAAGCAACTAGGTTAAGTGCAGGCATCAGAGCGTCCAGGTCCATATTGAGAGTTCTGCTACAGCATGACTAGCTAGTCGACTTTAGCATCACTCAACATCATAACAGAACTGTGATTACAAAAATCACACCAATAGAGCATAACGCTGTGCCCCGAACTGGGAAGTTCTAAATCATGACAATCCCAACCGAGGCAATAACTGCTGATGTATAGAACTCCTGGTGCTAAACTATTCAATTGTTGCTATCAACCCGCCAACTTTGCTCTTTCGGAGCATATAGGTAGCCTCGCGCACACCACCGGGAAGCAAACAAGAAATTCCTCGGCAAAGTCGAAGTCCACGTATGTACATCTCCGAGTGTGGCTCCTGATAGAACTTGCGTTCACCTCCTATAGGTGTTTTTGCGACCCCATCTATTTTGGGCGTGTGTAAGTAAGTGCTGGCTCCTTTATTCATTATTGCTTTGGGGTATCATTGAGAGTCGAAAAAGAAAAATAGAGATCTGTCAAGTGGTGTGGAGATGGTCTATCGACTCAACGCCTGTCCGTCATAGTTTGTGGGGGTATCCATTGGTGGTACAGTAAAGAATAAAAAAGAACGACAAAAAAGGGCCGAAAGACAATTGAATATAAGTCGCCCGGTACAAAAATGTAGCTCTGGGGCGCCGCAGTTGGTTGGGTTATATGCTGTGAAGAATCGTATCCAAAATAGAAGGAATCTCGTACCAGTACTGATGTGCTGTAGCTGGGGGGTATAATAATTTCTAACTCTTATCCTCCGTCGACTTGGAGTTCTATTCCGCTGTCCCTATCCTGTCGTTCCGAACCGCCCCAGCTTGCCAAACTAATAGGGTCGTCTAGGAATTTTTCATCGAATTCAATCGTATTATCAGATATACTGTTCGCGGTTGAAGGTCGATCCTCCTCTTCGTCTGGAGCTAATACTCGTCCACCTAACTCTACGCCGGTGATCGGAACACGATATTCGAGTGCCTTCTTCCCTTCATTGATGAGCACCTCAGTCCAGTCAAGACATCTTCTAATGCTTTGGTTGATCTTCTGAGAATCAACAAGCAATTGCTGATGATTTGATAAGTCGAGCTGCAGCCGTTCCTCATCTCGTTTTCGGTGCTTTGCATCCCGTTCTGCGACGACACTTGGATCCAGTGATTCGTTCAGTGAATCACTGTCGGATAACTCCTCTTCTATCTCTCTCTCTTCCTCTTGCTCTTCTTCCGCTTCAGACTTCTCGTCAAGGTCGGAAAGGTCTATTATCCCTATTCCTTGTTCTGAGGTATCTTCCAATGATACTTGACTAGAAACTGCGGTGGATGCAGTAGAAAGTCGACCTGCGCGGGAAAGGCGCTGATACCTTCGCAACTCTGAAGTTTGTTTCCGCAACCGACGCTCAAGAGTTCGGTTAATGGCTTCGAGAGATGCGTTTGTGATCTGTAGGTCTTGAACTTTACGTTCACGTCTAGCGTTCGCTACAGATTCGTTCACCGGTTCTGTGGGATTGGCTGGATTGGTGGGACTTTGCAGGCCCGATGGAGCTTCTTCTGGGGATGCACACTCTTCGTTCTCGGCAAACTCCTCAGCTGCTTGAATTATGGAAGCGAGTGTCAAAGGGGCCGGCGTAGGAGGTACGGTTATAGGAGGAGAGGTTTCGGGTGATACACGGGAACTCGTTGGCTTTGGGGTACTGGAACCATGGTCTAACTTTACTAAGCTTCCCGCACGGGAATGGCCACCGGGTCTTGATGTACCGGTGCTGGACCGGCGGAGTCCGGGGGATGGCGCTAGCTGAGGAGCGGATAATGCCTGTGGACGTCCTGATGATGGGATGTTGGCGGTCCTAGACGAAGCTTGCGAGCCCTGGGACGGGAGCTTCGCCGGGGAAGCAGGCCTCTGCGCGTGAGTATGGCTGTTAGCCGGGGGGTTTGTTGCCGGGCGGCTGGAAGGTGGTCTGGGAGCCGTTGACACTGTCGAACCCGAACTACGGGATACAGGAGGTGTGGGACTGGACCGCGCCTCCGGGGTCCCATTGGCGTACACAAATTTGCCGGATAGACTATCCTGGGAGTGGCCGAGGACTGGTGCAAAGGGCACCGGGTGAGAGGGCTTGTTCTCTATTGTATTTCCATTGGCATAGAAAAAAGTCGGACCTTTCGCTTGGACCGGTTTAGAAGAAGACGTTGGGCGAGGAGGCTTGACATCGCTGGCGTGAAAGAACTTGGATTCTAAATTACGGGCAACTTCTTGTCTCCCATAACCGTTCGTGTCTGGAGATACGGAGCCAAAGGAGGCCCCCGACCTTCTCATAGCATCCCCCTCTATCCTCGGGCTCGGCAGGCCGAAGCTAGACCTGTGATCCCAGGCATCTAACCTTTCTGGATTGGGTGTGCCATTCGGCGTGTTACCAGCGCTTTCGACACGGGTTTGCCTCGAACCAGAGCGAGGAGTGACGTTGGTGCTAAGGTGAGATGGAAAGGATGAGTCGTCGAAGTAACTTGAACGATTAGATGGTGCTTCTCGGCTGGTATTGATCGCGCTGGGAGGATGTTGACGCCGACCCGTTGGGGTTACTGCGGCGGATAGAGCGGGAGACTGGGTTCCTGTCTTTGATGCGATCTTAGGGGTTAGGGGGTTCCTATTTACGACCCTTGCAGCAGAGGCGCTAAGTGAAGGCATTTGCGATCGGCTCGAATTTGGATTTGGGCTGGCAAGCGGAGGTGAGGATGTGTCGAAGGGCATGTTTCCTGTTCCTGGCTCCTTTAACAGGGGAATTGTAACAGGCGCTGCATTTTGGTTCCGTCTCCTTAGGGGGCCTCTGGAGGACGAGGACGCGGACGACGAGGCGGCTGCTGCTGCTGCTGTTATGGAGGTCTTGGCAATAGTAGTGGCTGTGGTGGAGGTGGATATTATTGTTCTCGTCCCTGTCCGCGTACCGGTGCCCGTGCCCCCAACAGTCCTAGGGGGCTTACGTCCAATTGATACTAAAGAATCCGAAGATGGCCGTCGTTTTAACCCCGTCTTAGTTACGGAGTGATAATTCGAATCCGAGGAGCGCGTGTTAGTGGAGGAGGGTGGTTGAGTTGAAGATGTATGAGGGATGAAAGTCGTGTTGTGCATCGTTAAAGGTGTTAATTACCTAAGGCAAAGGCAATTTAGGTAGGTCGAACCCATGTTTTTTTTTCTGTCTCTCTTTCAAGTTTCCTTCCTCCCTGAAGGTCGCAATTGCATATGATGGCCTGAACGGCGCGGTTCAGGTCTCCACTAATTTGTACTATGGTTACTGTTACTGGTAGACAAGCCCTACCTTCCAACGGGCTGTAGGCGACCGAACCCGTTTAGACTCCTTTCTATTGGCGGTAGACCGATACTAATTGAGTTCGCTTGTGCAACGATACTTGATACCTGCATGTACTTCTATAGGTAGCATGTGACTGTTTCTTACGAAAGCGTATATCCGAACAATTATGGGAGATATGAGGAGAGAGATAGATAGAAAAAGAAAAAGAAACGGTAAGGAGGTGCGTTAGAAAAGAAATCGTCTGGAATGAGAGACAAATGCTTCTGTCGAATTTGACTGGATCAACAATTTCATTGCCCACAATAAAAGGATGACGTCCCAAAACATACGTCTGGTCTCGTCTAGGCACGTCCTCGTGTTAGATCCACGCTCCTTTCCTCTTCTGAGGGTATTTACATAGGATTCATACATATGTTCGCATAAGTTGTGCTTGTGAATGCCCCATGGCTCCCCGCAGTTTAGAGGGAATAATACGAGTATATTAAGTTACGGGATGCGCAAACATAGTAATGTAAGGCGTATGTAGACTTGCATATATCGGTACATTAGGTGCGCTAAGGTTTGGCACATTACTGCCCGACAGCCTAACTTATCTACTTAGTTAGGTACTATAGTATGGAAAGCGCACTAACTCTGACAGCGCTGTACCCTGTCAATTCAAGTGGGTCACCTCAACTAGGATTAAAGCTGTTAAGGCGGTGAATTCAATTGCACCACCTAGCCTCTTTTCCCCCTCTCTTCGTCTACCTATCGTCTATCGAGCGCGAGATCGGCTAAGCAGACGGCCGGTACCGTCTGCACGACAATTGACTAACAAAACTTTCGATTATCGGAAACTAGATATTTTTAGCGTCGGCAAGCCTAGGAATGAGAAGAAAAAAAATTCAGCAAACACCTGATTTGCTGGTCAGTCTATCTCTAGGGACAATCCTAGGCAATACATCTTAGCCTAGGTAATAGGTGATAAACCACGGGGTAAAAAGGAAGTGGAAGGCGTGGTCAGGTAACGTCATCCGGCACATCGTCAGCATATCGCGACGATGGCGCTCTTGGGCCTATCGCTGGTTTTGGCTTCCGTGATTTACGCAGCTATCTGGAGGCCGCCTTTCATCCAATCCCTTTTGTCGATATGGCGCGGCGACCCTCAGATCCAACAACCGCCAACGACGCGCCGTCCCTCTCCAGCGGATATCACGGTAGAGCATGAGGAAGAGGAAGATCAGTCGGCCGCTACGACGACAACTGGTCGCGATACATCACCAACTGCGACGACCCAAAGATCCGCTGCGGTTGCTGCTGACAGGGCAGCCATGCCTCCACCTCCTAAGCTCGTAATGCATCAACCGAAGGAAGCCGCAACGAATTCGCAAGCCGACTCCTCGCCCTCACCGCAGACGACTCCCAAAGCCACGGCTTCAGTCCAGCTTAACGGCGACAGCATACCTTCGTTCTCCCTCTCACCCCACCCTCCCGCTTCCGTAGCCGCCATCGCCCGCGCCGTCGAAGCCAACACCTCGCCCTCCGCCCTGCCTACTTTCTCCGCGCCCTCCCCCCCACCCGAACCACTCGCGCCAGCAAAAACCTCCATGGCACCACCCCCTCGTCCCCCAACCCTCAACAACACCGGACCCTCCCTCCTAGGCGTCCCTTCCCGCGCCCCCATCCCTAACCGGCACCAATACGACCGGCAACCCGGAACCTCCACCCTCGCGCCGCCCCCTACGCACTCCTCGAAGCCCGCCAAGCCCTCGCGCAAAGTGACCCTCTCCCCAGGCCGCAGCCCGCTAGACTGGGCGCGTTTATCCGCTAACCCATCTGCGGACCTGCGCAACCTCGGCCCCGGGGCGCCGTACCTGCGAGTGCCGCCGAGTCTACTGCGACAACAGACGGGGCGCAAAGGCAAGGACGCGTGGACGGCGCTAGGCGGGCGCGTGTACAACATCACGCCGTATCTACCGTTCCACCCAGGCGGCGAGCCGGAGTTATTACGCACGGCGGGGCGCGACGGGACGAAGTTGTTCGGGGAGATACACCCTTGGGTTAACTACGAGACGATGCTGTCGAGTTGTCTGATTGGGCTACTGGTTGAAGAGCATGAGGTGCAGAGTACGGGGGAGATGGAAGCTATGGATTGATCGTCTATATCTTCTATATATGGTTAGGCTAGAATTATAAGTTACTTTGTAGAAATTAGAAAAATGGCGGTAGAAAGACTATAGAAAACGGTATAGCATAGCATAGCATTAGTTGTATATTATTAGAACGGTGGGCAATTGGGCAACAGCACTTCGCATCGAGTCGGGTCGGGTCAGGTCGGGCGGCTCCGGTATATTATGCTTAGCACATGGTAAAATTAGGTATATAAGCGAGATACCCCCTTTATAGAGACAATGCCATCTAGGAGTAGAGAAATAGCACTTAAAAGCTTAAAGATCCCTTCATCTCTTCCCAAACCTGAACCGTAATCCGTCATCGCTCTCGTCATCACTGGCGGCAACGAATCCTATTCGAGACCTCTTCGCTGGTTGCTCTTTGGCTGGAGGTGGAGCTGCACGCTTAGATGCTCTCGATGATTGCGTCTTCTGAGCTGTGCTCTGTGGCGTTGATCTAAGCGATTGCGACTGCGAGGTCTGTTGCGACACCCTACTCGTGCGTGTCCTCGACGGAGGGGCGATGACAGCATCCTCACTTTCGCCGTCCATGCCGTCCATGCCGTAGTCCTCATCTTCACTACTGTCCACTGGGGGGAGAACCTCCGTAGATAGCTTCTGTCTCTGGTTTCTAGCTTTCTTTGCCGGTGCATTAATGGTCTGTCGCTCCTCTCTCTCGCCCGTACTTTGACTCTGACTATGTGTTTGGCTTTGCTTCTTCCGTCTCCGCTGCTGGCTTTCGTCTTCAAGCCAATAGTCATCACCGATGCCAAAACCTTTTGACTTGACTTCTTCAAGTGCTACAATAACCCTCTGTGGCGCCCGCCCTCGGGGACCTACCCGAGACTGGAATTTCTTGAAATTCTTCCGCCCGTTCCATGCGGGATCCCAGCGACCATCGGCTATGTCTTGATCCCTGGTTCGTGTAGGCGGTACTTGCCGCAGTTCCATAGGCTCCTCAATATGCAAGCGCCGGATCTCTGCCAGGTCAAGGCCCTCTGGTGCCGTGGCGAGTTCTTCCCTCTCTGCCTTTGCACGAGCTTCAGCCTCCTCTCTGTGCTGTCGTGCCATGTCAAGGATATCTATCTCTTTCTTGATCTTTGGTGCCCTGACCTCGAGCTTCTGCGATTCTATCACGGGTTCTTCCGGTGTTGGCTTGCGAGGAACCGGATCTTCTCCTGCAGCGATGCGACGGCGCTTTACCTGAGCAGCCGTAGGTGCGAAATCATCCATCGTGTCTTGGGGCTCGACTGGTGGGGTACGGCGCTTTCGTTGCGACTGTCGGCCTGAACGAACCGCCTGTTCTGTTTCTTGTGAAGCAACATCTTGTGATACGAAAAGACCTTCTTGTGACGGTTCAACGTCTTCTGCTGAAGGCGTCGAGGCAGTCGGAATGACTTCCGGTGTATCATCATCCTCTAAATCTACACCAAACCCCTTGAAACGACTTTTCACGGCCCCTCTCGCCCGCCTTCGAAGGGGCTGTTTTTGCGGCTGGGCTGGAGGCTCGTCTTCGTCCACATCCATGGCATGTCCATTCGAGCGCTGCGGTTCAACTTGTGACGTCTGCGGCTCCGCTTCGGCTTCGAGGGGCCGCCGTAGAACACTGGCATCATTATTAAGGATCGCATCAAGGAAATCTTTCTGATCGATAAGTCGATGATCTAGTCTTAGAGAGACTGATCTGTAGAAATCGGCGAACCAGTCGGCATTCTGAGGAGGACTGGGAATCCATCTGACTACGACAACGCCTTTGCCCTCGCTTCCATCTTCGAACTCTCCCATGCCCTTCTCTCCTGCTACTCCTTTGACATACCTAATGAAGTCGTCTATCTGTGTTACTCCTTCGACTACTTCGTTAAATAGTGCCTTGCCCCTCCCATTTGTTATAGGTTCTAGAAGGTTATCGTATTGCTTCCTATTGTAAAATATGAATGTATAACCATAGAATATCTCAGCACGATCAGGATTGGGGGCAAACGCTTCGACCGGTCTTGGCACTGCTTCGTCTCCTGGAGGCGGGACATATTGCATAGCATCTGGCCAGTTTGCGTCGAAATCGCTTTCTAACGCACTCGCTGTTGCACTATCGCTGTCATTTCCAGGCATCGCAGCAGTGATAATAGCACCGTAGAATCCTTCGGTAACAAGGTATCGACCGTTTACTAGGGCTTGTAGGCCCTTTGGCACATTCCTCTTTTTCGATACAACGTGGGTCGTCGACTGGACGTCATAGTGAGCAAGAAACTTGACATCAAGTTGTTCTAGGTCTTCTCGAAGCTTAGATAGAGGGTCCGCTCGGAGTTGATTTGCAGTGAAGGAGAAGCTCAGGACTACAGGAAACCAAGTAATGCTAAGATAGTATCCATGATCAGCTGTTTTGCACACATACTGCGCCCGAGTAAAATAACACACCGGAATTTAGGCGGGAACGTGCCCATTTGGAGGGTATTGACATCCCGGGAAAGAACGCGCTTTTCGCCTTTTATCTTTTCGTCATTTATTCGCGTTCCACCCTTAGATCCTAGGTCTTCTACTGTGATGCGTGAACGACTCGACACATTTTCCTAGTAGAAGTATCTCAGTAATCGAATACATGACTACCGAAGGACATTGGGATGGCGTACCCCATCTCCCTCGGTTACTTCGTCGACTTGTATAGTGACATGCTTCCGCGATACTCTTTCTGCTCCTTCTCCCCTGATGGCAAGCTGTCCGGCTAAGTTCGCATTAGCTACTGGCGTATTAAATGTGGATACAGAGTAGGCGCATACGTTCAGCGACTGTTCGGCCAAAGAGATACCGCTTTCCTGGTCGCAGCCAAAGCCGTTTACCTGAAAGCAGCGATCGTTAGCACTTGGAAGCAGAAGACGAGCAGAATGAGTCTTACCATCGAGGGCTTCGCCCTCGTTTTCTAGGAGCCACATAGTCGGCTTAACACTGGGCTACTGATCTCAATTCACCCACACGATAGAGTTGAAGTGGTTGTATATGCCATATACCTTATAGATAGTAAGTAGTGGGGGTGAAGATGATGCAAGAAGCGTGAGGCTAAAAGCGTGTCGAAACGCGAAAGAAGCTCGTTGTCACGTGTAATAGATCTAACAATAAATGTTTTTGGGGAATTTACGAAGTGGTCAAAGCTGTACCTGCATCTTAGGGCGTACTTACTATGTAAAGGCGTTTCAAATGTGTTTAAGTTAGGAGGTAGGTACTTTCGCATGTTGAGGCAGCAGGGAAGTTTAGGTACGTTAGAGGGTGTAAATCACACTGTGAGGGGTATCTAACATCCATCTACATGGCAGTCGAGGTTTATTGTTTAATGTTCCTACATACATACTCAATATGATATTTTCAGTTCCGAAAGGGAAATATTACCTATACAACGATCGATCGATCTACTCACCAAGATCTTAATAGAGCAAGATCAGATGCCAATATCAACTTATATATCTAAATTCGGTCACCGTATCTTAGCTGACTATTTTATACAAAAGGGGATATATCTAGCGATATATCAAGAAATCATTTCACGTTAGACAAGTACTACAACCCAAGCTGAGCGGCTGAAGGATTCATGTTGCGAGTATATATAAGCGACTTCAACGCTCGTTGGAAGATTCTAAAACTATTGGTAATAATCCTACGTCTTGATTGGTTCGGGAGCGCCCTTTCAGACTCTATACGGAAATTATGACGATAACAGAAGCATCAACATGACGTGAGCGGCGAGGACATCCTCGAAGCCGGCTGAGACTTAGGTCTAGAGAACGGAAAGGTAAGTTGTTATTAGACCTAAGATTCCAATGCTCAGTTATATATATAACCATTCATCTTTTCTTGTCCGAATTCAAACACTTCGCTCTTCCTAAGCAGCTTCTACGATTATTGGAGAATTGCCCCTAAAGAATTTGAAATTAACCACCCTTATCACCCCCTTTGGTTGAAGCATACGGTCTTATAGTCCCATATCCCAGTCCCGACTTCCACAATGCGAGGGCCTTTTGGTACCTACGCCCTTGGAGCGTTCTTTGGAGGACTGCTTTTTGTGGGAGCCAAAGCGCAAATGAAGGTTAGCAGCTTTGATGGCCCCGTCACCAAGGAAGAGCTGAAATCATTCAACGACTATGTCGTTACCCTGAAGCCTGCTACCGACAATAAGGGGAATCAATGGGTGCAGGGCCATAGCGGAGAGCAGACAAAGGCAATGGGCCTTGTCTATCAGATGGCCGGACAACAAGAAACGCTAGACCATATGCTTCGTTTCTGCGATGCGGTTTTGTCGGAGAGAAATGACCTAGCAAAGGCCCCAGTTGGCCAGCACAAGATTTGGACGGGCGGAATCGATCCTGTCTGGCCGAACGATGTTACTAAGAAACCAACCCAAACTGGCGGAGGGAGAAGGCGACCCTGTCGGACACCTGGCTAGCTGTGCTTACCTCATATTAAAGACGAACGAGCTTCATAATCAGAAGGTGACTATCGGCAATCCTCATAAGTATGGCGCTACCTATATGGATCGAGCCGGGACCTATCTCAAGCAGGCGGATTTCTCGATGAGCAACAATATCTTAAAACGATTACTGGGTCTTTCGAACGGAAACAAGATGTACTTTGCCAAGGACTCGCCTATATGGGCGGGAAACCAGTCCCGTGGAATCAACAGATGATGTTCAACTATGCGTTCATGAATCTCTGCAGCGCACATAGGATCCTCAACGACAACCCTGAATTGCTCGGGAAGTACAAGTCGATCCTTACTGCTAGCATAGATTGGTTCTTCCACGGAGGTGGTGTGCAGACCAAGAAGAGCAAGAAAGGCAGCACCGTCTACGACTGGTGCTATACTGTACTAAGAACGACCGGCGAGGACTCGAATCATGGCGCGCTCGACGTTGCCGGGTTTTACCGTACTTACATCGACGGCAACTATGACATCACGGCCGACCAGATGAAGCCGTTCGCCAACATGTTTGTTGATGTCATGACTCTAGGAAAGGAGAAATATGTAGGGACTGTAGACGGCAAAACCGACGGCGACGGCCATGCCAAACCCACCAAAAATATTCGCAGTGGTTACCTCTTTCTAGCTGAATTCTGGTTTGATGCTTGTAAGAGCATGATGTCGGCTGATTTATCGGTCGGTGGTAAAGGAACTGGAAGTGCTGATGGATTTTCCCGTTTCCTGTGGGTGAAGAATCAGCGTGCTAAGGCGAAGTAAATAAACGATAGCAAGATCGTTTGTAGCTACTACTTATCTTCCACATATTAGCGAGTGACACACTCAGTTGGAAGCAAGTTGGGTATTATAGTCCTATCTACACTTCTAAATAACAAAAGAGGAAGAAACATTTATTTCGGCCAATCCCGGTTGATAATCTAGTTTATTTCATAGCATCGTGAATACTAGACTATGGAGTTAATACTGTGCTTATATATATAGGTTATATCTAATATCTAACGAGATCAAGATGTCTGTATTATAGTAAATGGTAAAATATTTATTTTGTCCGTGAAACAAAGTCCCGTTACACATCTACAGTTTCTAGAGCAAGTCCTAAATGTTCCTGGAAGTCCTAGCTACTAAAAGGGATCGTAACCCCTGTCATACCTTGGCATGTGTATAAACCTACCACTTTAAACTTCCGGACATCAACTTACCCTTTTCCAACGTGCGTATCTACGAGGTATTTATATATATCATCTAGGTACTGCACAGGCTGCTTTTATATTATTTATTCCAGTAAAATCAATCATACAGGGAATTAACCTGCCGTACTGGCAGCATGCGACGTGCCTCAATGACCAAGCGTCAAGTATGCTTTATAGTATGTATCCTCCCTTGCGCAGCAGTATACTACTGCCTAAAATACACCCTGCGCGCCGTCGAAGAAACCCTCGATGTCGTATACAGCGCCCAACAACGCCACCGCATTAAGACGCGCAAGCGTCCTAAATCAAAGCCTCTAGCTGTAATCCCGTCCGTGTCTAAGGGAACATCCGCTTCCGCCCCCACCAAAACTTCCTTCCTACACTTGCCCCCGGAGATCCGCCTCATGATATACCGCCTGGTCCTCGGGGGCCCGGCCATCATGCAAGTCCGCCCCACGTACTCGGTGCGCGGCCCCCGCCCCAAGACATGGGCGTCTAGACAGGGGATCCGCGACGACGCAGACGAGCCGAGCAAGGCGCTCCGTCTAACCATTGGTCTCGGCGGCTCGCCTCTGCGCCAACTAGTCTCGCCGCCGCGCGCCGGGTGCGTCGTCTACGGATGCGTGTCGCAGCTGATCTGCGGCGAAACGCACTACTTCGCCCTAACCCGGCACCGCCGCGACGAAACCGTGTACTACACGGACCTGATGCGCACCAGCCGCGTCGTGTACGGAGAGGCTTTGGACTTGCTGTATGCGGAACACACAATTTCGCTGTTCGGCGTGGAAATGGCGCGGTATTTCTGCCGCAACGCTAGTCCGGAGGGCATGAAGCGCATACGCTTTGCGCATGTGGCGCTTATCATCCCGTCTTCAAGTTGGAATTCCCCGTTGCAGAAGAAGAATGTTAAGGATACTATGAAATTACTACGGGACTCGCTGCCGCATTTAAGACAGCTGGATGTCGAGGTAGCGGTGACGTGGGGGCAGCCGAAGAACGCGGGACGTTTCTGGAGCTGGTTGACGGGTGATGGTGTGCTGGGGCAGTTTAGCGGGCTGGAGAAGTTTGTGCTGAAGGCGCCGGTGTATTTGCCGTTTACGAGGCGGCCCTATGGGAACTGGGCGGCGTGGACGCCGCAGTATGAATTGCTGGAGTCGTGGGATGATGGGGAGTATCAGGCGTTGAAGGCGAGGGTAACGAGTTCGGATGAGGCGGTGGCATCCTCTTGAATTATTGTTTGGATCTGGTATCTTTGGCATGCATTACCCCTTACGAATTAACAATAATGCGTTTAGAGGCGCTGTATGCTGGATCATCACATTAGAAGCCTACGCTATCTATTTGAGGAATTATGTTTTGATTATTTAATTAATGATTGAGATATATATACATGCATATCGTCACGTTCATAAACCCATTCGTAAAATGGTAGTTACATAATATCCGTAACCTCATTGTCAATGGATATTCCAGCCCTTCCTCAATAGTCTTTTCGTCAAGCAAGAGGTCGTATGTATAGCATGGCCACCTTTCATCGACCAATTATCCCTAAAGTACTATACGGTACACCGTCTACCGTCACAAGTATTCTCTTACTTCGTAGTTTAATAATGCCCCCTTGAATGTCTCCGAACATCACTCGACCTCCGATAATCTCTTCCGTCAGAATAATACGTCGCGGGCGGGGCTCTCGGACTCCTGCTCCTGTGCTGCTCAACATAGACCGGCCTAGTTACGCTTACGATCGACGTGCGGCGCGGACTGTGATGGGAATGGCGGGAGCGTGATCTATGACCATGTGTTTCCCGCGGATACCGCGTGGAGCTGTGGTGATGGTGCGAAGACGGCGGCTTCTCGTTATCTGGCTCGAACGTAGTACCCCATGCCCCTGGGTTGCGGTAGTTGATACACGAGCGGATGATCCACAGTAGTATGAGGAACCCGGCGATAGAGCCGATAACTATGCCAGCGATGGCGCCGCCCGAAAGGGTGTGCGATGATTCGCCGTCGGTTTGTGCGACGACTGTCGTAGTGCTCTGTTGACGGGCAGTGAGGACCTTGGAGATTGCCTCCGGGAGAGTCCGTGTCGGGTTGATGTGTTCGAGCTCGCGAGCTAAGATGCGACCGATAGATGAGCCATCTGTGGCCGGCGCTGGTAAAAAGGGGGCCATGATGGGGTAGTTTGCCTCTAGTTAGGTAATTCCTAAGGCTCAACAACTTATGCTAGGATAGACCTCGCCGTCAGGAACGTGGCGTGGGCTAAGTTAGAGTTTGACGTATGCAGAAACTAAAAGGGGGACGAGTAAGACATGAGTCGTGAGAAGGAGAAGGGCAGGTTGAGTTCAAGTAGTGAGGACGACCATCTCGATTCTCGCAGCATATCATACACAGAAGACGACAAACGATGACGCCATGGCTGCGAAAATGTAACCTGATATGCTACCATGCTAAAGTGTGCCTGGACTAGTAGTAACTAAGAAGGTTGGGATGGTATCTGCTATCTGGGTAAATGGTGGTAGTGTAAGCTCATCCTTTCTCGCCATTATCTTACCATCTTTACTCTATGCGTAGATAGTGCTTAGGAATTTTGCCGAGGAGGCATTCTTGATATGTGCTTACTATTCCATTTCCTTGCTCGTTAGCATCTGGCGCGAACGAAAGCTCCGGCGAATTCGGCATTGCTATTGGTCCATTCGACCCCCTCACCGTCGCGAGGCTCTCGAGCGGTCATTATGATGTAAACTCAAAGGAAGCGGGGTGAAATATCCTGCTGTAAGACTGATACCAATTCTGGCGGATTTAAATCGAATTCTTTTTTAGATAACTCCCGTGTTCGACATGTGTATATTAGATATCGTATTCGTATACCAACATGATATCACCCTATGGCCTTACATATCACATGCAACAGCTGATCGGGAACTGGATAATTATTTTATTCTCTGTACATTGTTAGTGATACGATTTAGTTCTTTAAGGATCCCACGGACGTACGCAAAAAACTAGCCGTGGTCTCAAAAATTACTTATATCGTATTATGTCCGGATCTAGGTATAAGTTAGCCTGGAATGTTCCTAACGATGTGACCCTACACTGATAAAATTCCCCTGTTACCTTCGTGCTCAGGCGGATTGCTCCCTCTTGACGGCTTTACTCATGATAACATAGTCGGGGATAAATTCCTTGCCGAATCGTAGCTTCCTCGGTTCTGGTGATATCTCGTCTTTCTCGAAACCCAACTTCTTATAGAAAGCAAACGCTCTCTGATTGCTTAAAAAGCAAGTAAGCATGACTTTTTCAATAGGAGGCGTATTAACAGCGATGCTCTCTAGGAATCCCATGAGTGTCTTGCCTAGGCCAGTTCTATAGAACGTAAGTACGTAGTTGGCACAACAGGCAATGAGAATTAGTTGGCAGTATACCCTTGTAGCTCTGGCTTGAGATGGATCTCGTAACAGTATACAACGGGCTCGCCTTCTTCATATGTAGGCATTAAAGATGTGAAGCCGCGGACACTTCCCACGATATCCTTGACTAGGATATACCTCAACTCAGGGGATTTCATCTCAGCGAGCTTTTTACCCGGCTTCCACCCGACTGATGAAGATTCATAATCGGCTCGGCTAGTCTCTTCAACTAGCTTGAAGCACGCGTCGAGGTCTTCATCACTCAAGTTACCCGAGCTGGTAAGGCTGAGCGGGAACTTGTCTTGTGTCTTTGGGTTGATCCACTCAGGCCATGCAGGGTTACTGGCGCGTATATATATTAATGACTGGATTTTCTTGTGATGAGTCTAAAGGAAATATTTACCTGGGGTATAGGTGCTCCTTAATGAAAGTATCGTCATCCTTCCGGTTTGCTCTCTCAATAGGGTTCGTAGCAGCACGTCTGCGCTTAACACTCCGCTCAAGGCCCTTCATCTCCTAGTCTCAAACGCTGGTACGGTCGGTGAAAATTGCAAAATCCCACAAGCTGCGTTATCATCATGCGTATAGTAAGACTGAAGTAGTATTTATTTAATATTTCTTCTTCACACGTTTAGAAGTAACATTTTTGCGAACGTTGGTGTCAAGATACGTATTAGGAGTTGCGACGCGGCTTATGTAAGTTACACGTCTAAAGCCATAAGTTTCCAATGCCTGGAATATCTCTTATCTCCCTTATCTCGGCCCTGATGCAACAGGTTAATTGCATAATAATCTGCAAGTTAGTGATAGATTAACTATTCGAATTTCGTATCAACTCTCGATTATCAGTTTCAATCTCCCTTCTCATGCGCCTCATTCAAGGTAGATCGAGTCTGCGCTCTGCCATTGCCGTCCGAGACTATGCGACTAGCTCACCAAAGGGTCGGCTAGGCGCAGCTCTGAGTTTGGACCATGTATGTCTATTCTTATTCTCTTGAATCTCTCTATATTTTCATCTTGACCTAAAAGCTAATGAATGTCCACATAGTTCCTCTTACGTTCACGCGCCCTATCCCTCTATCGTAGTATAATCCGCGGTACGAGGCAAATTGGTGACCCGACTACTCGCGCCGAGACACGCAATTTTGCACGCGGAGAGTTCGAGCGGCATCGCAATGTCACGGATATAAATCATATACGCTATCTCTTATCGACCGGCAAGACGGAATGGGAGGGCATGGAGAGGTATATTGGGGGCATGTAACGTCATAATACATATGTGTGTTTATGGCAGCCTTCCTGTTATATAGACACCAAAGGTCATGGCTGGCGTTGACCATCCTAGGTTCCGATCCGGCGCCGGCTTTATAACGGTATACTCCCTAGTCCATCTAGTACATTGTATCGTACATACCGCGAGTCGCCAATAATAAGCGCAAAATTCAGAACACCCCGAAGTAATACCTTTATCGGCCCATTTAGAGGACTGTCTATCAATTTCTTTATCCTTGTCGTTGCTTGTGTCTTGGATTCGCGCTGCAGATGATGTAGAGGTAACCACGATGTCGCTTGCCAGCCTTTCTTCTCACGACCTATCGCAATTGTATGTTAGCAAATATCCATTGGAACCCATGTGTCTAGAACGATATCATCGTAGGCTATAGAAAAAGGGACTCTGTTCCAGACGCTCTGCTCCCTCATCCCTCATAACTGACCTTGCAGTGTTCACATCGCTTCTTGACTGAACTGTGAACCTTCATGCCTCTGGTCTGCTGCTGCGCGACGGCTTGAATCATCCTCGTTGCGTTCGTTATCGTCGGCGTGGGTCTTGCCGTCGTTCTCGGAGCTAGAACCGCTTGGGAGATGCTACGAGTGTGTTGATGTTCTCGTAGAATTTGTCGGGCTGCTGGTATCCGTGCCGCGCGAAGGGACAGCGCCCGAAGCGACGATATTAGAGAAGAGGCCGCCATTTCGAAGAGGAGGATTGGGTATCGCAATTGCCCTCTCCTAGAACTACCGTGTTTGGGATTTGTCGATGCAAAGTGTAAAATGTATGAATGTACATCCGATGCAGGGAAAATCCGATGTCGAATGATGTGGGGCAACCCAATGTCACGTCCTATTGGTTATTTCAGGGAATAGCATTTATATATATATCACATATATGTATCTAAAGGCACAATCAGTCTACGTTTATTACGTCGAATTAAATTAAAACGCTCTCCTTCTACTACGGACAAATTCAAATCTATCTTCCTTTAGGTATCATAACTTGCGTATGTCGGTTGGCTTCCTTGATCTAAAAGAAATCGTAATTATACCTCCCTATCGCCGATTCCACATATTCTCAATTTGCTAGTAGCATCTCATAGCTCCCAACTACTGCTCGCTCCTCAAGAACGTCTTGAAAATCGAACTTTGTGTGCGATCCTCCCATGGGTACCCGATCTTTTTGAATGACTTCTCTAAGTCGGTCACTTCTGATTCGGGGCATTGTATACCCGTCAATATTTTACCTATATCACTGCCGCCGTTTCTGTACTGAAATAGGCTGATGTTATATCGCAATTGTAAAGTTCCTAAGAACTTCTCGAGGGCGCCGGGACGTTCGGGGAAGTTAAACATGTACAACCTCTCATCTGCAACGTCGGACCGGCCCCCCACAAGGTAACGGATATGTGACTTGGCAAGCTCGTCACCTGATAGGTCTGTGGCCGTCATACCCGCACGGTTAATTCGGTCTATAAGGTCCTGGAGCTCTTGATCTCGTCCTGCTGCTCCACCTGTCAGTGATATACCAACTAAAATGTTGGCAATCTCATTGGTTGCGTAGCGGTAGGAGAACTCTGTCACAGCATGCGGCATAACGTGGTTGATCAATTCGGCGAAAGACCCCGGCCTCTCCGGGATGCTAACATGGAGCAAGGCCTCTTTACCCTCGCCGAGAGTAGCGCGCTCGGCCACGAAGCGCAGCCGGTCGAAGTTCATGTTCGCACCGCTTGTGATGGCTATGACGGATCGATTCGGGTTGCTGGACGGATTCGCTGACACCCACTTCTTCAATCCAGCAAGAGCTAGCGCGCCTGCTGGCTCTACGATAGAACGGGATTCTTCGAACACGTCTTTGATGGCAGCGCAGGTCTCGTCGGTATTCACTTCGACAATCTCGTCGATCACCTCTTGACATATCCTAAAGGTTTCTTCGCCGACTGTCCTAACCGCCGCGCCGTCGGCGAATAAGCCCACTTCCTTTAGAACCACTCGCTTGCCTTCCCGCAAGGACTGGACCATGGCATTCGCATCCTCGGCCTCGACTCCGATTATCTTAACGTGTGGTGCAATGCGTTTAACGTAAACGCCAATGCCTGCGATAAGGCCGCCTCCACCTACGCAACAGAATATTGCTTGGAGTTTCTGGATATTTGTCTGGCGTAGTAGCTCCATTCCTATGGTTCCCTGTCCAGCGATGACATAAGGGTCGTCGAAGGGTGGTATGTTGATCAGGCCGTGTTGCTTTTCCAGTCTCGCGCATTCTTCTTTAGCAGCGTCGAAGTCTTGACCGTGAAGCACCACGGCACCGCCTAATCTTGAAACATTTCTGTGCTTGATACTCGGCGTTCCCGAGGGCATAACGATAGTTGCCGGTATTTTGAGTAATCTAGCAGAGTAGGCCACTCCTTGGGCGTGATTTCCGGCGCTGCAAGCAACTACACCCTTCCAGCTCTGGCTTCGATCGAGATGGGCCATCTTGTTGTAGGCGCCTCGCAGCTTGAAGCTGAAGACGGGCTGCTCGTCTTCTCTCTTGAGTAAGACATTGCATTCGAGTCTGTTTGAGAGGTTCGTGGCATGTGTGAGAGAAGTCTCTTTGCACGCTTCGTATACCCTCGAGGTAAGGATCAGGCGGAGATACTAAGGACATGGGAAGCAACTATCAGTCATTCGTAGGCCAGGGCAAGTAGACACGATAAAGTGACAAAGACGAACATCAGGATGCCCATTGGGCAAGAGAAATTCCTGGGGAATGACTTCTTTTTGTCTACGCTCCGATGGCGGCGAGGGGTTTGCACTGTACTCTGTAAGAGACAGACCTGACGGCGAAGGGGTTCGTGGTCGAAGGCTATTAGTTCCGTTCCTGGCTCTCTCGGCCACTTCGATATCAATTGGATCAACTGTTGTTCCAGGCATATTGAAATACTTGAATGCCAGCAACTTCTACGGTATCAACAAAACAAGGGAGAGAATGATATGATAAATATAATAAATTGTGTCCAGCACCAAAATGATTTTAGACTTCTGATAGTGGGGCACTCCTCTGTATCGATTGGAGCTTACCTACCTAACCTACCTTGCAGGAGCTCTAGCGGGGTCCTTTACCCACCTAATCCTGATGCTTGCTGTAGTAGGTACCTACCTTAATCAGGCACCGGTAGGAGCGACTATAGCCTTGAGAGCTAGCTTCTCTAGGTGCCTGCCTATAGAATCTATAGAAGTGGAAGCCTTTCTCCAAAGAATGGTGGGGCTCTGATGGCATCTTTGGTAATAGGGAAGGTGTATTGAATCCTACGCTTTATGATATGTACAAAGAAACTAGTCTATCTTATCGTCTTATCGCCTTATCCGGCGGCACATTACGTACACCATGCCGAGAGTTAAACAATTAGGTCGATATGTATCATTAAACCTTCAACCTCGAATTTGCGCAAACCGGCTCAACCTAGGCCGGTGTATATTTAAGCCATCCGCTGGTACGGGTCCTTCGTAACCAGGTCACCGGAATTCAAGATCTAGGCAGCCAATTCGCCTGTAAAACCCGACTTCAGCATGGCAGACAGATCTATGCCCTCGTCCTTCGACGACGACAGGTGCCCCTCCCCCTCACCCGCTCCTCTCCCTCTTCTTCTCTCCACCACCACACACGAACACATACCGGGGTTGCTAGATATTTAGCTTACGAAGGCATAACTAGGGAATACAATGAAACCGGGTTCCAGAAGATCGGCCGCAAACTGCGAGAGGAGCCTCTAATCCCTCTCGGTACGTCATTCTCCCACACCAACCACACTACCCATTCTTCCAAATCTCAGCGCAATGGACTTAAAAACTAAACAATTATCCTGTAATGAACAGGAACCCTCCTAACCACCCTCGCCGTGTACAACGCCTGGCGCGCCATGCGCCGCGGCGACCACGCCCAAGTGCAACGGATGTTCCGGGCGCGCATCGGCGCGCAAGCCTTCACAGTCATGGCCATAGTCGCGGGAGGCACCTACTACGGCGCGGACCGGGAGAAGCGCAAAGAACTAATCAAACTCGAGGCGCAGCAGCGCGCCGAGGAGCGCCACCAGAAGTGGCTGAAGGAGCTTGAGGTCCGCGACGAGGAGGACAAGCATTTGAAGGCGGCGATGAAGCGCCGGCAGGACCGAATACAGCAGCGGCGGGCGGAGGAGCGGGGGCGGGTTGCTGTGGAGGAGGGGAAGACGGGTTCAGGGGTTGGAGAAGAGGAGGAGAAGAAGGATGGTGGGTCGAATGTGCTAGGTGCTCTGTCGAGTGCTGGTGGTTGGTTTGGAACGAAGAAAAGCGAGAATCCGACGACATCTGAGCAAAGTAAGGCCCGAGAGGGGGGTTCGGAAAAGAAAGCTTAAATGGAAACCGCCGGGCTGTGACATGCATTATGAAATTTGCAAGTGACTATTCTCGGTTTCGGTTCAAAAGGAAATATTTTGTACCAAACTTGATCAGGACCGGAAGGCTACCTAGGGAGGAGTACATTTAAGAGCAAAAGATTGAAAAGTCATCTCGATAGGCTATCCGAAAGGAGCCTATGCATACGCTATACCATTGTATATATTAGCTAACATCACGTCTCATCGTATAAATGGCGGCATTGGAAAGGGTTGTGCACGAAGCATAGAATTTGGATTCTCTTCTCGCATATAACAAAACTGATAACCATAGTAAATGCTGTATTCATCCTAACGCCGCTATAGCCTATCCGTAAATCAAGCCATTGACCCTCCGCTCCTATGTGCGCCGATTAGCCCAGCCATCTCTAGCAGTGTACGATCAGTAGCGATATCTCTCGTGCCCAAGTTTACTCTCCTCCTGGATTCGGCCTCGCGGGCTTCCCATTCCCAGTGCTCCCTTTGTACCCTTGCCTCTTCATCACCACCGCAGCCCCATACCTCGATATCGTCGATATCGAAGCGTTCCTGGAAGTCGTACTTCCGGGATGTGCTGGTCGCGAATGCGCCGCCGCGGGAAGAGTGGTCGTGTGTGAAGACACCAAACTCGAAGCTTGAGTCGATGACAAGAGACACGGGCCCTAATTTGTGTAGCGACTCGTAACGCGACGACTGGCTTTTCTTGGGGTGTGGACAGCCGAAGCTAATCCCGGGATGAGCTGCCGGTGCCTTTTGAAACGCCACATAGTCACGGTTTAAGGTAGATGCCGGGAAGACGTCGTGAGTTGGCGCAAGCTGGAATAGGAGTGTCTCTTCGTCTCCGAAGCACTCCTTGTGTGTATATCGCCACGGCTGCCTGACAAGTGCTCCGAATACCAAGCGATCGCGGTCCGCTGGACTTCCGTTCGGGAATCTCTTGGAAGGTAGGGTATCATGAAAGGCGTCTTCTAATCTATTGCCACTTGGTGGGTCTGAAAGCCTAGTACCAGATACTAGGAGAATCGTAGGCGCACGCCAGTTGAAGACCTTTGACTCAAAGCTACCCATTGAGTATCCTGACTTTGAGCCAGAATACAGCAAGCGTAGCCGCCGGAATAATTCGTTCCCATTAATGAAGAAGGAAAGTTGAGATAGAATGCTGAGGTTTAGAATGTCGCTCTTATCTTGCAATAGGGGAGGCCGTACTATCGCAGACGGCATGGCGCTGGGCACACTATCCTTACGTTTTGAGAAGTCGAGGTTCTTGGAAAATAGGAAGTGCTCAAACAAGGGATTGAAACCATTGAAAAGAAAAGGCAGATTTGACGGAAGGGTCCTGTTAAACTGGGCGTAGGTGATACCAGGGGATTTCTCAACATCTACAAAGGCCGACAGGATATTCTCAGCCGTCGCTCTCAAGTCTTCGAGTTCCTCGCCCGTGACCCTATCGGCGTAGCTAGAGATGTTATCTTGCGCATCTAGTGGAGAGACTAGAAGCAGTAACATGATTAGTTTTCTGAGATTGTCTGCTGGGATCATAGCTCCGTGTGTGGTAGCGGCGTGAGAATCGCCCGTCTTGAAAGCGTCATTGATATCGAGTGAGTCCAACGCAGCTAGAACAAGCTCGTCATCCTCCGCCGTATCATCATCCAGATCATCGCCAGCCTCGTCAATAGCAAAGCCGGAGGCGTGTCCATTGGAGGATGGTTGCGATAAACCTGCATCACGCTGCTCAGTATCGATCTCGGATAGCTTCCGATCGTACACGGCCAAGCTCTTAAACAGCAATTTTCTCCTGCTGCTAGCACTTTTAGTTAAGACCTTGGTGTAGCGCTCTGTCATTATAACCACGACCATGGTCATCTGCTCGATGCCGAGTATAACTGGTGCGTCACTGAGAAATGGAAAGGCGCCAATGTAGGTCAACATATGGAACAAGACAGGCGAGACGGCGAGGATGTCTGGTAGCTCCAGAAAGCGAGTAATGGTGTCCTCCTTAAGGTAACGCACATTTCGCTCGTTATCAGCAAGGGATCTGAAGTTATCCTTAAAAGAATAGAGCTCTATTGGCTCGAAACATTTACGAGCGAACTTATTGGCCTATTTAGTTGATGTCATGTTAGCTTTGAACGGGAGCTTTAAGATGCGGTGTAGCCAGAATATCCGTACCAGGTGTGTCCTAATTTCCTCTTTAGAGGGAGGCTTGGCCTCATCTGACAGGGTCTGTCCCATGATTTCTCCTTGAAGAAAGCGAAGCCATTCCAAGGGAAGAATACATGTGTTTTGAGGATAGGTATGAAATATATATAGGTAAGGTGAGGATGAGATGTCGGTATGCGGTCCTACCGCCTGTAGATAAAGATAAAGTATTGAATTCAGCACTAAAATCAGGCGTTCGGGAGTCCCACTCAGCTACATAGATTGGTATTGCTAGGTGCATCTACCTATAAATGGCGGGGTGATCACTGAATGCCACGCTAGAATCGTATGACGTATGGTACCTGTACTTACCTCACCCAGCTGTATACATTACCTTGGACCACTACCTATGTATTCTATATCATCACTCAACAGATCATTAGACCGAAACCTTTTCAATACTTAAAGTTGAAGTGAAATGCGCTCGGAGTATCATAGCATGTGAGTCAACTGATAGAGATATCTCTTTTTCATCTCGACTCTATTATTCGAACCGCAAGAGGTTATAGCACTTAATCCGGAATCCTGCTAGCACGTACGCAAAAACAACAACTATAAATTCTAAAAATACCTAATCACAATACGCACAAACCTGTCAATGTTCACTTTGTTCAGTCAATGTTTCGAGCCGTGTTAGTTATTGTAGTCCCAAGTTTTGTCCCTTTGTAAGTCAGACTTGATAAAGTGGATTATATTCCAACATATCACAAAGGGCTATAGCTATCCCCCAATGCTACTCATGGTCATTCGTACTATTTTCGTACAATTAGATTAATACATACAAGAGGGTCAAACGTGTCTTTGTCGCTGTTGTGATGTATATATACTGCCGAGGTTCGAGCACGCTTGTGTGGCTTGTCTTTTTAAATTCCAGTAATTAACATCAATCCTTTTCGGAATATAATATTCATTAATACCTATTCATCATAATGCGTGTTCCTTATAGTATTATTTTCGGCTTCATCGCCGCAAGTCGGGCGTGGCCCACTCCTTTCCCTGATGGCAATCTTAATACGGACTTTGCTCCCGGATCGAACCCCAGGAGGAATCCATCCGAGGTTATAAGTCAACTTCAACAACTAATAGAGAAGACATGCCATAATGCTTGTCTGGAACTTTTCCCTGACGAGGGGGCCAATCACGAAGCCTGTATGAATATATGCCGTAAGTCGTCTCTTGTCCCTTTCTTTAGCTACTCAGGTCTAATCACTATTACTTAATAGATCACAAGCAATCCGACTCCGATAATACCAACCCGGATTCGGGTATGTAAAGTCTGTGATGAGCGTTCCAATCGAACCAAGGCAATGCGTTTCGAACATCATGGCACTGCTGTAAACGGCAGCCAGTATTTATGACTTACGATTTAAACGTCGGGTTTCTTATTTTGGTTATACCACGGAGCATCTTCAGTTTATACATTATTTGTAGCGTATAAGTATCATCATGTACTTAAAGATTTAAATTAGTAGGCGTATAGTATGGATCTATCAGTAGTTATAAGCTCAATTCTTAAGCTCGAGAGTAGGACTTTACGACTATCTTGAGAGTGCGTGGCGATAAAGAGCTTCAAAGTTCAAATGTTTATCTTTAAGGATGTTTTTACCTTTAAAGATCAGACTTGTTCAATGTGTAACTAACACTAAAAAGTACCAAGAAGTACGGTATCTAACTTGCTTCAGCCACAGTCACGCACCCCTGAAAGTCTAGACTTTCTTTATATGCACGGTAAGTCTTGGTGTCCGTGTCCCTGGGATATCCCCAGCAGATGCAACCCAAATAAATGGCCAGGGCAATCGATGTTATCTCAAACTCCACCCAAATCCACCTTCACATGTCCCCGTTTTGGCCTATGAAGCAGACAACGTCTCAATTCCCCCCCGTGTAAGAAACAAGAGTGGCTAGCTACTCACTCGGGATCTAAGCCCTGCATATGAACTTTATCATGTAGTATTAAACTTAATAGCTAAATAAACGCCAGACAAGCAACGAAACATCTTTTTATTTCTTTTTTTCGTTTACTCCTTTTCTCGTTTTCTTGCCAACTATCTTGACAACAATCTCTCTAGAGGAGGGTTTACTTTCTAATCGCCGTGCGTCTCAATAAACAATACGATATTACTTAGGAATATAATCAATCTGCTCGGTCGGATATAATATACAAAAAAGCGACGAGAGATCAACCATGTCTCTAACTATCGCCCCTGTTAAATGTGAGGACAAGATAGATGAGCAACATCATAAATCAGCATGGTTTCAATTCATGAAGGTATGACTCTAGGTTCCTATTCTGTTTAGCTACTGAATTGTCTCGCTGATTCTTATTGTCTAGTCTGTCGCAACATTTAGGGGGGATCTCACGTCATTGACGGCGCCGCCTTTCCTGCTTGCTCCTTGGTCTATAGTCGAATACAGCGCATACTGGGCTGAGCACCCACGTCTTCTTGTATCCCCCGCAAGAGAAGAGTGTCCCAAAAGAAGAGCCCTACTAGTTCTTCAGTGGTTTCTAAGCACTCTGAAGCAACAGCATGCAAGCAAGGACGAAAATGGCAAAAGAAAAAAGCTGAAGCCCTTGAACCCATTTTTAGGGGAGATATTCTTAGGCAAATGGTTAGACGACGCTGGAACGACCCATCTAGTAACCGAGCAAGTCAGCCATCACCCTCCAACAACTGCGTTCCGAATCTGGAACGACGCGCATGGCGTTAGGGTAAGAAACCTCAAATCTGTAATTAGATGCTTCTCGTTGACACTCTGCTGACGTACAACTAGCTTGAGGGCTATGTCTCACCGAAAGCCTACTTTTCGTCCACGATAAATATAGAACGACAAGGATATAGTGTCTTACACATCGATAAGTACAACGAAGACCACTGGATTACGATGCCAAAAGTCCATGTCGAAGGGATTGTCACTTTCCAGATAGCCCCAGAGCTCAGTGGCGTCTCCTATATCCGTAGCTCCTCGGGCTATACGACACGTGTCAACTATTCTTCTAAAGGCTGGATAAAGGGCAAAAGCAACTCATTTACCGCCACTATATACCCGGATAACGATGAAAGCAAACCCCTATTCATCGTAGAGGGCCGATGGAGCGATTCATACGCCATTAAAGACGGCAATGGGAAGGTGCTGGAAACTGTTGATCTGACCTCGCTGCGGAGGACACCACTTCAGGTCGCCCCAATCGAATCGCAACACCCCCTTGAATCTAGACGAGCGTGGAAGCCTGTTGTCGACGCTATCAATGCAAACGATATCTTCACGACTGGACACGAGAAGAGCAGGATTGAGAACGCGCAGCGCGCGCTACGGAAAATGGAAAAGGATGCGGGTGAAACATGGACGAGGCGGTACTTCACCCAAGTCGAGGAAGATCCTATAGCGGAAAAGCTCTCAGTCAAGAGTAAATCCGCACCGGCTGATGGGCCTAACCGAATGATCTGGAAATTTGATGACGAAAAGTTCAAGAGGATCACGGAAAACCAGCAAAATGGCATTAAGAGTCCTATCCGTCCTCGATTTGACTCTGGGGTTGGATTCTTGGAGATAGAAGAGGTATAGATTCGGGCTACAGCAACCATTGGGAGGCCATATTCATAGGAGTTTCAGCATGTTATTTTAGTAACGACTGCGTTGGTATACAGAGGGCTTGTTGATATTACGCTGGCGGGTTGGGTAAATAGGTGAAATTTTTCAAATATCCACGTCTGACTGGACAGACTCGTATTGGGTTATACAATAAATTATTTTATTCAATACTTTACGAAGGCTCAAAGACAAGCTCAGGGTGTGTTTAGGTGACCTTATGTTCTTACAAGAACCATCTAAACTCTTCGACTTCAGGACCATCTCTCAGCTGCAACGTTGATACATCCTTCGCGGTGAGATCCACGCCCTGTCGGCGGTTGCGACTTTTATTATCCCATAGCACTTTAACAATATGTCAGTACTGGCTACCTCAGGCGAGAATTTCGGGGGTTATGACTTACTGTAAAGACCTAGAGATCCCGCAACAAGACATCCAGTAGCACCAAAAGACGCGGTGGTGATTAGAGCAGGTAAGTACTTAGGCGCATCTTTCTCCTGGAATACGTTACTGGATACTAGCCCCATAAGATTCGCCAGGGGGACTCCAACCGAGGTCAACGTCAGACGTTCACCCTCGTGCGCCACATTGTTATTATACCACTAGCAAAAAGGTTAGATATCTGAAAATAGGAGCGCAACATTCAAGCCAGGTCCGGCTAGATTTGCTCGATAGTTCGCTACGTATGACCTCGCGAGGGATGAGACTTACAGCGCTTAATAGTACGGACGGCGCCGAAGTTCCCCAGCACATCATGAATGTCGCGAAATAGGCCACTCGAATCTGCGCATGAACGTCTGATATCGAAGCGTATATAATAAACCCGATGAACGTAAACGCGAAGCCGAGGCATACGAAGGGGAACCGGATTCGCAAGCCATCAGATGTAAAGGCTAGCACTAGTAACATAACCGCGCCCTATAAGCACATTAGAAAAGATGCATATATTAACCAGGGAACTTGCACGACTCGTTCTTACTGTGACATTAGGCGCAACGGTATATAGGTTGATCGTAACTGTATCGCTGACCAATCTCTGGACGATCTGGGGCAAGAATAGGGACACTGCCTGCAGAGGTACACCGAGACATATCTCAATGATCAGGAAGCCGTAAGTTGTCGGCCTCTTGAATATTTTCAGAGACTCCCTCAGGACGAACTTCTCATTAACGATAGAAGAACTGTCGATCTGTATACGGCGGTACGCCAGCGCCTTCTGCTCCTCGTTCAAAAACCGGGCCTCGGCGGCAGAACGGGGCAAATAGAAGAAAGCAAATATCGAAAAGCACACCGTAACACTACCCTCGACGATGAAAAGCCACCGCCAGGGGTGATCTATGAGCGTTGACTTAATCTGGAAGACACCAAAAGCAAGCAGCCCGCTAAAAGCGTTCGCGATATTAGACGCCGCGTAGAAGATAGCAAGACGACTCGCGAGTTCGCCGCGCCGGTAGAAAGTCGTCAGATAGTAGATGACAAGCGGGAAGAATGCCGACTCAGACATGCCCAGAAACCATCGCAGAGCAAACACGCCGCCAAAGTTTTTCGCCGCCGCGGTGAGGAGCGTGAGCGTGCCGAAGCAAAACATTAGAATAGGGAGGACGCGGGCTGGGCCGTATTTCTTGCCTAGCATAGCTAGTGGCGGCGCAAATAGGACGTAGGGGACAAAGAATATCCCGACGATCTGGTTGTACTGCCCCGGTTTGAAGTTCAGGTCTGCGATTGGGATGGGTAAGTAAGATATCTGGAGGAGATGTGCGATAGAGACGAGCTAGGTTGCTTTGCTTACCTTTGGATAGGCCGGCGGTCTGCGCATTTCCCAGGTTGCCTTTATCGAGGGCATTGAATAAATACTGAGAGGCGGATTATTAGCATGTATACGAGGACAAGAAGGTTGTTTTCTATGAAGCTAGAATAGGAGATTTGCGCCGGTTGCTTCCAAGAACTTACCATTACAGCTAGAACCGGTAGCAAACGAAGATCGAATTTGCGACAGAGTGCCCTCTCGGCGATAGGATCAATAATGTCCGTCGTTGCCTCAGAGACGACCACATGGCTTTCGACATCGTTACTGTTCCTACCGCTTGAGATGATATCCTTTTTTATCCCAGCCGAGTCCGACTTTGCGAGGCCGACGAACTTATCATCTGCCATGGTGAAGCGGTGTTGCAACTACAACTAGAGACCTGTAGAACGGCGGGTTCGAAGAAGACGGGCTCTGGAATGTAGATGTAACTATCACAAGCAGGGGGAAGTTTTTGGAGTTGGGTTTCGACTGGTCATATTAAAGAATAAAGATTGCCTATCTTCCTTCGCGTAATAACCATCCAATCCGTTCATCTTTTATATTCCAAGGTAACACCACGCGTCGTTATCTAAACTCCGGAGGAGATAAACGAGATAAACGAGATAAAATGAGATGTAGATACACCAACCCAATCAACGTCGCACAGCAGATCCTACTACGCTGGGATTAGAGGTCAGCCCATATCCTTGTCCTGGGCTGATATGGGGTTTGGCGGGTTTGATAAGACGCCTTACCTCATAAACAATATAATACATACATAGGTACCTAGGTCGTCAGGGGTATCCTGGGGTAATGGGGTTCGGTGGGGGTCTGGGGGTTCGGTGGGGGGGTTCTAGGTATAAGATATCTATGTACATAGTATTACTCCATAAAACTTATTCCTTTACCTACCTACCCGGGTGGGGGGGGTCCCAGGACAGTATGACTCTAGAATGTTGAAATGTACTATAATGTCAATTCGGGGAAAGCCTGTTAACAGAGCTGTACCAGAATTATATAGAATAATGATAACCTTACTTCCGATCCTTTCCGTAAAAATACACCCTCGCATTGACCATACATTCTAGCACGGGCCCCCCTTACAAGAATAATATTATAATCAAAATAGCCTCAATATCGTCGACTTTATACTGTTGCAGTAGGTGCTATTGTGGCCCTGAAATTAAAATAGGAAAGAGACTCTTGTGGAAGAGACAATGCTTGCAGAGATAAGAAAGACTGTTAGAGATAAGATGCTGTTGCCGTCGATACCAGGTGACTCTTGCCAGTATAATGAGGCTTGTCAGTACGGCTATTACACCTACCTCGTTACGTTGATTTTAATTCAATATAGTCAGTATAATAAGGCTTGTCAGTACGGCTATTACACCTGCCTTACCACGTTGATTTTAATTCAATATAGTCATTATAATAGCCCTTGAAAGCCTGAAGCACCTTGGCTGACCTGGAAGGAATAGGTGGCCTAACATACCTTATATAAGGTAATAGGTCACCTTCCCACACGCGTACGTAATGTAATGTAATGTAATGTAATGCCTCGTAGCCTAATTGAATAGCCCGTAGACTTGTATGACTTGTAACATGACTTGTAACATGACTTGTAATGATTCGAATCCCATCGTGACTTAGTAAAAAAATAAACGATCTCAAGCACCTTGAAATAAGAGGTGTTTGAGATGGCCTCTTTTTAATTTTTATTCAATATATATATATATCCCTTGGTGCACAATACCTATTAAATGAATATACTAGTAGTACCACTAGTATTATATCAGGGTGTATATCACGTTAGTGTCCCTATTATACGCATAACATGATTATATACCATATACACTCTGTTCGTGTAACCCCAGAATTGTGCAGCCAACACACTGTTGGAGACACAATACTGGTGGGGGGATAATACTGACCTAGCCTTACCAGACTATTATTTTTATTATTATATTTAAATTAAATCTAAAACCTTGGGGATATTTTTATTAAAATAATCAGAATCTCCAGGTCGAATAGTGTCCGATACAAAACGTGTGAGTCTCTATTGTTTAAATAAATTATGGTATATGATTTGAAGTATGTTGACAGATTGGTATCAGTCTGTCCTAGGACCCCCCCCACCCGGGTAGGTACTTAGATACATCTAGCCTAGGAATGGAAGCTACCTAGATGAGTGCAAAGTCATGTGCCAGGTACTGTTTTGTTTGGCTGCAATTGATACATCTAAGTAAGGTACCTAATGCACCTCATACAGCAAGTCCCAATGTCCGAACACCTCCGATATGGGGTACAGGTAGTGGAGTAACCCTTCCCCTCTCGGCTTGCATTGTGGAATATGTATTTAGGTAAACTTCCGTTGGAATTGCTTGAACTATATTTTACGCCTGGGAAGTTCCAAGCGACACGAACTCGAGAAAATATTGACCTGCAGAAAAATACCTCGGTAAACAGCCCTACATCAATAGTAGTCTTTCGAACGAACAAGGTATACGCCATGGCCGAAAAGACTCCCGTCCTTACGGATAAGGCACCAAAGCCCTTGGCTGGCATTTACAGCCAGGCCATCAAGGCCAACGGATTTGTCTTCGTCTCCGGAGCTGTTCCTATGGACGCCGCGACGGGAAAAATAGTCGACGGTGACATTCAAGCCCACACTGTAAGTTAGAGGACCGACCTTATTCCCCGTGAAACTTTGCTAATGGAGTGTCATCTATATAGCACCAGTGTATCAAGAACCTTGGTGCCATCCTTGAAGCGTCCGGCTCCGACCTCAACAAGGTTGTAAAAGTCAACGTCTTCCTCTCCGATATGGACAACTTCGCAGCCATGAACGAGATCTACAGCCAGTATTGGGGTGAAGTAAAGCCTTGCAGAACGTAAGTGACCGTCCACCAGACCATACCCAAAGAGAACATCTTTTATGGTAGCTAATCGCTCGTAGATGCGTTGCCGTTAAGACACTGCCACTCAATGTGGACGTCGAGATTGAGTGCACCGCAACTTACTGAACAGGGTCTCTTACCATAGTAAAATAATTGAGTGCTAGTTGAACATCATAAGTATCACGATGTCACTTAAACTGGAGGGGATAAAAATAGTCATGTATGTCTTAGTTTAATTACAAGACTTTTCCTCAGCACCTAGGAATATCAATCAGTGACACTTACAAGTATTATTCTACCTATTATTCCTATGACTAAATATCTACTATTCCTACGATGAAATGTTAAAAAATTAGACTATATTATGGATTAAATAGTTATAAGATCGAATGGTAATAGATGCTTCATCTTTAACATCATGACCCCCTCACATTATGGTTGACGTAAAACAAATTCAGTTTTGAACAGAGGAGCTAGCTTAAACCATATGAATATGAACTCAGAATTGATAGTCTTAACATTTTGTATTACTACCTAATGTATTGATACACCCGTGAATCTAGGTACTTCTCAACAAGACAATCGTGAGACATAGCGCATCGCTTATTTTATTTAGGCACCGAGTCCGGTTCCGGGTACATTGTTTCCCTAAGCGCATCACAGAAGTATGTGATAGCCTCCCTTCCAGCGTCTAGGACACCATCCATAGCAATAAAGGGGTGTGGCTGGCCAGCCATGGTATGAACATCAGCCTTTACGCCCGCATTGCGTAGTTTATCTCCAAACTGCCGCCCTTCGTCCCTCAACACGTCCAATTCCCCAACAACGATAACGGCAGGTGGAAGTTTCGACCATTCCCCCTCCCACAATAACGGGCTCGCTTCGGGGTGAGACCAGTCTGACCGGTTGGGCAGGTAGTGTTCTCGGTACCAGAGCATCTTGGGAGCGGGGAGGGCCGGGGTATGCTGGTTTTCCCTCCACGATGCGTTGTTGTGTATGTCCGCCGTGTTATCCGTCACCGGGACCGAAAGTAATTGTAAGGAGAACTTGAAACTGCCTAGGGTAGCGGCGCGTTGGCACATGATCGCAGCCAGGTTTCCGCCCGCAGAAGAGCCTCCAGTAGCAAGCTTAGTAGTATCCAGTTGCAAAGCCTCTTTCCCTTGGCCTAGAGCCCACAGCACACTTTCCCAACAGTCATCCACTGCAGCAGGAAAGGGGTCCTCGGGGGCAAGTCTTAGGAGGGAGTATTAGCATTTCCTCTTTCAAGTTGTCACAAGATAAAGGGGTACTGACCTGTAGTCCACGGCGATGACAACACACTTGCTGCGGGCGCAGAGATTTGTTGCGATTACGTTTTCTGTGTCGATAGTTCCTAAAACCCAGCCACCGCCGTGAAAGTAAATACAAACAGGCCATCCCTCGGCGGGCTTGGATCCATTGGGCGTGAAAGCTCTAATCCTGACATCCGGGCCAGTTGTCTCCTGCCGCGAGATGCTATAGTCCTTTGTCTGGGCCACGGGGGCAAGGGGCCCAGCACCTGGGATTAGAGTGCCACTTGCCCGCGAAGCTTCTATGGGCTGCAAGTGAACTTGCTGGTTCTTGATGATATGCTTGTTGTAGAAAGCCTCATATTGAGGGTTGATGCGGTGGACTATGGACGAATGGAGAGGATAGGGGGGTTCGGGATGGTTTCCCCTAGTTACTCTTTGTTCAACACTCATGGTAGGTGCTTCTAAGGGGTATGAGATGTATTAAGAGTTGAATTGTAGATTTTATAATTATACGGCAATACTGGATGTATAGACTACAAAACTAAAGTTCTAGGAGGGAGGAATTGAGGCCAGTCCACCATATCAGTGAGTTCGCACTAGCTCTTATACTCCATCTTGCCGAGAAGCTATTGTGTAGCTAGGGTTAGTCTTATCAGTTGTTATAAGCGCAGCTAACTCAAGATCGTCAGATTATCATGCAGCTTGATGTGTTCTAAGGCGCTTTCTTTGACCCAGATACATAATGACATCAAAAATTCCGATACCGCCACTGGTTGAAGGAACAACCCAACTATCGCTGCCGACTTGTGACACAACCGTGGCCATTCTCTTACTAGAACCGAAAAAGTTCGTTTGCTGGGCAAACCTTACAGGACTAATCCCCGACTCGCTCCCTTTGCAGCTCTCGGGGTCCAACCTACATTTATTCGGTCCACCTAAAGTTGACATCATGACCAACCGGGAGCCCATTCAGTCCTTACCCTCTGCATAGAATGCGCGTGTAGCTTTGTCTAGGCTTTTCCCAATGTAACCTACTAGAGGGACAAAGAACCCCAACTGGTCAAATCGGGGACAACGTAGGAACTACAGGTGGGGGTCAAGCGTCACCGCCCGCAAACTCAACTCGTATCATGGAAAGGAGGTCCACAGAATTAACTCGTACTCCGGGTCAGTGGAAATAGTGCAAACGAATAAAATTATAGGTTGTATATCGCACGTCATGAAACCCGGGAATAGTGATTAGTTGTGTCGTATAGGATGTTCCGGTAGCGGCGCAGGGCCGTGATATCGATAGCTTCTAGGAACGCGGTCCGGGGCCCGGGGTTGCGTACGCTTCCCATGCTCCGATATATCCAGCAGGGGGAACCGACGTGCGTAAATAGTTGTCGCTATCGGAATACTAGGAAGCGTTAGACTATTCTCGGCTAGGTTACGGGTCTATTTGATTCACGACAATTCCGATTGGCGTTTGTAATCACACCAATTACTCGAAATTTTTACATATAGAAAAGTGTATAGAAAGTGTGCTTTTGTGCTACGGTATTGAGAGTCTATAACCTCCTTTTCCCCTTTCATACCAAGTAATTCTTTTAGATAAATTCAGTCGTCTACCCCGGTCAATTTTGGAACTACCTCTATATAAATTGCGCTAACTGCCTCCTACAACGACAACTTTAGGTATTTCAAGTTAGCTCATAGGAAACGTCAAGGTTTGAGATGAGAGGTATATAAGACGCCCTAGATAGTCATTGGTCTCCGTAGCTGGGGTTTAGAGCTCGTGTCACGAGATCGAGCAAGTATAGAGACAACTTTATTGTTATCCGAGAAATTCCAAACCTGGTTATGGAAGCTCGTGACTATATATACTGAAAGCGTCCTTTAGTCTAGATGTCTCACCTAGAATTCTAACACTTTGGAGAGAAACGAAGTTATTTTCATGCTTTCTAAGTTCACCTTATAACAGACAACAGTTTTCATACTTTTAGGAATGCAAGCCCACGATATGGCATAGCATCCAGGGCCTACGAATACCACACAGGTAACCCTACTATTGCATTGTAGCTCTTGAAGTTCGAGGTTTGTTCGTGATCGAGTGGGCTTGGTAAAAATGTTATAGTAGGTACTTATGAGAACCGTTGTGGCTAAGGAAATCTGATCTCTTTTATCTGCCTTTAGTTATAGTCGGGCGGGTAGCTCACAAAACTTAAATATCATAGGAGATTTATATATATAAAGGGATGTAAAGGGGAACCATGAATTATTTAAGGAGGGCGGCAGTAATTCATGTAGTACAGAGCTCGCCGTGGCATGCGACTTTGTAAAAACGTGTAGTAGAGTACGTTTATATTGCTCGTCGTTTAGGGTTTAAATCTAAGTATATATAATATTGCACGTTACTATCATGTGCAAGAAAGACTCAATCATAATGTGTAGAGATCCAAGTGCTTAATGTGAGTTGATTTAGAAGTTCAAGTATAGAGCCCTCTCACTCGGTATACTAGGAGAACTCTTCTATAGACGCTTAGCTATTAGATAATCTTAAGTGCTTACAGCAACGGAACCTATATCTGTAACCCCCCCCCCTTTTTTTTCAACATTCTTTTTTTATCTTAGGCATAGGTTGTAGGATTCTATGAATCGAGTCATTAATCTTGACCAAGGTGGTAAGTGCCAATATCTCTATATTCATTGCATCTTTTTAACTGACCTAAATTTACCTTGAGGGAACGGAAACGTTATAAGTTTATGCTCTATGTCCTCAGGTGCCAGCTTGACATAGTGCATTTCTCATTGAAATCTGATTGGTGAAGTACTTTGGACTATTCTTAAAGTGTATATCTCGGGTCTTTTCGAAGTCTTGATTTGGGAATATAAGTGGGGTGTGAGGTATCTGTGTCAAGCTGGCAACTTGAGGATATTGATTCATTATGAATTCTTTATAACAGCTTCACATGATAGTTATTCAAATTTAAGCAATAAGAGGTATGCTCTATAAAGGGATAGTAATAAAGCCGAGTAGTATATTAAACTATATCAGCTATTCCTTTCTGATCGTAGTTTTCTATAGAGTGGATAGCTATGTGTTTCATGGTGCTATTATAGTACAAACAGGACTACACGAGCTGGGGGCGGTGAAGCTTTAGTTACATAGTGCTATGGCCCTATATTCAACGCTACTATTGTGTTGTTGGCAGGACCACAATTATAAAGTAGAGTTTCTCATTACTCGCTTCTCTCAAAATGCAAATAATAATAGACTACTCGAATTGGCAGTAAACAAAGTAGCGTTGCATAAATATAGGGCACAATTTGTTTAACGAACGTATCATGAGAATGTATCGTAGGCTACGTCACTCGTAGTGGCGCTAATGTATGTAAGGTTGTTTTGGTGGGCTGTGCGGGGCAGGTGGCCTACCTCCCGTTGCTATGTCATCGGCGCCTGACGCTTTCAGCTGATTGAACCAATTCTGTTTCATTGTTTACAGTAGGTACAATTAGGTACAATGCATAGGTACCTACAGCTATGCAGCTACATGTAATACGTGAGTTAAAGGTCTCCCCACATGATATAAGCCCCTTGTTCCTTGTCGAACGATAGATCCAAACTTTTGTTAAACCCATTGTTTTAAGCTCGCAAAGGTCGACAGCTTAGAACAAGCTTGAAATACCTTCCCTACTCCATTTCCTACCGCAAACAATAACCACCCAACCACGCACATATAAGTTGCAAGCATTAAAATAGACAGCATGGCCGACGAAAACAAAGAGCAGCAGCAGATTTCAGTCGACGAGACTCCCATTTCCCCTATCCGCCCGAACGGTGAGAGGAGGAACTCGCTCGAACAACACTTGAAGCAGCGTCCTGACCGCTCCGAGCTTATTGAGAGTACGATAGCTTCCATTCTACCTAGATTACCTTATTTTGAAACTACTATTGCGCATACACATCTTGTATAAAGCTGACACAGCCTTCTCTTCAACAGGGAACATCTTACCTGCTTCGAATGTCGCCCCCGGCCTCCAGGAAAAGCAGAGGGAGGTGAGTATTCACATCTGCCCCTCTCACCTTTCAAGAAGTTTAAAGAAGTGAAGATGACTAACTACGAGCCCAAAAATGTAGCTCGCAAGACACATGCGCGCCGATTCGCTCAACGACAAGATTTCCCACCGACCTCCTCCTGAGAAACTGATCAAGGATGGTGTACTTCACGAAGACCCCCGATCGCCCGAGGAGAAGTACCAAGAGGCTATCGAGGAGGAATATGCCAAACGCGAGGGCGGTGCTTAAATGAATGAAACGGGTTTGCTGGCTGTGATACTCCTGGATTGCTATGATGATTTGACAAATGCTATCGGTTGATATCGAGTACTATATAGGTGGAAGCTTGCTGTAAATTCATGTGAAATCTAATAAAATATAATCATAAACATATTATGCGGGACAAATAATTCATGTTCTATTTAAGCTATCTACCTGATCTTAAAGGGTATGGCGTTTCTTGGGCTGATCATGGCATCATCTCACCCGTCTTGTAGCCGAGACCTTCCCACAATAGTCACGAGTATAGCAGGTTACTCTAGTTCCATAAAATAACACAGGGACAAGTAGAAAAGCAACTTACGCAGCCACGTCGTAGTGTATTCGACAAGGTGGATCAAGCCCAACTCCAACTCCAAGACCAGAACCAAGACCAGGACCAAGACACACCCCCACTTCCCCGACTTCCTTTCCCAGGACGCCGCAATTCCACCATTAAGAAAGGGGGATTCCGGTCCGAGTTGATGGGCCAATGTAACACTCGGTCCTCAAGCAGCCGAACGCTCCATGCTAGCGTTGGGGAATACTCCCTGCATCACGGGCTGGGCTTCGTTGTGCCGGATCTTGGGAACGGGGACGAGTTCCGATAGGCACGCATATTGCGAGCGGCCGGGGTGCCCCGGATCGTCGTTTGTGCCGGCAGTATACGAGATGCAGGTCCAAGGTGCCTCTCCGCACGCCATGGCGTCCTCGGTCTTGTTGGAGGATGGATTGCGTTTTACTGTGTATATAAAGATAAGGATCAATACATACATGATGAGATTTTGAAGGTGCGATTAGACTGCGAGGTGACCTTGGATCGTGTGTTGGAACTACCTTCGTTCCTCGTTGACACGATGCATCTGAAGCTGTCTGTGTTAGCTAGCACCTTTGCGTGCGCGGCCTCTTTAGCTGCCGCTGTTGATATCTCCGTAAAGTCAACCGGTGGTAATGCCACCAATGGCCATCAATATGGCTTCCTACATGAAGTAAGTCATATACATACTCACTAACTCTTAAAGTAAGGAATACAATACTCAACTTACTCAACTAGGACATCAACAACTCGGGCGACGGCGGTCTCTACGCTGAGCTAATCCGCAACCGAGCCTTCCAGATCAGTGAACGCTTCCCAGCTTCACTCGACGGATGGCATTCCGTGAACGGCGCCAAGCTATCGTTGAAAAACCTCAGCCCGCCGCTATCCGACGTCCTGGTCACGTCCCTGAATGTTGCTGCTCCTGAGGGACAAGGCCAAGTAGGATTTCTAAATGACGGGTACTGGGGCATTGACGTCAAGGCTCGCAGGAAATACAGCGGTTCGTTCTGGGTCAAGGGCGCGTATTCTGGCCAATTTACTGCCTCGCTGCAGTCGAACATCACGGGCCAGATTTTTGGGAGCGTGAAAGTCGAGTCCCAGTCTACCGCCGATCAGTGGACGGAACATAACTTCGAGTTGACTCCCTCGCAGGACGCGCCGAATTCTAATAATACGTTTGCCATCACGTTTGATGCCTCGGTAAGTAACTCATTGAGTTGGTGAAGTAGGTATGGCTGGTCTAATAAAGACGTCTCACAGGGCGCGGAGGCAGGGTCGCTTGACTTCAATCTCATTAGTCTCTTCCCTCCTACATTTAAAGGACGGGAAAATGGGATGCGTGTCGACATCGCAGAGGCATTGGAACAACTTCACCCTACCCTCTTCCGTATTCCGGGTGGCAATAGTAAGTCATCTTAGTTCGCGCAGTTTTTGAATCTTACAGCTTTGATAACTAACCGACTATACTTGTGCTCCATAGTGCTCGAAGGCTTGACAAACAGGACATGGTGGGACTGGAAGAACACACTCGGCCCCCTGAAGAACCGACCCGGCTTCACGGGTGTATGGGGATACCAACAAACCAACGGCTTGGGGTTACTTGAATACCTAGAGTTTGCAGAGGACTTGGGAATGGAGATTGGTAGGTTTTCATTCCTACCCTTATATGTACCTCGAACTAGGCAATATCTAACTTAGGGATGACAGTCCTTGGCGTCTACGACGGCCTCTCCCTCAACGGAGACATCACACCGCAAGAAGACTTCCAATTCTTCATCGACGACGCCCTCGACCAAATCGAATTCGTCCGCGGACCCGCCGACTCCAAATGGGGCTCCGTCCGCGTCCAGCTAGGGCACCCGGAGCCCTGGAAGCTAGAATACGTAGAGATCGGCAACGAAGACTGGCTTGCCGGGGCACCGAAGGGTTGGGACACGTTCAAAAAGTACCGGTTTCCGCTGTTCCTCGAGGCCATTAACAAGGCGTACCCGGATATCCAAGTTATCTCCTCGGGATCGGTTTACGACGGATACGACATCCCGGCGCCAGGAGCTGGCGACTACCATGTGTATGCTGAGCCGGACACGCTTGTTGCTGAGTTTTCGAAGTTCGATAACGTGAAACAACCGCATATCATTGGCGAGATGGCGGCGGTCCATCCGAATGGTGGTTCTGGCTGGGATGGGCCGCAACAGCCGTTTCCCTGGTAAGCATGATTTTATCGAGTTCCTTAGATTTACCCTTATGCAATCCTTCTGGCATGGCTTGAGTGACATTATTACGCCGACCGTAGGGTTTTGGATGTCTGCTAACTTGAAGCTTCATATAGGTGGGGAGGCGCCGTTGGTGAAGCCGTTTCACTCATCGGCTACGAGCGCAATGCGGACAGAATCATCGGAGCAGCATATGTCAGTTACAATTTGATAATTTTTGTAATTTTATGAGTCTTGAAGAGCCTGAACTAATGAATGCTGCAGGCACCGATCATTCGGAATAGTACGTCAAACTTACCACTTACGACTTATCCTCCCCTATGAGCATTGCTAATTGATATATGATAGTGAACCGTTGGCAGTGGGAAATCACGGCAATACAGTTCACTGCTGACAAGGTTACTCGATCTACGTCTTGGTACGTATGGGAGGTAAGTTATACTATCATATCCGAAGCTCTGGAATACATGCTTATACCACTTTCCAATAGCTTATGGCGGCACATCTCCTGACAGAGACACTGCCGGCAACTTCGCAGTTTGATCCGCTCTACTACGTGGCTGGAAAGAACGATAAGACCGGAGGACACATTTTCAAAGCAGCAGTCTATAACTCAACAGACGGTGCTGATGTCCCTGTCAAACTATCTTTCGAGGGTGTTAAACAGGGAACGACTGCCGAGTTAACCATCCTCACGGGACCGAAAGATCCATATGGTATCAATGACCCGGCCACCGGCATTAATGTTGTGAAGACTAGTAAGAAGACGATACGATCCGACGAGACCGGTAGTTTTCAATTTTTGTTACCCAACTTGAGCATTGCTGTCTTGGATACGACCCCTCCGAAGTCTCGCCGCTGGAATAGGGCAGCAGGAAAGGGTTGATCTTCTGAGTTATCTCGGCCATCAATATGTTAGATTATGACATATAATATAAATAATATCTGCTGGCAATTCTTGTTAAATCAGAGACAATTCTACCGTTGGCATGATCAATAAAGGATGAAGTAACATAATTTACGTGGATTAAGAGGCTCTTAGAAATTGGAGGCTCGGCGAATTCGACTCGTTGGTTCCTATTGGTTAATACCACTAGGATAGCGAATGGTTCTGGTTCCGTAATGATGTGGTTGCCAGTCATAGGAGAGCCTCGAGGATATGTATCTCGAGTTGTGGGGTAGCACGTATATGCGACCAGTTGTCCCATATTGGGGGCTACACTGCTGAGCTGTCTCTCACCAATAAACGCTTGAGACATGAGCGACACATGGCTTGCGAAACACATGCTAGCTTTGGATGAGGTAAGTATAGGCGAAGTTGGAGTAAAGAAACGGAGTTGTTATGTCGCTCTCCGCCTGCATCGCTGCCCGACTAAGCTGAAGCCTTTCTTTAAAGGGTCAGCAACTAGTACGCTCTTATCCGGCCAGATTCTGGAGGCCCATACCCCGGAGAGAACATGGCAAACAAGATAGCGGATAGACGGCGTGTTTACCTCGCATGTCGAGCCATCTTCGTGGGCCAGAAAGCGGAGCTACGGAAACAGAAAAAGATACGCGAAGAGATCGAGAGGTGGCCACAGGTGCTAAGGTCACTTACCCATGGCTTGAGCATAGAGAATGTGGTCGAGATTCTTCGCGACCTCCTATCACGGCATATCTTTAAGTCAGAGCTCAAAGCGAAGGCGGAATTTCCCGACTTGTTCTACACGCCGCCGGAACAGGAGGTCAAACGCGAAGCATCTGAAGTTAAAGCTGCTAAGTCGACAGCTGAGGTACTAGACGAAGTTGCTAGCGTAGGACAAAACGACGCCGAATGCAATGCCGGAGTTGAAGAGCATGCTACTGAGCAAGCTGACGAGAACGCCGCCAAGCAAACTGACGAGGACGCCATCAAACAAACTGATGAGGGTGTCACTAAACAAGCTGCCGAGGATGCCACCAAGCAAGCTGACGAGAATTCCATCAACCAAACTGGCGAGGTGCTTCACGGAACTGAAAGAGATAGTCCGCACCCTAAAACTGAGCCCCCAAGCACCGTAAATGTGATTTCAAAACAGCTAGCGACATTGCCTTCACTATACCCGACATACATTCCGTATAAGGCACAGCATATTATTCTGAGCGAGGCGCAACGTATGCTAGAAGAAAGCTGCTTCGAATTCACTAGGAAGCATATGCCGGCACTTCTCGAGAATACTGGGTTGGAATGCGCTAGTTCACTCGAACTGACAAAATGGACGCGGCTGCTGGCTAAGATGGCTGATGAGATACCTGAAACGGCGTTTGACTTGGGAGCTATGCCTTTGAGAGAGGTGTTATTCTCGACAGACAAGTTGCGACATAGCGCGGTTCATAGGGTCCCGATGACTGCCCGTGGTATAAAAGATCTACTCAAGTCAGCAGTGACCCTTGCATTTACAATTGGCGACCACAAGCATGCAGGCCAACTCGAGGAGATATGCTACGAGCTAGATAGTAAGGTCAAGGCGATGGAGATGAATAAAAATGCATTGGTGTATTCTGCCACAGCCGATCTGCAGGATATTCAACGGCGGCGAGAAGAGTTGGATATCCTGGAGAAAGAGGTGCTTGCCACCATGGTGAAAAACGATCAGAAGAATAGGGGCTTCATTGGAGCGCTACTGGAGGATTCGGTGTGTAGGATCTTGGAAGGGAAGACGGAGATAGAGACGGAGATGGACGAGGAGTTGAAGATTGAGGATGATGAAGAGGAATTCTCAGAGTGTCATACGAGCGTGGAGGACTTTGAACAGGATTTAGTTGTATAATGACTATTTGTGGTATATTTGTAATTTGATATATGTAATTTGGGATGATATATTCCGTATAATATCACGATATAATATTGTTGAATGTTGAGTGTTGTTATTGTAAGAGTCCAAAACCGAGAGTTCAAGCTGATGGATTTGGAGTACGGGTACAAGCTGAGGGACCCACCACCACAACCTAAAATACCCCTCACAGTGTCCGTCGCACCCGTCTCCGTCTTGCAATGCATGTATGTTGTACTTCATTAATTATTTAAAATAGGCATCACGTGGCAACGCGTAAAAAGGATGACGCGCCGCGAGTCGTCGAGTATCTTTGTCTCATTACCCCCGCGACAAAGAATCATGATTACGATAAGAGGAATCGTCTTCAAATTTACAGCATGAATTCGAAATGGCTGAGAGACCCGGTACACCGAAAACCGAGAAAAAAGAGCCCGAGGTAGAAGGGTCTAAGCAAGATGACCGCCAACACAACACTCTCAAATACTCTCTCCTCGGGCCTTCGCTCACCAAAGCCGGCCAGGACTCCGTCGATCAATCTAAGGTTTCGGAAATCATTTATAACGCATCCAAAGGATCCAAGTTCTTTAACCGCGAAGAAGTCAAGGACAAGATCTTGACGCAGAAGATCGAACAGATTCTGGAGAAAAAGCGTCGTCTGGAGAGGCTCGATCTAACTCGCGAGCTCCGGGCTGCGGACCAACTCATAACCCAGCTAGAGGTCTCCCGTGACCTGACGCAGCACATAGTCCACGTTGATTGCGATGCCTTCTACGCTGCCGTCGAGCAACTCGACCGCCCCGAGCTCAAGGATGTCCCATTCGCCGTTGGAGGCGGCGTGCTTACCACCTGCAATTACCTTGCTCGAAAATTCGGCTGTCGAAGCGGCATGGCTGGCTTCGTGGCTAAGAAGCTCTGTCCTAACCTCCTCCTCCTCCCTCTCAACTTTGACAAGTACACCTCCAAAGCCCAGGAGGTCCGGCAAGTCTTGGCGCAATACGATCCAAGGTTCCAAAGCGCCAGCATCGACGAGGCTTATCTCAACACCACCGAATATTGTGTCGAACATAACATGACGCCTGGGGATACTGTCCAGCAAATGCGAGATGAGATTCATGAGAAGACGAAGATCACGGTTTCTGCTGGAATTGCCGCAAATGCGAAGCTGGCTAAAATCTGTTCCAACATGAACAAGCCTAATGGCCAGTACATCCTGCCTAACGATCGTAATGCTATAATGAATTTCATGCGCGACCTTCCGACAAGAAAGGTAAACGGAATTGGGCGGGTTTTAGAACGAGAATTGCAGGAGATAGGAGTCAAAACATGTGGCGATGTCTATCCCCATCGTCAGCTTTTGGTACGTGCACAGACACATTTCTGAATTCCGAAATGATGATCCTTTATTTTGAACCAAAACTAACACATGCCTAGTATGTTAAGATGCCTTTCTATTTTACAACCCGTCATTATTCTCTCGGCGACTAAGCTAGGCGATAACATAACAAGGGATCTGCATATTCAAAGTACTAACTTATCGCAGACGTCAACTTTTCGGTGAAAAGACGTACGAATTCCTGCTCATGTGCTATCTCGGGCTGGGCAGAACCGAAGTCCAGCCCGTGGAGGAGTTCGAACGGAAGAGCGTCGGAACCGAAAGCACGTTCCGAGATCTTTCAGACCCAGTACAACTGAGAGAAAAATTGAAGCACACAGCTGACGAATTGGAAAAGGACATGCGAAGAGCCGAGTGCAAAGGCCGGACTCTTGTCTTGAAGGTAAAGTTACATACATACGAAGTTTTGACGAGGCAAGTTGTGACGCCAAGAGCTATTTGCGCCGCGGACGACTTATACAATTATTCGTTGCCTATCTTGGCAAAGCTGGAGCAGGAGGTCCCGGGTATGAAGTTACGCTTAATGGGCCTTCGGTGCACGCATCTAGTTAGCACTAAGAAGCCCGACGCTCGTACATTTTTTGGATTGAGACCTTTAAAAACGGGGTCCGACGGGGTGGCCGACGGAGGGACAAACGAATCTGCCCAAGAAGATGATATTCCACAGGAACTATTAGACCAGTTACCTCACGACGATACCCACGAGCCCGGCTTAGATCTCGCCGAGCATCCCACAGCCGAAAAAGACGCCACCTACCGACACCACGGCAAAGAAATCCTCCCAAACCCAAACCCCAACCCCAAACGCCCAGCCCCTGAGCTCGAGCCCGAGGAATACTGGGATTGTCCCATCTGCAGCCGGCCGCAAGCTACCGACGAGCGCCTGTTCAACGAACACATCGACCTATGTCTCTCGCGTCAGACGATCCGTGACACGGTGCAGCGCGAATTCAAACCCAGCCCGAGCCCTGCAGCTGACGCGCCACCGCTCAAGAGGCGGAAGGGCAGTGCCGAGAAGAAGCAGCGCAGCCGGACAACGAATTCGGCTGATCCGAGGCAGACGAAGTTATTTTTTGGTGGGGGATAATGTGATAGGTTTATATTTTACGATAATAGTTGTATATAATGATGCAAGTATTAGTAGCATCATGCCTCCCCCCTTGGCCCATATTGTGGTGGCTTTGTTGCCTTTCTTTCTTTCCCCATCAGTCTGTCCCCCATGCTCTTAAAGCTTCCTACGCCTCCTGCATTATAACGTGCCCACGGCCCGTGTGTAGCAGCCGCGACGTGGCTGTGGGCTAGTCAGAATACGCCAGGCATATTTGGACGGCAATAAACTAGGTACAATAAATTAAAAGTGAGGACAAAGGTGGCTGATGGCCGCAATTCAGCTTATTACCGAACAAACATCACGGCCACGTCCGGACATCAAATTCAGACACGCAATCTACTAACTTATTACATACCGAGGCTGCGGTTACTCTAGACATATTTGACTATACACAGTGCCGACATACCTATTCGCATTTCGAAGGCAGACTAATTCGGCGATGCTTCTCCTAATCTGGATTTTTGTTTTGTTTTGTTTGGGTAACGTAACACGCAAAGCACAGTATAAAATGAGCTAGTATTATTACACGTGAAGACAGAAGCACCAAAACTAGATTTCTATACGATGAGATCAGATAATTTTCTTCTTGTCCAGTCATAGAAACGCCATCAATTTCTTTTTCTACCTAATTGCTTCTACTTATGGGGTATGTAGGAAACTACGGGACTCACATTAGATAGGAATGACTGATTTGACCTAGATAGGATAGAAGCCCGCCGTTACTAGATTACTATAACATGTGAGAGATATCCAATTTGCTACGTTGAATCTTTGGGGAAACAGCCATTCACTCAGAAAGGCAGAGCAACGACCTGTGGACTCGCATCCACGTTGATTGGCGGCGGTCATCGAATCATATGCCCGTGTCGTCAAAGCTCGGTCGCCTTACCGACATGGACCTACGAAGATGGTCTTCCTCTTCGACCATATGCATATCGTCGCTAGGAAGTCTGACGGCGCGATCAAGCGCAACCGGTAAGCCGCGGTGTCGACCTCTTATCATGACAGCGCAAAGGACTAGCTTGCTCCCAGGATAAAGTCCACCGCTGAAGCTGTATGCTGCGTTCGGCGATCCAATGCTGATGCCCACGCATCCGTAAGCGGAGACCACCTCGAAGACGACGTTGAAGACCGAATAGGTAACCGGGTCCTCAAGGAAATGCTTAGTTTCGATGATCATAATCAGCAGGACCGCCAAAACAAGCCACCACAGGTCATGAGAGAGCTGTCCACGAATTTGGTGGCTGATGAAGCTAATCCGGCTCTCTAGCTGGTTCGGCGCGGCCCCAACTCCATACCATTCTGCAAACGCGACGCGGACCATCCGGCTCAGAGACCGGGACTTACTGCTCGACTGAACGCGCGAGACAGAACGAGTCAAAGCATCGCTGTAGATCGGATCTTCCCCGTAGATCCCCAACGATCGTTCTTCGTAGACGTTGGAATGCCTCATCGTTATCACAACAGGATACACTGAAATATACCTGTAGACATCGAAAGTTAACACAAACTCGCAAGCCATAGGAAGTTTCAGTGGCTTAAACAGCTAGGGGGTTTATGCACACTAGCGCATAATAGGTAGGTATTGACTCGAGAAGAACAGGAGGAGGCTATTATATGGGGTTAAGTAAGACAACTTTTAGGGCATTGACGAACATCATGATAACATAAAGCACCTGTAGGCCGATGAACAGGGTCGGGATGGATACAACATAAAAGCCTCCTGAACGGACAGCTGTTGTAGAGGTTAGCGCTAATCAACACGTCGTGAACACAACGAATCATACCAAGAGCTTGAAAGAGTCCATCGATGATGCGAGACCCGAGAGGGGTTTGCTCAAGAGTAGAATTGCCAAGGTTGAGAACCTCAAATGCCACCCAATCAGTACCGTTAAGCACGAAGAGCATGAAAACAAGCCAGTAGGTCTGACGTGACGGAAAAAGATTGGTATAGACACGACGAGGGTATTTGAGAATATACCCAATCGTCTCTTTCCATTCTACCAAATCATCATCATAGGTAACCCACTTCAACATCTTCACTATAAGATTTTAGGTTAGCGGCCATTGATTTACATTCGCAGAGACAGCCACGCGAGAACAGGAAGCTACTAATATGCAAATATGTATACTAGTAGCTTAAGAGCGTACAAGCTCGCCATGAGGATTGGGCATTATTTTGTATAGGAGCATAAGGGTCATATGAAAAGGTCATGGAAAGTCAAACTTACAGCTGCTCCACAAAATCAATCGTAGGAAGACGGGATACGCTGTATTACCAGCGAGAATCATTGCACCCATAACGATGAGTACGAAATACGAGCTTCCGTAAGGAATCATGTTTGCATCTAACACGCTCATACCGCTATTGTTAAACGCAGACACGCCATTGAAGATGCCATTCCACCAGGGTGAAATGGCATTCTCCAAGGCAGGTCCAGGTAGGTTGTTAGCAATCCACGCGCCGAGCGAGATGCATCCGAGAAACTGCCAGAGAAAGAAATACAGCGGGACGACGATAGAAAGAAGCTTCAGAGCTCGATATTCAGTGCCACCGAGTTCCTCGCGTTCTTCACTTGTCAGGCCGTGAAATTGGCCATTGCGCCCGACTTTATGTCCCTTTAGGTAGCTGCGAGGATTAACAGCCGTGTCGGTGTTGGACAGGTGTCTTTGCGCAGTGGTACCGCTAGGGGCGATAGACGTCGACCTAGCTCCGGAACGAAGATCGTCGGCGAAAATGACGTGCTCAGTGGTGGTTGAAGCCCTCGTATTTCCTTCTTCGGCATCCGCAGTGCCGGGAGCTGGCGCAACATCCTCTGCCGTGGCCACGCTGTGTGGGCGGGTGAAGGAACCGCTGGTACGGACGCCAGACTCCTGGTGTGGAGGTACAATGGCAGAGACCAACCTCCTGTCACTTGGACGAGATATGACGGGCAGATTGATGGCTGGGCGCTGCCCCCAAGGAGCACCCTCGCTGCTGTCCTGCACTGTCCTACTCCTACCCAAGGATCTAAGCCTGTGAGTGATGGGGAGGAGAGTCAAACTCGCATTACGCCGCTCAAGACTGCGTTTACGCTCCTTGCGCACGATCTCTTGAAAGCGCGTTTCGAAGGCATGTTTGCGTACCAAGACGGTCCAGATGGATACCCAGATGGAAGAGCCGATGATGATCAAAAGCCATAGAAGTACCTGCTGCCAAGTGGTCATCTGACTGAGATTGACAGTATTTAGGCCAGCCTCTGTCATGGCAGAGATGACGAGGAATAAGCTGTCGACATAACTGATGCTGGATCTAGGGTTCGACGAGCCCCAGAACACCACAGATGATATTAGAGGGACAATAATAAAGTATACATAATGTATAGTGATAAAATTTAATGGTGGTAGAAGTGATCGGAGCCTGCGCATTGCCAAACCCCCGTCGTCCCTACGATTTTCCAAGGAAAATTCTAACGAATTGGATAACAGGAATAGTGAATAAAACAAGCAAAAAAGAATTGGCTAAGTGCTAGTGGTCTTAGCGGAGCGGAAAATAAATTTCTTTAGTTGAGCAACATATTGGGAGACTCTTAAATGATGTTTTTTCAATCGTATCTTGAAAGCTTCAGCCTCAATTGGACTTTATGAGGCTTTTTTTTTTATCTTACTCTGTCCTTCTGCAGATGAAGAGAAGAAGAAAGTCATGCAATGATGGTTTTTAGAGCCTTGTGAGAAAATATTACTTTATGTACTTATTAGTACATTAGGTTAGGTAGTATCCCGACCACATGTGCAGTAGCAGAGGGGCTAAAACAATATTACTCTGAGATAAGAGACTTCAAGAAGAAGGTACATATCGCTCACGACTAACATACATACATCTTGAGGTATTCATTCATACTAGGAAGTAAACAACGGCAATGCTCTTGCCATAGGTATATCAAGTTGCGGTGTGGCCGTACCCGCCTCTACCCACCATGTACATAAAGTAGGTGCATGTAGCTTCCACCCCCCCTTCTTCCCTTCCTATAGTAGGTACTTTACGACGTATTTAATACACACCTGTCGGAGAAAACGGCTTTACGCAAATGGATGGTAGACATCCAATGAGCAGATGTATTTTATCACGAGAACGAGTAGTATCTCGAAAATATACTACTTCGTCTTCAAGGCCAATATATATATAGATGGCAATTGTCTACACAGGCCATCCTATATATAGGTAGGTACCCACCCATGCACTCATATATGATAACTAAAACGCATTGAAGAAAAAAAAAACGCAAGAATCACATATGGCAATATATTGATTCGTTCTGTATCAAGCGTTGCTATCTAGACAGGTTAGGCAGGTAAGTTCTCACGTCTTCGTTATCTGAACTTACGCCAAGACAAGAGGCTAGCTGAGAAGAACGACAATGTTCCACTGCATATATACACCAGCCAATACTTCTTCTATAACTTATAGCTCGTTATGCTCCTGGACGTCGTCGGTATCAACAAGTAGGGTTCCAACGACTTCGGCAACCTCTTCGACCTTGCTCGCAATCTTCTCCGCCACCTTGGCCGTTACCTTCTCGGCAGTTTCGCTGGCAGTTTCACTGGCAGCCGAGCTTGCGCTGCTGGCCTTGGTGACGATGGACTCGGGCTTGGGGACGCCTTTGATGCCGATGAGCTCCGTCTCGAACACTAATAGTCGTTCAGTATGAGATCATGTTCGTTCCACAACAGTCCAATCAATCTGTTACATACCAAGGGTAGATCCGGCAGGGATTGGCCCAACGCCCCGGTTTCCGTATCCATACTCGGGAGGGACGGTCAAAGTCCTAATAAGCAGTCAGCTTCCGTCCGAGGCTCTAGAAAGGATATTTTCTAACCTTTTCTCCCCAATGCACATGTCTAAAAGTCCTTGGTCCCATCTGTATACGTGTTAAGACCCCATAAGCAACAAGCAGCGGGGGACAATGGCGACGAACCCCTTGATGACCTGACCGCCTCCCAGCTTAAAGCTAAAAGGAGTGCCTCGATCGTAGCTGGCATCGAACTTCTTTCCATTAGAGGCAAGCGTTCCCCTGTAGTGTACTTGGATATTGTCGCCCTTTTCCGTTTTTCGGTCGCATTCGACGGGGAGGGTTACGTCAATCTTCAGGTCGGAGGAACTCGAAGCCAAGGCGCCGACGGCAACGGACGCCACGAGGGACAAGGAGAAGAGGAAGCGCATGCTGTAGGTTTGAATGCGATTGTCTATATAAAGATCCAATTGGGGTTATATTTTGATATAGAACGATAATTCCGACACGAGGGCATATAGAAATATCAACGAGATGTAGCTAAATGTGTGTACAAATATAGTAGTGAAATCATCACCAGCTTTCATTCTAATCAATTTGCGGGCGGCACAGCGCCGGGGCAAGAATTTGGGGTAGGTATTTCTTATGTGCATAGTGCCTTTCAATTGGGTGAACAGGTCATAAAGGTCCATAAGCACAACGTTAATTGGCAGTAGTATTTAGATGGCGGGGTATATTTATTTGAATATAATCCACCATTGAATTTAAGCCACCCCCATCACAGCTATGATGTATTTATTTGCCACACACGTTCGAGCTCACAATGAAGATTTTACATTTCATTCGTGCAGTTCGGTGAACCTCAGGTACCCTAACAACAAGCCACCCCATCCATCAGCCAGATAGCAGCTATTTGGCGGTTGAACGGTTGAACGCACCTGGTTTAACATGCAAGGCCGAATGAATATGTTTGCAGTACTGTTACTCTTACTGCATTTCGTATACACATTTAACAACTTGTCTGTATACGCAATCAATGACTCTATCTATATAGGGCCTCAAACATACGTGTTCAGAAGCAAACTTTATAAGCAATTTATATAAAACAGGTAGTTGTATCGAGGTACTGATATAGAACTAACAAGTACTAAATCTAGGACTTCAGCTTGGCTAACCTAGAACTCTTGGGCAAATAGGCAGCCAACAACCATTCGCCGCCAAACAAGGTCAACCAAGCTGACATAGCCGCTGCTTACGCCCCCTAGATACCAACTACGTAGTTGTAGGCCTCTCTGTTTGATTTAATAGTAACAATCTGGGAGTTAGATGTGCTAAATTCTTTGATAGTGCTTAATACTCGTGTACGAAGGTCCGGGCCAAAAGTCTTGCACATCTGGTCTTGGCAAGCCATGTGTAAGTAAAAAAAGGACCGCACGGTATTACTTCAGCTATAGTGGCTAATATCGCTATAAATATAGTGGTAAGCCACCTAAATTTAGCGTATGGGCCACTATCCGAATTTCAGCTTAGCAGGTAGCTAATACAGTGTTAATAGAAAGGGATGACGTTTGAATACGGTGCTAGGGTCCTCCACATGTGCAAGACTTTTGGCCCGGACCTTCGTACCTACTCTTAGATATGGTCGGTATACCTGAGCCACACAGTATACATGATAAAGTGCATTTACCTGCACTGTGTACTTTGATATCACTGTTCACATGCCGCTTTGCCGTACGTAATTGTGCCTATCGTGCCTCAATCCGCTAGAACTCTCCGCGTTCCTATTCCCCATCATTAGGACTACATAGGCCTAACATTAGTGATCTATCGTAATGTCCCTATTCAGTCTTTATACCTTGATTGGTAACTTATAACCGCTAAAAGTTAACCCCCAATGTAACTCATATCTTTTACCTTGACTATATTCCAATATGTTCCAATTAACCAGCCACTATCGTCTTTTCTTCCATCTGCTTCACCTCGACTTCCACGATACCACACAGCCTCTACCTGACTCTTCGATGGTTCCTAGGCATACTCTCTGACTCTATACCAATTTCTTTACCCTGGTAAAAGGTCCACACTCAGTTAGTCATTCGGAGTCCATCCACTTATAGCTCTTCTCTTTTGTAGCTGAATTGCTCAATTGCTCAATAAGGTTGCTGCCTCAATGGCCACGAACAAACACCACCCTTTTCTCTATTCCCCTTTCTGCCTTGAAGTTAAGGGGTGAGTCACCCCTTCGGTGTATCTTGATATTTCGACTCTGTCACTACTCATCACCGCCAGATACGCCCCCATTTGGGTCAGCCTGAGGCACTGCTCATGCTTGCTCCGGCTACTACGTGTTGAAGCTAAGCTTGTTCATATCGCCATGTGCCATGTGATAGTCCTTGATGTACAGGCTTCTAGTGTAAGTATTGTAAGTTAAAGTACTTTCTCTTAATACTCTATATAAAGACAGGATGCCTCCGTCTTTTTATTCACATTCCTAGTCTCTCTGCAGCAACCAGACAAGTTCGTCATAGTCCTATATCTCTATCAAGAAATCTATCAAGCAATCTGCTTAACATTCTATACCAATTCACTCAAATACCTGCCACTACCAAGCAATGGCATCATACACTTCCAAGTCATCCCACGCCGTCGTTGTAGACAACCGTTCCTCTCGCTCGTCATCTGCAAGCTCATACAACACAATGTCTTCGCGCACTAGCCTAGGCGCTGGTTCTACCTCTTACCCCAGTGGCTCTTCTGGAATCACACCTGTTGTCCACGAGCATGGCCGATCTTCTAGGGCCGGTACGTGCTACCCGCAAATATATCCTATTCACATGTTTTCAGCTAACATAACCAAAGATGACTTCACTGTTGATATCACGCGCCGGTCTGGTGTCACCGTCTTCAACCACCACGGCACTGGCTATGAAGACAGTGCCCCATCTCCGAGTTACGGGAAGTCCGACTACAGAGAGTCCAAAAAGACTTCGGGCGGAAAGTCCCACTCGGGATCCCGCTGATTCGAGTCGACACGTCTCAATCATTTATGTTAGGCGCATGGGCTTTTGGGATTAGGGCAGGCTTTTGAGCGGAAACATTTATTCGGCTGGGCACAGGATTATACCATGGATCTCTTATTACTTACGGAAGCTGGATATCCAGCAGGAAGACTACAGAATCGCCTCGGGGCTACTAGATGTGTATAATTACTAACAACATTTCATATCACTTTATGTACTTCTATGGTCGAATCTAATCTTATCTTTTGCACTTCATCACGAATCCGCATTAGACATTACGTAGGCGTTCTGAAATTATCGATTGGTCTACCATAGGCCTAATTCCTACGAGGCTGGCAAGCGACATTTCTATTCGCTACCATCACCTCTACCATGAGGTAGGGTAACTACATTTATGCAGGAACTATGTATGTCTAACACGAGAGGTGACCCAACGGTCACACCCCACGGAGAACGTAATCGGGGATCAACCAATCCCCAAATGCTATCTTTATTTCAGCTCCTAGGGCTGGGGTGCACTTCATATGCAACCATTACTCGATTGGTGCCGCTAGAGCACCAATACCGGCGAGCCCTGTGGATGATGATCTCACATGGGGCTAATGGCGACGCATGTCTCATGGTAGCATCGATATTAAAATACTATTTTTCGCTGCTGGCTAACGCATCTTCGGGACAAGACATGGGAGTAAGTAAGGCGCGGCTTGGCTCTCAGGCATCAGAATAGGTAGACATAAGATACCAGATAATCAACCTACCTAAGTCTAGCCTGACTATATCCTAAATAAGAGCTATATTCAAGCATCACTTCTACGAGTATGTCACCGCAACAAGACTTGCGACCTAGGTAGTATACCTTAGTAGAGCCTAGTTGTTGCCTAGAGGTTTCAGTAGTATCAAGCCAGATTGTTAGAATTATATCCAACTCTTGATACAGGCCATTAGCAACAACCTCTATAAGCATTCCACTTCTGCATAGTGTTTACTTCCTGTTCGCATTCCGACCGCACTAGGTATAATAAACGACTAGCTCATGCAATACTCAACTAACTTCGAATATTGCTAGATAACACTCAGAATAAACCCAGAGGCTCTTGCCTTCTATTCACTCGCCTCCTTATCTAAGAACCCCCCTATTCTCCTCTCTCCTACCATTATCCTCGATGATACTCATCACGCTCCTCCTCAAAGTAATGCGACATCTCCATCCCCGAGCTCTTATATCCACACTTAATATAAAACGGCTCGTTCTTTGCGCCACAGTTCAGGATATTCTTATAACATCCCAGATTAATCGCTACGGAGTCCAGGGTCTGGATCATCTTCAACCCGAGCCCTTTACCCTGGTGCTCCTTCGCAATTGAGATCTCCTCGATGTGTCCGCACTTGCCGCGCTGGTGTATGCTACCCCCAAAGTAAGAATTCAGAATAACATTACGGGTTTCGTCGTAGAGTGGTTAGGGGGGAACGCACAATTTTTTCTCTACGACTAAGGCGCCTGTCCCGACGATCCGGCCCGCGTGCTCGATCACCGTGAAGTAATACGTGCCTTTCGCTTCTAGCATCTCGTCGAACCGCTCGTTGAACTCGGCCTCGCTGACTTCGCCCATCCATGTGAGGACGCGCAAGCAGTCCAGGAAACCTTTTGCGTAGTCTCCCTTCTCTAATGGGCGGATGGTGAAGTCTGCGGGGAAGGAACCAGAAACCTCTGGTGAGATGAGAGATGCTGAGAAGAGCGCTTCCGTGCTGCCCATGGTGATTGATTTCTGTTTGAGAGCAAGTATATGTTTGAATGATGTTGTGTCCTCGTCGACTAGTCGATGCGGGGGGTGAGATATAGGTGAGTATGCGTCGAATACCTAGGCACTTATATGAGCTTCTACCCGGGTAACTCAGGTATATATGGACTTAACACGTGCAATTTCAATTTTATCTAGAATCTCAACTATAAATACAACGTGTAGGGTTTCCTATCGGAGAGCGAGACGGTAGATGTGAACCAGGGTGTAATAGATACCGATAATTTGAGGGGATGGTTTGTTTAGTATAATAGTATTCTTATAAACGTGAAATATCCGGGTAGTTGCATGTATATAGGCAGAGTTGCCCAAACACTCCAGCTTGGCACACTCAATTTATCTCGTATAACTTTTGGAAACAGCTGAAATATTATATTGTATAATATAATAGGGCTCTAGTGCCAAGTTTTATATATAGTTGGTCTATTAGATAGGTACATAGAAGCCAAGACAATAGGTATGAGATGTCCCCTTACTCCTCGAAAAGGATCCCAACACAACTTATCTAAAACTAAGAGACCAGAAGAGCAAGATATCCTCTACCAGTCTAATCAAAAGTCTGCAATAATATCGGTAATGCATCTGGGGTATCCTCGATATACCCCTGATCCACCAGCGTGTCTAAAGACATCTGCGCGTATTTAGTCGCCGTCGTCTTATCCCCCGCCTTCCAGTACAACCGCGCCATGATCTCATACTGGCTGGAGTAAAGCGGCGCAAGGTCCTCTGCCTTCATAAGTTCCAGGACTTCATGCGTGAGCTTGACAGCCCTAGTTCCGTCCCACAGCCCGACGGCGTTCATGACTTCTTTGCGCAACTTCTTGATCTTCTCTCTGCGGTAATCGGATACGGCGATCTCGGTTTTGGATGCGGTGCAAAGTGAGCATGTGCACTCAAATCCCCATTTCTTCAATGCCGTCTGTCTTTCTTCCTTTGCATTTCCTAATGGTACGTCTGGGAGAATCATTAGCGATGTGCATATAGCATGGCTTTGCTGTTTGAACATACAGGTAATGGTGATTTCCTCTCCAGGCTTGATATCTCTTAGAGCCACAACACTCACAGCCAAATTTGAAGGCGTAAACCTTATAAAAGAACTAATTGATTATTTAGCTTCCTTCTATACCCTCAATCTGTTATTTCTACCAAAGAGGTACTTACTTTGGACGGCATGCATGGTTAACTCTCTGTTATATACCATTAGCATTCCATTAACACCAACTTATGGTGGTGTTCGAGGGAACTTACAGAAACGTCCGGGTATAATGTCATATGAGAATCATCCGCCAGCGTGTAAGAAAATGAGTTTGTCCTCAAAATATCCTCTATGATATCGCCTGAGAATGTGCTGCTCCGAGCTAGCTGAAGCACGCGATCCGGATCTGCCAGCTGATCTACAGCTCTATGAAATAGTTTATACCCTTCTGTACGCAATATCGAAGTCGGGAGGTCCAAATCCACTACCAATGCGGCCCAATCCGCCATAATTGCTTCGGTGCGCTTGATATGGCGCGTCGCAACGACCCCCTTCCCCTTCCCGGGGATATCGGCAATTTCGTACGCTGGTCCAGCGCTGTTGTTAACAAAGTGTTTTAGATGAGTGTACCCGGAGTCGTTTAAGATATCAAGAGTGCTTGCTGCAGTTTCTGGCCTTGTAATTATGCTGACACCCCCGTTCCCGTGCTGCGAATTAGAGTAAACGCAGTACGAAGCCCCTGGCGACTTTTTCGAGTGCACACATTCCGGCGGGTGCGTCCATGGCGACCAGTCAACGGGTCTATCGGTAGTCTTCGCGTCAACTGGATGTGGACATCCTAACTGCGCCTGAGATTGTAATGATGCTGGGAGATTTAATGAGCATTGACCGATAGCAGCAGAAATACTAGTATGAGATGCAACCTGTGGTACGAGAAGACCCATGGTGCAGAGGAATCTAGGAAGCGAACCGGCTCGGGTCTTCATTTTCAGTTATCATCGCATAGAGCGGAGAGTACAGCTGACATGACTTATAAGTCACACAAGCCGGTTATAAGTATACTGTTCAATATCCCTAGAGTCGATCTTACCTTTTCAAAGTCGACATTCCCATGTCTGATTTTGTGGTTCGGCCGGAGGTAAATGAAGACGTGCATATTGGGCGCGATCGACCAACAGAGGGCCAAGCGAGGCCAAGGGTCAGCTACGAGCACGCGAAGTTACCATATTCTTACATTTAATGTGAAAGAAACAGCTGTTTATGATAATCATTTGCTAAGGGTCTTCCTCCATATGCCAGTCTTTGCTGATTACGTCTTGGAAGATTCCCTGCCTCCAAGACATTCGGAACGGATGTCATAGCCAAAAACTCGGCAGGGTAACCCGATTTCCCACGAGCTCCGTTATCAACCGTTCTCCTTGAGGCTCTGAGGTGACTTATCCGCTAATATTGTATTGATATCCGCCGAATGATTGGAGATCCCAGCCGCAAAGTAATCTTGGCCACGCCGATCTCCAAGCTCCGGCTAAATGAATAGGTAGGTACGTATGTAATGAACTGAAGATATGCCGGTCTATCCGCCCTAATTGCGCAGATTTATGTCTGTCTTACACGTGAATTGAAATTTTAGCACATTATCCACGAAGCCTTGCTGTATATGACTCTCCTTTATTGCCCACCGGGGATAATCCCAAGAAATACCAATATTGGCTCGGAAGTCTAAGAGTAATATGAGGTTATAAAGAGAGCCAGGGGAGTTGGATCAATTCGATTTTACTTTCTGAAAGCTGTACATTACCTGAAATATAAACCCCCAAGAGAACAGCAATATATAGCTCGGTACTATTAGCTTCTGCTTTATAGAATTAGTTTTAATAAAGTCTAGGAAATCTCGATATCAGGCGGGTATCAAGAATCCATGTGCAAATCAAGACACTTGTTATTATATCGGTAAGTACCTAAATATGAAGTATAAAAATAATGATAGACTGTTAATATTAAGCTAGTCTAAAACGAGGGAGAAGCCAATGTAGCTTTGAAATGCAAGATAGCCTAACCTGTACCATGTCTTCATGTAATCTCTTACAGTCGGGGAGGTACCTACCTAGAAACTCAAATTACGAAAGGGAATTTTTATGAGTTAAGTTATATGATAAACTTGGATTAGATAAGTTGTTTAACTAGTTGCTTTAATTATTTAAGTACTCGATGTTATGTCGTCCTGAAATAACTGGGTTTAGAGTAGGTAATTATTTATATTAGTCGAAGGGAAACACTCGGTATCTACTGATCTGAATCTTCCGATCTATCTAAGGGCTCAGAATTTATGTATTTGATCCTTCCGATAACCGAGTTCATGCAAGATCCCTGATTTCTGCCAGCTTCCCACAAGCGCAGTCTCCATCGGCGGCGGTCCGCAGACAAACACTTTAGAATCAGCCGATTGGGGCGCCACATCGTTCAGCAACTCCTTGGTAACGTAGCCTTGTCGAAACGGCGAGCCATTTGCGGGGTGACTGATCGTATACGTCACATTAAAACGGCTTGGAAAATTCGATGCGTACTCGTCGAGCTCCTTTCTTAGAAGCAAGTCGGCATCTGTGTTTACGCCAAATACCAAGTTGATCTTGGTGTGGTCCTCAGGATTTTGCAAGATGCCCCGAATCAGTTGATATATAGGAGTAATACCGGCTCCTCCGGCGATGAGAAGGATCTCTGAGTGCTTGTTTGGCTGGTAGTTGTATCCCGGTATCCGGGTGACAAAGCGCAATGAGTCTCCAGGCTTCAGGGAGTGTATGTATGTGCTCTGCTTGCCATCGGGGTATTTCTTGATGAGAAGTTCTAAAGCACCCGGCTCATCTAATTATTAATAATTAGATTATATTCATTGGTAATAGCGTTAAAATGTCCTTACCTAGTGAGTTGATCGGAGTGTAAGGGCGCACGACAGGAAATGTGCTGCCTTTTGGCCAAGAGTATGTTAAGAGCGCGGCTTTATCAAATGTCAGTAACGGTGACAATAAGTCGCAGCATACTCGATGCGCTTTTGGGTTTTACTTACATGTTAATGTAAGGCCACTGACGGTATCTGGTGTAGGCAGCTTAAATCGCAACCGCTTAGTGTTGTGGTTTACAGCTTCAGTGCTCTCGAGCTCAAGAGACAAAAAAGCCGGGCCAGAGCCGAAAGCCTTCTTCGGCGCACCGGAATCCGCGTAAGCAACGTTCCCCATGTAGGTATAGTACAGCCCAATGCCTGTGCCAACAACCGCAATGCTAGTTATGCTTCGGGGTAGACGAGCTGCGGAGAGTACTCTGTAATTCATACTCGACGCGGCGTTGTCGAATGCGTTCGTAATGGCGCTGTAGGTACCTAATCTTAGGGAGGTCGAAAGGGACGAGGGAGGAGAGAGTGAGATATTAAAGATTTAAGGAGAATAAATCGATCATTTGTGACAGTCCTTTTAAAAAGAAAAAAGAAAAAAGCAAACGGACTTCCGCTGATGCGGTTACACAAGAATGTTGGCAGAAGAGAACGCTCAAATGTCTTCAAATGATGCCCAAGGAAAAACCAGTGTCTCAATGTAAATTAAATCTGCTCTTGCAATTATTCTTACATTTCATTTTCAAGAGTTATAAAACTGTATATAGCGGAAAGTTCAACTCCCATTTATATCATATATAGGAGGTACCTACCTAGGTATTCTCGGGGTTCGGAACACTGAGTACAAATGACGGAGTGACGGCGGACACTCGAGTCCGAATCCGAAGCCTCTTACATCAGTACCTTAGCAGCTGCTTAGGAGGTACCTAAGGTAGCGCGAAGTCTGACATGGTGCAGCGTGTTTGTTCGTACGTGTGTTAAGCAACAGGTCTATTTAGGGAAATGGCCATGTGTAATCGAACCACCTCCACTAAAGGAATATTTGGAACGCCTTCATCGGGGGTCTTGTAAGCCGGGCGCCGTGCGATATTTATCTGACCCGGGGACTGGGCACTCATATCCACTAAGGTACCCACGGCCGGTCCCGAGACATATGTACGTACCTCTTTAATTGAATCTGTTCCATTTCTGTAAACGACTTACGTAATATGTTGGAAGGCTTGCTTTATTTAGTAGCTCAGCTTTGTTATTTTATTTCAAACCAAGTCCTATATACATTAAACACGCTACTGTTACATTTTGTCCCCGCGTACCCTAAATAGGCAGGCATCTAAGGTAGTATTTCAGCTGCTCCACACCGCGCGCGATTTTAAGATGCAACTAGCACGACTGGCTCGCCGTTGCTAACATTCAAGCACACATTTCCGTCTCCGTCCGAAGTGTAGGATCCAGTGCTGAAAGTGTTGTTCCACGATCTGTTAGGAGCCTGCGTGTTAAAGCAGTGCTGTCCGCTCGATCCAGATCCACTGTTGGTGGTGAGAACAACTAGGTTGCCACCAGCTCGGCTCCAGGCGTAAGCAGTATCCGCAACATACAGATGGGTCTGGTCGTTACCAGCTAGTCCACCAGCCGATTTCCTAGCGGCGGATAGCTTAGATATGGCTTGGTAGATTTCGGCATTGGTATCGAAATTGCTGCGCCAGAGGTCTTCACGGTTGGCGGGGTCGTTACCACCAGCGTACGCCTGCTCTGTACCGTAGTACACAATAGGAATACCCCTAGCAAGGATGACGTAGGCGAGAGCGTTCTTGAGCAGAGCAAGGTCGTTCTTCGAGCTTAGCCATCGCGGATTGTCGTGGTTGTCGAGGAACGAGCCTAGCGCCGCAGGGTCGGGGAATGACGAGCTGACCTGGTTGAACATGTCGACAAGGGCCTGGCTCGAACCCGTCTGCTGGTAGAAGTTGTTCATCGGGTAATATATGGGGTAGTTCAGCAATCCAGACATGAGACTAGCGTAGCCCGCGACGTAATCCGGGTTACCGTCGAAGACCTCGCCGATCGTGTAGACTCCGGCAGCGCTGGAGAATCCCGGCCAATAGTCCTTGTCGACATGCTTCACCGTGTCGATGCGAACACCGTCGAAGCTATACTCCGATACAAGCCATTTGATCCAATCCTGGTAGACGGTCTGGATCTCTGAACTTTGCGTGTTCAGGTCAGGCAGGCCAGCGATCCAGCAGTTTTCCACACTGTTCTGGTCGGAATAGTTGATATCGCATTGCGAGTGATAGGAGCTGGCTTGGTTTAGTGGCTCTGGCTTGCGATCTTCGAGGTTGGATGGGCCCACGTGGTTCGCGACCACATCAACCATGATGTAGATGCCCTAGTTACCGAATTCTAAGTCAGCGGTCAATTAAGGACAGGTGATAGCTGTTTCAGATACCTTTTCATGCGCAGCGCTAACCAGAGCTTTCAGGTCGTCCGCTGTACCATGGTTCGAATTGATGCCATATAGATCCGTCGCCCAGTATCCGTGATAACCCCCGTCGCTGTCTTAATTTGACACGATGGTTAGTTTACTGAGGGTAAACATCTCATGAAGAAGGAAAGACTCACTTGTAACTACAGGTGTAATCCAAATAGCATCGAAGCCCATACCAGCAATGTAGTCGAGCTTTGATTGGAGGCCCTTAAAAGTGCCACCACAGTAAGTCGAGAGGTCACCGCATGCATTGCCTCCAGTGTCATCGCTGCTCCGAGCGACACGGTCTGTCAGCGCAAAGTAGATGTTCCTAGATTTCCAAGCGTCTACGTCGGCCGAGAGGGCCACGGTGAGCAGCTCGGAAAGGAACGCGAGCGAAGCTAAGGAGGCGCGCATATTTGCGATAAGTACGAGCGATCAGATACCTAAGGACGATATTACCTAGAAGGGTTGGGGGTGGCTCAAGAGAAGGGAGAGAAAGAAAGGAAAAGGATGGAGTTCATCGATACACTTATAGTACGGGGGCGGCGTGGCTCACGATTGTGATCGCACGAAACTACAGTACGCCCCCTATAATAATGTTAGTCTTTCGGACGTGCACGATACAGAACAGGGCTTCTGATTCTGAATAGAACAACGCATTTTAAAACATCTTAACTATTATACTAGGGTTTTATAGCATAAAATACTCTGAAACAACGTTTTCGAAGAACTACGGGATCTCAGCGAAGTATGGAACTCTAGGGGTCCGCTGAATAACATTATTACAGGCCGTTCAGCTCCCACTCCGTCCCCGCCCGCCCTCCGGTCACATTTCATAAGAGGCCGATTTCAACAGTACACGGACCGAGTCCAAGAATGACCGACATACTAAAATGGCCGACAGAAGCTCCGGCACTAACTCCGCCATCCTTACCAGCAACACTTATTGGATATGTTCGACATTAGGAAATAAAAACCACAAGCAAATAGGGCAATAAGTTGCTTTAATGCAATAATACTATTAACATGAGCCCCATCTCCAGGTTTCCATCCCCTGTTTCTCCTTTCCAGATGAAGCTAGGCTGCCCCTTTGTGCATGAAACGATCGTCACTCCGCACTGCACGATGCGTTGTAATAGGCCGAAAGCGATGCAGCGCCTGCGCTTCGATTCGCCTAACTACAGCCTAGGGCGCGGCGACTCCACGGATTGGAAAGTGGGAATGGCACCGACATGCATTGGGCCGGCACGATCCAACTTACTAAGAACGACCAAGGCTCAGCTCCTGACAAAAATAGGTAGGTAACATGCTTTATATCCGCTTCCTTAATTTGCTAACAACCGCAATCATTATTACCTTAAAAACCAAGTGGTATCAAGACGTCAACACTATGAAGACAATGTAGACTATCTCCAGATATTTACCCCATGAATATTTGGCTTACACGTGCTGATGAGTCGGTGACGCGGCGCAATACTCGGCCGCTTTATCGATTTGAGGCCCATTAGCAAGTTATGGATTGGCTAGGTACCTGAATAGCAGCTCTAATTCGTGCAAGTATACTTGGGGAAGCTCTCGGTGAATTTCCGAATGTTTACTTCTTTTCTCTAGCTTGTCACGTACAGCTTTCCTAAGCTAGATTTATGACGATTATTTCTTGATTTTAATTGCTTCCTCTTAAGGCTTTCCCCTCGGGAAGTGCCGCTTGGTATTTTCGACGTCTCCTTCATTGGAAAGACTGTCTCAGGGGCGGAGTTTGATTAATATAGGCCGAGCTAATGCTTAGCCTTCTAGGCTATACATTTGTCAAATACTAGGTGTCCTTATAGATGGTGGGCTCTCGGTATACTACATATAGCTTGAACTTTCAACCTTTATTAACATACTACTATATATGTACACTTAGATCTTGGTATCTCATGACAACGTTATAGAATTGTGTTGGCATTGGATAAGTCCTTTGCCCTATCGTTAGACACTCAAGAAGTACGCTTTGCGATGGGCCAGCCATCCATTTCCTGCTAAGCTTCACCGTAACTACTCTCAAAGTAGCCATAAATTCTAGTCGATGTCATTATCGACCACCATATCGGGTTCTACATTGCTTTGTTGGAATCGGCGTCGTTGGGCTGGTCCTGGTCTTGTAGTCGCATTGATACCTAATAGAGTTGTTCCTAGATGATGGTTAACTGTACGTCGATTGAGCGTAGCTGCTTCCTCTTCTATAGTGCCAGCATCTAATATGAATCGTTGCACCAAAGTTCTAATCGGTACGTCCTCCTCGGTCTGTCTGGGATCTACTCCGGTATCCTCATATACTATATCTTCAGGTCTTTTTGCCACTCCTCTCTCGGCTTCTTCTACGAGTTGCTCTAGAGACGGAGTGTCTTCAATATCGATCGCCATGCATCTTGCTACGAGGTCTCGTAATTCAACATCTATATACTTCGACCTCGTAAAGAAAGGAGGAGCCTCTGTCCCCATCCGCCGGCCTTCACCGGTTTGTTTGTCCACGAATTCATATGGCCAGCCCCCTTCTGGTACGTTTTCTATATAAGACTCATCAACCCTAGGTAGGGCAAGAATAATGAATAGCTGTAGGTCTATTAGCACGATATTCAGAGATGAGTTTTTATACTAGGGTGGCTAACAACTCCGATATTTGCTATATTAGTGTAAACCGCGTCTAGCGTATCCGGTAATATCTCTCCCCGTCCAAAGTCAATGAGCTGGAGCAAAACTTAGCATGTTTCACACAGGTAACTTTCTTCATCGAGGAATACTAGGGGCACAATTCCACTCTTCCAACAAGACTTGACACACCTTGAATATTGGAACAAGCGAATGTTCAAAGTCATCACTAGTTAGATCGCCAATAATGACATTATTTCCGTGAGGTGAATTCTGCATCACTCCTAATGGCATATGACGGTGAAACTGTTCCCGCCTCAGTGGTTCATCGGGTCCGCCCTGCGGGGGGAAAGCCATAGCTAGCACCTGACGTACCACTATAATGGGCAAATGCTGGTTAGCTTCTTAGTTGAGAACGTAGTTGGCGCAAACCCGAGAGGTTAATGCCTTTGGAGAAATGGTAGTACTGACAACAGAGAAATATACGCCAAAGGAGCCGGCTGGGCATTCGATAGCGATTCTGGTCCATTCTCTCCCGAAAGGCATATATTGTACCATACGGAATAAAATCGAGCGCGAGGGTAGGACGTTTCCCAGTACCCGATACATTAAGAGTGGCTTCGGCAAGCGGAATCATCTGTCCGATATGCTCGGCGCCTCTTAGCATTTCGAGAAATTGAGCCTCATTTCTCAAGTCCGCGTCCGCTTCATCGCTAAGCGAATACTTTACGACTATTTTCCGAGAGGGGTGTCTTCGTTTGTCTAGGAAAAGAATTGCACCACCGTCTAGGTAGAAGAAAGATTATTAGTATTCGTCTGCTATGCTAGAAAATTCTCGATGCATAGATAATAAAGGCGGTTCTCTCGTAATAGAAGAGAAGAAGCTTACTTACGGCGCCCTATTCCTGCGACACCACGATATATAAGATTCTCGTTTCGTGTGAAATACGTCGAGATCCTATCTGCCAATGCTGCCATCCTAGCATTTTCCGCATCTGCCGCAGGTAGCGATAGGAGCAACCTTCCTATTAAATCGTAATCCATTGCGTTGTTCGTGTTCTAGTTATGATCGTGAAAATACTTGGGTCGCTACGGGGGTATTAGTCCTATAATAAACCGTGACAATACGGATAACTACTACTAGGTAATAATATAATGGTGTTCAGTGTCAATAAATTATTATGCGAATTAGTTTATATCAAATATCGCGTACAACTTGAGGTATAATTGCTAGCCATGGTATTGATACAGGTAAAAGCTTTTTACAGACAAAGCCCCTGAAGAAGTCGATTTATTACAAATAACCTTAAGCTAGCAAGGCAAAATATTGTCCTCTCTTTGTTTCACTCATCGCTGGCCTTTTATCATAAAGTGCTATGTTCGCTGGTTTCGGCAGCCTCTATTATCATGCAAAGATGACTTTGGATTAACTAAGATAGGGGGGCTTTGCGGGTATTTAAATATCGTTGCTGAGAAGAAGCCTTTAGTAGGGAAACCTTACCATCTAAAATTGTAATAGTATAGTGATTTTAGCTTGAATTATAAGCTATATGTTGTATTTAAATGTGATTATCCCGACTCTTTAACCTAACAATGAATTATTCTAAAACGCTTACTCCTGACCCAAAGGTAATAGGTATAACAAACCAAAATGATATTTTATAGCACTACATTCGAAATAGGTTCGGCTTTTACCAACACAGTATTATTTCATCGATATTAACACTGCCATCATAAACTTTGTTCGCTTATGCTGGTACTCCGTTGCGGAATATGCCCCTCAGTTCAATGTCACGTTCAGTGATAATGCCACATAACTCAACACTTATTATATAACTGGACTCATTCATTTAAGCTTAAAACTATCTCATCCTAGCTTAGCCGGACTTGCAAGTAGCTAAATCCAGCAATTTTACAAGACTATTAAAAAAGCCCGCACCAAACCCTCGGATAACCTCCCTTACTGTATTGACTGTTAGGTATTTCCAATCACGTTAGAAGAATGCCTGGAAGATGTAACTACGCCCACTTCGAGCCCCGGCTTCCCCGCTGTTTACGTGGTATTTATGCAAATCATAGTGGGTAGGTATATTTATACTGCCAATTAAGCCAGGGGAATATCCAAGCATCTTCGGCATTCTTCCGGAATCAAACTCCTTCCTCAGTTCCTAAGTACCAAAACATTGCGTTCTTCTAAATAAGTAGAAGCAAAAATGGGACTAGATCAGCTCTTTGAAGCCTACATTCTTATAGGGCTTGTAGCTGTAGCTGCCGGCGTTTATACCGTCTATCAATGCTTCTTTTCGCCCCTTGCTAGAATCCAAGGGCCGTTCATTGCCAAAATTAGTCCCATATATTATGCCTACATCGCGAAAAGAGGACGGATCCATCGTGACCTATATGATCTACACAAGAAATATGGGAAAGTTGTTCGAATCGCACCTAATGTATTGTAGGTACAGTCAAAGACCTTCGATGAAGGAAATATATTGATGGGATGCCAATAGGAGTGTCACAGATCCCGTAGCATTTCGAGAAATATATAGTACGACCCATCATAACTTCATCTTGACCTTGTTCATTCCCTAACTGCCATGATAGAGGCGGGTAACAGGTTCTATAAGGCCGAATCATACTCTGTGCTCCAAGGCTCGCGACCGTTCGACCTTGTCAACCAGAGGAATGAGAAGATCCACTCGGAGCAGCGTAAACTAGTAACGCGTGCTTACTCTATGGATTCTATAGCTTATCTTGAACCTCAAGTAGACACGGTTTTGAAGACGTTTGTCGATCAGTTAAGGGCAATTCGCGTTCAACCAATCAACTTGGGATATTGGATGCAATTATTTGCTTTCGGTATTAAGCAGAACACCTTTCCCTATGCCCGAGATACTAGCTCAAAGCTGGAAAATGCTCTATACACTGACACTTGTTCTGTAGATGTTATTGGAGCTATCAGCTTCTCAAAGCCGTTCGGATACGTCGCGACTGGCGATGACGAAGGGATCTTCCGTCGACTTCAAAGGGCTTTCGAATCTATGGGCTGGGTTAAACATGCTCCTACTTTTTTTCAATTACACCAAAAACTAATGCCCTACATTGGGAATTGGTTGGCTATCAATGACCGGAATACCTACTTTTTCGAGCTCGCCTCTCGAGAGATCAAGGCTCGAACGAACCGTGACGGCGATTTTAAGGACATTGTGAACCAGCTCTTCTCAGTACAGAAGGCGAAGCCCGAGCTTAATAATACTAATATCGCCTTCATGATGACTTCTAATGTCTTTGCTGGATCCGATACTACGTCAAACTCATTACGAGCAATCTTTTACTTACTGCTGAAGAACCCAGAGACCTATAACCGCCTTAGAGAGGAGGTTGAAAGTAAGAAACAGGTGGGGGAGTTAAGCAATCCTGTTGCTTTCAAAGAAGCCGAAACCTGTTCATATCTCCAAGCCGTCATGTACGAGGCAATACGTTTATATCCAGCAATTGGAGACCTTCTCGATCGAAATGTGCCGGAGGGCGGTATGATGATCGATGAACACTATGTTCCAGCTGTAGTAAGCCCCCCCTCCCCGTGTGAATTTAACCCGAATGAATACCAATTCAGTAGACTGTGGTTGGAACCAGTGCGTGGGTCCTTCACCGTTCACAAGAAATCTGGGGCTCCGACGCAGAAGAGTTTTGTCCAGAGAGATGGTTAGATAAGGATAATGAAGGCACACTAAGTATGTCTTCTACTTATAAATCGTAGCAAGAGGCCTAATAATAAGCTCTAACTCCTCCCAGAGCGGTTTTTCTTCTCGTTTGGTGGCGGCTCTCGAACTTGTATTGGAAGACGTGAGTTTACCCCTATTCTTATGTTAGATATGAAGACTGAAATCTATTTTTTAGATATCAGCTGGCTTGAAATCAGCAAGGTATGTTAAATTCTCAGAGATATATAATTGTTCTAGTAGTTGACCTATCCTCAGATCGTCCCAACTCTTCTAATGTGCTTCGACATGAAGCTAGCCGACAACGTGGAGATAAAGGAGAACCACGGGTAAGCCCGAATACATACCTCTTACATGCATATTCAAACTGACACACGATTTCCAGTGGTCTCCTATTCCTTGATGGATTAATGGTTCACATTACATCGCGGGAAGTATGATATTCTCACGTATACATGAATAGGGGCCTTGGCGTTGGGGTAATAGGGGAGTCTAGTGTACCTTGTAACGAACCCTTCTAAGTTGGGGATCATTTCCCTATTATACCCAGAGATAGCAGAAGACTATGCAATGTCGAACGAGTAACGAATTATCACGAGGAATTTCTTTCATTATTATAGGTAGCTACTAGTAAGCTAAACCTCATTGAAATACCTACTTAAGATATACTACTAAGCTAGTCGGCATCGCAAGTGCAACTAGATATTTCAACCCCGCAGCCAATATGTCCGGATTCCTTTTCCTGCAGACATGACAGCGAGTCTATTCGCTTAGCCCGTGTATGAGCAGACCACAGTGCTAGATCCAGAGGTCGAGCAGTCAGTCAAAACCTTGCTGCTCTGCTCAATGTCAATGATAGTCGCGCCGCTAACTCCAGTACCGCCGTTAACTGAAGCGCCGGTGAACTGCACAGTGCCAAAGTCTGCGAAGCTAACTAAGCTGCCACCGCTTGAGTAGTCCTCCACAATCCACTCGGCGTTGGTCTGGCAGAGCTTGTCGGATTCGCCGGAGAAGGAGTGGGTGACCTTCTTACCGGTCGTCACGTTTTCGATAACAGCCGTGCCGGCTGACGTGCTAGAAGCAGTGACGGTCTGTATATTTGTTAGCGTGTTGTTCCTATATTAACGTGTTTATATAGGTTAGGTACTTACGAAGGTAACGGTGTCGCCGGCCTTGATAGTGATACCAGAGAAATCATAAGCCTATAATATCGAGTTAGTACTAACTTTATTAAGTAAAAGGTGACTCTGATTTATCTATGGCTTATAGAGTACATGGGTAGGGCTGAGCTAGGGGTTCGGGACTTAAAATCTCACTTACATAGTCTGGGTACCACTCATACCAGGCATCATAAGATACCGACGATCCCTGGATAGTGAAGTCGACACCAGTTTGCAGAATAGCAGTGTCACAAGTGTCACCGTCAATACCGACCCAAGCGGATGCTGAGTACTCTCGGGAGCTGCTACCACCGGACGGTGTCTTCGGGGTGGGGACGACAATACTGCCGGTTACGCTCTTGTAGCCACTGCCAATAAGAACGGCACCAGCCCAGTTAGAGCTGTACTCGACGTGGGCAGTGTCATTCCCAGAGGCGATCGCAAGCTCGCTGTCGGCGGGCTGAAGCGTGTTCGAAGCACGGGAAACCCTCCTCCCAGCAAGACGCTCAGCGGCCCGCTGGCGACGCGCAGCCGTGCCGGGAGCAGCAAACGCCAAGTTGGCGTATAAGAGAGCGGCGACAATAGGAAGCTGCATCTTGAAGCGGATAAGGGTATTATCAAGAGAAGCAGGGGCGGCGTATTTGTTAGTTAAACCAGCAAGGTCCTGGAATGTGGAAGATGCTATGCTGTAAAAGCTAGAGCTGCGGTGTCTTGCATTCAGAAATGATTGACGGAAGGGAGGACGTTAAGTGGTATTATATAGACTGAGCATGGCTCCCCAAGTCTCTCACGCAGTTGGATGCGAGATAAATGAAGCCAAGAAGTATACGCCAATGACGAGTCGATGCGAGATTCTCTCAAGGCATCATCGCCCCCCAGCAATGGTAGAATGTGATGTGTCCCAGATGTTGTCGTGACATGAAAGATAAAAGACACCTTCCTGATAAACTTGGAGGGCCGCCTCAGCTGCCCATTGTTCGTACATACATGCCAATAGAAACGGCATCATCTGCCATATTGAACTTAGCGGGCGGTTGGGTTTCCATCTTGACCTAGGAATACTTGAATATGCACGCGGTACCTGGTCAAGGCTCATGGAGATGCCAGTGGGTTGTGAGTCTTCAAGTCTGCCATGTTGATCTATCTTGATAACGACTATGTCGGATAAAGCTAGCCCGGTTGAACGGCGCTACTCGGAATGGGTTGGAACGCGGGTGGAAAAGCTACGCTGGCTAACCCCAGGAATGTGCCAAGGTCAGTTGTTCGGCTGGTCATTGGCTGGGGGAATACACGCAAGCCTTGGCCGTAGAGGAAGGTAGCATTGCCCAGCCGGCTCCTCAAAAGCTAGATGAAAACGATATGTAAGTCGGCGAGTGAGTGGGTGTAGGTAGGGACAGGCAAGTATGGTCGTCAAGAAAGTTGTCCCTAGGAGATAATCGAGCGGAATAGCCTGTGATAAGGAAATAAACCCGCGAGGATGTGGAGGGGAGCAAGGGTCTTGATCCAATGAGGGGGGAAGATGGGGGCGTATGGCGTGAGACAGATAAGGGAGAATGGAGTACCATAGTCAACCGGGTTCGGAGCAGTATTCTTCCAAAAGGCGTCTGCAACAATATCGAAGGAAGGTTATGAAAGATATAAAGAATATCAAAGTCTCACGAGCCTCAAGTTCCTCAGCTCGATTACTATGGATATCGACGTCGAAACAAGCTTTGATTTACAGTGCCGCCAAGCGATTAGGGAATGATTTACAGAGAGCGCCGAGGCGTAGCCAAGCTTGCCAAGTGAGATTTTATCTCTCAGTATTCTTCGTTCTTTCGATAGGCAAGTGATTTGCATGGCACATGCGAGACACCTGATCCAGTCGCGCTAATGTGTAATCCCCATACTGCCTGTTCCTCGATCTCCTTCCCAAATAGTTGGAATGCTATCGAAATCGTTTTGGTCTAACATATATTGTATACGCTGCCCTGGCCGAGTTGTCATCATTCGGTCCGACTACCGGCGTTGCATTTCGACCCAACCGTCCTTAGGAAGGTATTCTTTGTAGGTGGCGCTACACATAGGCCTTAGACTTATTCAAGTCACATAATTATCTCAAGCTAGGATGTTATTCGCAGATAAGCATACTCTATAGAGATTTAAGTTAAAGACTATTGGTTCCATGCCAAAGAAGATTCGAGAGTCGAAGTAAGATGTTGAAATGATATATCAAAGGTTATCGCGATTTATGTCCGGAGCTCCCGGAGAGCTTCCCTATACGATGAGATTATATAATTCCCCTAGATCCTAATGACGGGTCAACCCGCTTCCCCTAAAGGTATACTACACTTACACGCGAAGGTTCCATCAATCTAGGGGGATGGCTATATACATCTCACCCAACATCCAAGCAGTTAATACCCGCTTAGTCTAGTTGTTTAAGTTGTCCTCCATATGATAGGTAGAACTTACAGTTCTATGTACTAGAAAGTAACAATTGGCCTATCTACTTACAAATGTGCTAATTTGGCTTCCATTCCGGTATGAAGGGGACTCAAAGTATGCTTACGCTTTCGATGAATACCTACCAGATGGCTCGGTCTGAGCTACTAAGATACGATACTTAGAATAAAACTCTTCATAGACAGGCTAGTGGCCCTATTTTGAATATGTTTTCAAGCCCTTCGTGTAGCAACGAATATGGATTCCCATGTCTTAGTAACATCGCGTTGATGTCTTGCTTGAAATCAATTCAGCTTATACCAATTTGGGTTACATTCAGCTCTTTATGAGACCACCCAGAAATACAGAGTCTGAACTGCAAACTAGGTAAAAAAAGCAATTGGTGGCTCTAGTAACTATTTAAAATTTGAAGTATAATTACTCTACGCGTTATCAATCTAATATTTTAGCTTGTTATTGGTGGAATTTCCTAGTGGACTTTGAATCTAACGCGGCGAGTACTTAAGCCCTGTTGCTGTGATAGTCTGACCGCGGATTTCTCAACCTAATCGGGCGTTATTCCGACAAAATGCCATGAGTATCTTGATTGCGAGTCCTGCGAGTCCAGCAAGTATCCAACGCCTCCTCACGAAACCCGCCACCTTCCTTTTCAAGCAGCGCGACAAATATCTGCGATGAAGCCACTTAATTTTTATCGCTTATTGCCGGGGCCGTGTCGCTCTTTGTATGTTCATGAACCTTCTCGAAATCGATGGCGGTCTCGCTGGACCCAAAAACTACGAACACGTCAGCAACTTCGGTAATACGGTCAATATTAGTAAACTTACGAGCTTCCATTTCCTCTAGAGACTTGCCCTTGGTCTTTCCACTCTGTTAGCAAGCGTTTTCGTTGGCGTAGTCCATATATGTGGTATCTCACCTCCTTGATGAAAAACCATGTGTACACAACTAAGGCCCAGTTGAATATACAGAACATCAGAAACGTCCTCCATCCAATGTTGTTTATAGCATGTGGGGTGACTTGAGAGAAGGCAAAGTTGAATAACCATTGGGTGGCCGTACCGACTAGTAAATGTCAGTACTAATAACGATACTAACGAAGAAATGAGTGTGAGTTACCTGCCACGCCCGCTTCTCGTATCCGGGAAGGAAATATTTCACTCATGTAAAGCTGAAAAGGGGTATGAGTGAGCTTATGGTAAAGATAATAGTAGCAGCGACGGGATTACTAACCCAAGGAACTGGTCCCCATGATATATTATAACTCACTATCAACAGAAAATAATTAGCAGATGATCCAAAGATGTACTACAAACCTCAATAAGGGTTACCAACTGGCTTCAAGATAAACCATGGCCACTGCTGCTGCACCAGTGCTGGTCAGAGATTGATTGGCCACTGGTGGGTGAGTAGCTGTTAAGCAAGCAATAATGAGCATATAAGCCCCCATCAGGAACGATCCACCAAGAAGTGAGCCGCGACGGCCAATCCTTTCAACGAGGAACAGTAGGAAGAATAAACACGAAACGACTTTGACTACGCCGAAGAAACCGCTGATTAGGAGGCTCTGGTCACCGGCACCAACTGCTTTGAATATCTGTGGAGCATCTTCAAGGAGTTAGCTTTTAATCCGGTGTTAAGGGGAGTCATATATATGAACCTACAGTAAGCCAGACTAGTATTTCCGGTCAGTTGTACGCCTACATTCTACGTCAGTAAAAGCTTATTAACCAACAGTAGATATGAACCCGCGTATACCTATTTGAAGCGTTATAACAATGAGGAAACGGAAGCGATTCACTGGTAGGAGGTATTCTTTCCAAGTGAGCCCCTCAGTGACACGCTCTTCTTCTCGGATACCTGCGATAATCTCTGCGAATCTGCCTCCAGTTGTTAGCCACCAAAAAACTAATTTGAGCTTTTGTCGTACTCTTCTTGTACTTTAACACTATCGCCGCCACGAACCCATATGAGTGATTGCAAAGCCTCTTCCGTTCGGCCTGATTTTGCGAGCCATCGGGCACTCTCTTTCGTGAGTAACATTCCTAGCCCTAATATGCCACCGGGAACAAGCTATTACAGGGTTAGGTCAGCGCGGTAGACGACTAGAGAAGAGTAACTATGAATTAGGTACTAACCTGGAGGCCAATAGGAATCTGCCACTGTTGTGTCGTTGGACCCAAGTGTTGTGACACACCATAGTCGACCCAGTACGATGTCATTACACCGAGGGTGAAGAAGAATTGAAACATGCTTCCCAGTTGACCCCTGATATGCTTTGGCGCCATCTCCGCGCTATACACTATAATGTTAGAGTTAGCAACCGGCGAATCATGCGAAAATATTCAGGGGCAGACTTGACTCAACAGCAGAGGAGTATATCAAGATATACTACGGAAAGAGGGAGAAGAAAAGGCCTATTGCTTACTCGGAATGATGACAGTAGCCATTCCAACCCCTATCCCCGAAATAACACGAGCGACATAGAAGGCGGCTAACGAGTGAGTATTAATGACTTGGATGATACCTCCAATGCTGAAGATAAGCGAGGCCAGCGCAATCGACCATCGGCGGCCAAATCGAGCTGTGAACGGCCACACGAAGAAACAGGAGAAGAAAGCTAATTAGTTGACGATCAGCCATCTCTCTTCTCGCTCTCACGAAAGGCGTAATTGGTATTAACATACCTCCGGCCTGTAAAAGGCTTGTCGCATTGGAACCGACGCTCGATGAATTAGATTTGTTGATACGGAAGTCATTCTGGAAAGAGGGCAGCGTAAGAACGCCTCCGACGACACCTGTATCGTATCTATAGACCTAGGGTAAGAAGTCGCACATAGAATGAAGAGAAGATGGACAGTCGAGCGTGGGAACTTGTAGAGTGGTGTTTCTATATGTAAAGAATTGTCCTCGACGAAAACCGGATGTGTAGGTAAGTAAAAGGGAGGAACATACGCGAACAAGAAGCTGCCAATACAGCATAGAGCAACGAGATACCAGGCCCTGAAGGTACCCAACTTCTCCCCCATGATGTCGAATCTCTTTGGTGCAAACCTTCTATGTATATTCGTCGAACACGTTCAGATATAACGACGGCTGATGGAGGACTAGCAGCGTCCCAACTTCGACATGAGATGGCTAGTGGCTTAAATGCGATACTAGAAAATGGATCTTCACAAGTGCTCGGATATCAACCGAATAGAAATAGAAAAGGCATATGATGGCCCGATATATATCTTATATACCTATGCCCTAGGTATGTATGTAGAAACACATCAGTCTACATCAGTATGTTTCTATATAACAACTAGTGTTCAAAGCTATTCAGACTAGGTACACGGTCGTTAACAAGTCACATAATTAAGGATCCATGTCATCCATATTTAGCAACGTCAATAAGTACACACGTAAATGCTGTGCAATAAAAAGTCGCGTGTAAGCATTCGCCTGTCAGATGTCAGCTAACAAGCTGTCGTAACTGTAGGGACAGAGGGATTCATTGCGCTTCTTGGTGTCATTCGCGCTAAGAATTGCGAGCTCGAACCCCTGTGCCCTCGGCCAATTGCGTGTCTGGTTTCGCTCGCTTGGCACGACGCGGCATGATCCTGCAAGGCTGATCGTAAAGTGAAGTTCCGGACGGTCTTTTAAGTCAGGGGAAGCAAGAAAGCAAAAGGGGAAGAGGGTACGAGATATCTTGTAGTATAACGTTGCCGTCCCGAGGGTTCGGGTCAGTATAATGATTCTGTATCTGTATGAAGAATATGGAGAATAGCTACGTAGTCGAGTAGCTGTGCAAGCAAGATACCATCAATTCCTATTGGACACCCCCGCAAACGCTTCTCGATCCCCCGCAAGGAACCCTGGTGTAGCGTTTTATTTAATTAGATGAACCCCCCGACTCGACCCGTCGTGTGGTTGCAGCCGAGTGGAACGCATTGCGTCTTGCTTACGGTACTCGGCTCTGTCGGTCTGTCTTACTGATGATTGGGTATGTTAACCCCCATCGGCCCCTTGGATTCGAGGAACCTTTGATACCGAAAGGACCGACCGTCATTAAAAAAAATTGAAAAAAAAAAGCATTACCAACGGCGTGTTGGCTGCGACCCGATAAGCTATATTAAAGGGTATCCAATGAACGAAGAAGGATAATAAGAGGTACCCAGCCGCAGGATTCGTTGCCACCAATGACCGAGGCTCTGCGGCCTCTGCGACCTTTGCAGGCACAGGTTTCTAGCGATGTTCACGATCCGCCGAGTCCGCAGTTCGGGCCAGGGCCGACACTTAACCCCATATCCGTACCGGATCCGCTGACGAAGCGAGCAATTTGCTCTCAGTGCAGGATAAGAAAGGTAAGCAATGATTGCCCAGTCCGGCATCCGTTTCATAATATTCAAAGAGAATAAAACCGGTAGAGGCACTTAAGGTATATGTATATATATATTTATTCTAATCTTCTTAGGTCCGATGCGACGGCAGACCAAACCTCTGCCAGAACTGCGACCGGCTAGGCTTCGAATGCTCGTTCCAGCAGTCCCCCGGCAAGGCGCCGGGCCAATACGTGGTGAAGCTGCCGGAGCGGCGGCGGCGTATGCAGGCGTGCATCCCGTGCCACTCCAAGAAAACCCGGTGTCTCGGCGAACTGCCGAGCTGCTCCAGCTGCGTCCGGAGAAATCGCATCTGTACCTACCCCCGAACCAGGAGGACCGGGACTACGGCTCGCGGCCCCGACGCGGCGGAGGGTTCGGGAACCGACGACAGACCGGCGCATGCATCTCCTGGTCAGGACATCGGGATGGTGGACCAGGCGGAAGAGTCTGCGCTGGATTATGAGACGACGCTGGGTTTAGTCGAGGACTACTTCCGGCATTTATATCCGCTGCCGTCGTTTTCTTTCTTTCACAAGGCGACTGTCCTCCAGAGATGTAAGGACCAGACGATAAACGAAACCCTGAAGCTATCAATATGCGCTATCACGGCGCTGCAGCTTCAGCGCACTTCGCTTTGCCACGATCTCTGGATCCAACAAGCCGAACAGTCGATCCTGCAGCAAGTAGGCCGAGCTTCTATCTTCCACCTGCAAGCACTACTCCTCGTGATCCGGTATAAGATCGAAAGCGGGGATTTCCCAACAGCGTTCATGTTAGCCGCGCTCGCAGCGCGCACGGCGTTAGCCCTCCGTCTGAACTACGAGCGCCCGGAGCTATCCGACGTTGCGCAAGAAGCACGTAGACGGCTCTTCTGGGCGTTATATCTGCTCGATGATTTCTTCTGCGTAGGGCTTAGAGAGTTCGAATTATGTCCGGAAGAGACAATTCACCTCCAGCTACCCTGCGATGAAGATTACTTTGAGGTGGGCCGATTCGTGCATACCGGCTTGCTCCGGCCAGGACCCTCGGAGTCTTTGACGACTGCCGGGTTGCGCGGCCTGTTTCTCCGTTTAACATCTGTTCGACGGGCGGTCATGAGGTAAACTTACACCCAGTCTTATAAGTCTTACATACAAGGACTCCTTTCTTAACCCCCTTTTAATGCATCTCAAACTTACACAAGGCCACACAGATTCAACCGCCGCGTCGGACTAGGCGAGGAATTATCCTCAACAATCAGCAGCAGCATCCGACGCATCGAAGAAGAACTCCGATCGCTTGAAGCGACTCTCCGGCCAGTCGACCAATACTCGGTATCCAACATGAGATGCAGCAAATGGCCGGCCCAATTCATCATGCTGCACATGTCCTGGCACCAATGCCACTGCGACCTGTACCGCCTCTGTCTAGACGGGTATAGCGAAGCGGCTCCGTCCCCGGTCCTAGCAGCGCTCCATCCACGGGACCGGGTCGCTATGCAGTTCAAGTGTCTGGAGCACGCTGAGAACATCATCCGGATCGTGTCTGATTTCTCAAACTACGAGGACGGCGAGTGTCTTCTCGAGCGCGACGCCGCGGTCTGCGCGTTTGAAAGTGCGCGTCTGGTTATGTTTGGCTCGCGAATACCGGGAGCGGTATCGAGTCTCGATGTTGCGATAAATAAAGCCAAGTTGTCACTTAGTCTAATAACGCGATTCTTCCCCTATTCTGCTTCGACACAGCCACTGGTAAGTTACTATCCATCTCCCCTAATTAGCTAAATCTCGGGCACAATTACTAAGACCTCCCAGCGAAAGGACCTAGAACGCTTAATAGCCAGCTACTCCGTGCGTCTCGCCCTGCAGACGCAAGAAACGCCCTCCGAACCCGATCCCCCACCCTCATCACGCCCCTCAACAAAAGTCTCCCAGTACGCCAGTTCACGCCAGCGGCTCTCCGTCCAAAGTCTACTTCTCCAATCAGATTTCGTCGACGACAGCAACGAGATCGCGGGTCCAACGCCCCCACCCGAAACGCATACCCTCCAAGCTACCGCCCAGACAACCCACGTCTACGGCCAAAGCAGCGAGGACCCCACACCCGCCGCCAAAACGCAGCAATGGAGCACGTCGGCGAACGGGCAGCTACCATCGCCCGGGCTGTCTCTCGACGCGGGGCAGGAAGACGCGGGGTTGATTTTCAACCCTTGGATGGGCTTTACCGGCACCGAGGATATGTCGGGGCGACCTTCGGGACTCGACGACGAATTCTAGCGGTACGTAGACGCGATAATGGCGTATAGGGAGAATACGTGAATGGATGGGAATTCTATGATATAACATGGTACGTGAGCAGTAAAAGAAAGCGACGCCGTCGAAACTAACGTATATGCTCGTGACGAAGATTTCCGCTGCTAGAAATATGAGCGGGCAGCAAAGAGCCGGACTACTACGAATATGTTAAGAGGTCTATATATAAGGAGGGGAAATCATGGTTTATTTTTATATATCTAGGCTACTATGAGGACTAAGCATATGATATTTGTACAATAGGCTAAACTAGGGTTGGGTATCTGGTCTCGTTGGGATGTAAGAACATGGTAGGAGAGGTTTCATAAACGTCAATAGTAATGATAACAATTCTAAGTTACAGTGTAATACTACCACTACGAACTAATATATAGCTACATAAATCTAGCTCTCACCTACGCTATGTCTAGTATGATCTGATGCATATTGTATAATTTCGGATGGCATTACTATTTTCTTACAATAATACTATGCAATCTATTCCGGTAATAAGTTTGTTCGTTTTATATATTGTTTTATGGCTTATATTGTTAAGCACACTATTCCCGCCTCCTTCTGTTTAGTCTTTGTAACTCAATCAGGTATCTGCCACAAAGCAGAACGATCCCAGAGCCTAAGGCCAAGTCTTGTGTGTTGTTATAGCCTAGCTTTTATCTGGTAATCTCGTCTTAGTCGACAAGTTACACATCTTCAATGTTGAAGTTTGAAGTTACGGATGATCGATGTTAAAGAATTATACGTCACTAATAGACGTTACTATGCCGAATTATGTGCTTATGGGTCGACTGCAATGCATCATCATCCGTGTGGCTGTCAACGTCGGCGTCCGATGTGTGCAAGTCACTAGTCTCAAGCTCAGCGTCGTAGTGAAGATTCTGCTGTAGTAAAGTCATGGAAGACGTTTCAGCAGCGGCTAGGTCATGAGAACCGTCGTCGGGAGATGCCGTGATCATTGCCGAAAGCGCGGACTTTTTCAAATTCGACGCATTGGTATTCCTAGCTCCGGTAGGTGTTAAGGGCTCAGAGAAATCAAAAGAATCGGGATCCGAGGTGGAAGATAAGATGGGACTGGTTTTAGGCCCCGTCTGGAATATATGGTCTTTTAGAAATCGCTTAAGCTTAATTTTCGGTTTTCGGCCGCTATGACGCATTGTCATCTCAAGGCGTTCCTCTTCGTCTGTTTCGTCATCCGTTATTTTATACGGATTTTCATCCGTAACAATGTGGTGGTATGAGCTTAGTAAATTACTTCCACTTGACCGGCGCCGGCTATGCTTTAGTTTCTCCTTCGTGGAAGGGGGCCCAATCTGGTTGGAACTCGGTGCTAAATGCTCATATGTTTCCCCGTCCATACTCGCTAGAAACCCGGTCGCCATCCTTCGCAAGTCAACCTGACTCTTACTAAATACGACGCGAGCTCTCAATGCATGAACCGCGCGATCTAAAGCCAGTTCAATGGCACACCGGTCCCGGATGCGAGCTAATTTAGGCCAGGTCGCACGCTCGCCTAATAAGCACGAGCGATACATGAACTCGGTCGTCGGATTCTTCAGCACCTTAGGCAAGTCCCAAACGCCCATGGCCGGGAGAATATTGATATCACCCGAGTATTTTTGGCTTAGGATAGACCGCAACTTACTGACGAGCGTTGGAAAGATACCGATTTCGGCCATAAACTGCATTCGATGCAAGGCTTCGCTCTTGGCCAGAGTCGTAATTTTGTGCATCCAATCCGATTCCTCCTTGAAGATTGTCTCGTGACGTACGCTCGCCGGCCCCTCGTCCTTGGTAAGAAAAGGAACAACATGCGGATTGACCTGCGACACAATAAAATGGTTGACGTTGAACATTTCGGCAAGTCTCGTCATAGGGAGGTCATTATCAACGGAGCCATCAATCCACATCTGCGGAGTAGGATTCCATGTACTGTGCTCGCCTGTTAGAGGGTTCTTGACTAACAACGGCGCAGCGCTGAAAACGAATGGCACCGAGCATGATGCTGCGACAGCAGACCATATCATAACGTTGGGTGCTGTAACGTAGTTCAGTAACCGTGGTAGCTCGTAAATAGACGCTGACGAGACACAAATGTTGCATATCCTCCTCGTGCGATTATACGCTTCCTGGAAAGTAATTTCACCAAGTAAGTCGCGCATTACGCGTGTCAGATGCTTGATGTCGGACCAATTCCCCTCGGTGAGCAGTCTTCGTAGATGGCCAAAGAGACCTTCTTCGTTACCCTCCTCTTCGAATACAGCTAGATCGCCATACGGGAAGTCTGCTAATAGTTGGGGAATCTCGTCGTCTGTCCTCGAACAGACCACAGAGCAGACGATCGAACCCGCCGACGCGCCTGATATAATACGCGGGAGTAATTTTGCCTCATACATGGCTTTCAAGACGCCAATATGTGTCATACCGAAAGTGCCACCGCCGCTAAGGAGGAGGGCGCTCCGTCCAAAGCTCTGGCGCGCGTAAAGTACCGCGTCCAGCAAGTCCCTCGGACCCGGGTCGTTCGCTCGGTGATACACACTCTGCTCTACCAGAGCTGTAATAGTCTGCAAGGCAGAATCGACGTATCGCGAAACCAATTTCTTAGTACCACAGTAGGAGTGACGGTATAGGTCAATATTGCCCATGCCGCCCAGATCGCGTGAGAGGGCTGTTCTAACGATATGCATCATGGATTGTATATCACAATTTGTGCGGGCATTATCGAGCTCTCGTAAGCGCATTTCTAGAAGATCGGGGTTGTAGTCCCCAGTTGAAATATCGGCCTTCCATTCTTCGTTACCTTCGAGGACATCTAGTTCTTGCGCTGCCGCCTCCCATTCACTATAAGATTCGGCACCCTGTAACCGCGCTGATAGAATTTGTTTGCGCTCTTCCACCCATCTCCATTCCGCTCTCTCTTTATGTGTTAAGCCATCTTTGAGGTATAAGAGACCGTCTATGACCTTATATAAGGGGGTCGTATTGGAGAACGACCCGCCAGCCTGTCCCTTGCCCTTCCGCGGGGGTTTAACGCCGGAGGGTTCGAGCGAAGGGACAGGTGGGAGAATGCCTACGAGGTGTCCCATGATGTAGGTACAAGAGACGGCGTCGCATTCTAACCCGTCCCATATATATACGTCCGAAGTACTCGTCGGTTCGGAGGATGTGGTCAGCTCCCGGAGAATCTAGATCGCCGTGGGCACGGGTTGGTCGGAGGTAGTATTGGTTAGGGTGAAACGAGAAGATAGTACACGAGGACGACTAAGATACAATGTTTAGAAAATGGATCGAAATGGAAATTAAGTAATGTATTATTCAACCTCGGCCTTGAATGAAAGCTATGTATAGTACAATAAGAAAAAGGTAACCAGGGTACTTTTGAGCTAGGGAAGGGAGGTGAAAGTGTGAGACAAGAGGTTGGTTGAGGGAAGAACTAATTTGGTAGAACGTAGAACCTGGTAGACAGATAGAAAAGCTAGGGAAGGGAAAATACGTCAGGAAATGCGGAACTATGCGGGACGCCAACCATGTGAACAATAAACATGAAGATCAGGTGGGTCACCAGACAGGGGGTAATGACCCTAAATAATGGGGTACATGAGGGGTATAATATAGAATACGGGGAAGTGCTTTTAGGTATGAAAGGTACTTAAGAACAATATGTGGGGTTGAGTTGTACATTGCACATAAACCAAACACTTTTTATGTAAATGTAAGCAATTAGAAGACCGCAAGACTCGATCTAGACTTTGTTCTTTATAAGCCACAAGTATTACAAGTCCTACAAGAATTGATGAATCGAGAATTTGACTTCGAAGAATGCCTGTACGACCAAGAATATAATCGTGTCTAATATCTAAAGTAACCGAAATTATAGCCCTGGTAAATTAAAGGCGCTACGTCTAGACCTCGGAAGTAATAGATCCATCTCTTCTTCTAGACATCTGACATCCATCAACCCTTTACGAGTCTGGCTGAAAAGGTGTAAACAGCCTCTCTAAGCTCATGTGCAACGCCGTGTTCTATCCAGAAATGTCCGGCGGTTGAAACCTCTACGTAGCGGAACTGAGATCCTTCAGCACCGCTTAGCTGCGTAGCCCAATCGCGCATTTTCTTCATAGATAGAAAACTATCTTGGTCTCCATATATAGCAAGAGTGGGGTTTGCGGTGAGCTTCGCCTCGGCCTCAACCTCACCCTCTTCCCGTTTCCTGTCGACTTCGTGGTTTTTGGCAGGCCCACCTTTCTTCTTCTTCGCCCAGAGATTTGAAAAGGACATAGTAAAGGACATAGTTGCCAAATTCGTAACGAAGCCTAGCGGAGGTGACACTAACAGATATGCAGTACGAAACCTGATCAAGTTGTTGACGTGTTCCAAGCATGGAACTTCGATATCGCCTCCCGTACCTTGATCGACAGGTGGGATGTTACGTCTCCTATGTATAAACTTACTCCGAGATAATATGTCCCTGACCCCTCTCCGTATCTTCTCCTCTGGGTCTGGGGAATGTGCTCTTTGTTTATCACGGGCCTTTGGTGATATATCCTCATTACCACCGACACGCATGCCCAGCGACTTTCTCGGCGAGGCGGGTGTAGTGAACATGATCACCTGCTCTTCTGCAAGGTGTTGTGCTCGCAATCGAATGTCTGCGAAGGCGGTGTGTGTGGCAGGTGAGGCGAAGTGAGACAGGTAGGAATCGAGAGGTGGGAGTTGGAGCGTCACCATGGCGCCGTATGAATATCCAGCAAGTAACAAAGTTGGAGTCGAGTTTTCATCTGCTTCGATAGGGCGCAGTTCGTTCCGAGGGGCGCCTAAATAGTGCAGGTAATAAACGAGAAATCCGACAACGGACATGTAATCGGCTCGCTCAGGCTTTGATGTCCACGACGTGCGACCGTTGGAGGACGAGGCGCCCCTATATTTTAGCACAAGAATTAGTTTCAAGGTAGTTACACATATAAACCCACTCTAACAACTAAAACGACACGAACCTGAAATTGAATGTCGCGACCACGAAACCGAGATGGAGTAGTGTGTTAGTCACAAGAAGCACAATAGGGTCGTCGTAGGATCCTCCGAGTGGTGCGTATGGGTGGGCGACCACGGCAGCATGTCGAGGCCATGATGGATCGGAGGGTGTAAGTGGCTGATTAGAGCGTACCGGATGGTAGATGCGACAGTCGAGTTTGTTATTATCGTGGATGCTAGGGAGCGTGAAGCTCAAGTTGGGTCGCGGAAGCATTGTCTAGTTCTCCTCGGATGTATGGCAAGGCAATGCATCATGTTAGACTCACAAAAGAGCCAGCCGGCAAAGCTTGAATAATAAAATAGTTGAAGTGTTTAAAAAACGCATTGTTATGAGCCGTGCGTGAAACAAATATTTAGTGTCTCTTTGGTAAGTAGATAGTTCCGTTACACGAACTACATATGTTCTGTTACAGTAGCCTCGATGACGTTGCCCTAAGCTTGGTGCTGCTCCGAGGTTAGCTCCCGGTTAGACTCCACACCGCCTAGGCCATTCGACCAATTTATCTTTATAGTTTACATGTGCATGCGCATGGGCCGCTGCAGCTAGAACATCGAAATTTCCACTACAAATATATCAATAGGTATTATCTAGGAAAATCATTTCTCTCTAATTGAAATAGCATTGCGGCTTTCTTGTATAATGTGCAAGCAGCTAGATCCTCTTCGTAGTGCAAGCGATCTTGGTATCTTAACTACGCATGTAAATTCCCCCGCTAGGTAACTCGAGTATTCTTCATATACACACACACACACACACAATGCGCCCTGCCAAACCCAACTCCTATCCAACCAATGATATCGTATCTCATGCCCGATCTATGCTTATGAGTGATATTCCTTCTATGATCCAGTGTGGTCCAGCTGATCCCTCCTAAGATCCTGCAATCCCTAGGCCCACCCTCGAGCCGAGTCTCTCCGTTCGCCCTCCGTCTCGTTCGCGGTCGACAGTTGCTCTCATTCGTCGTCCCTCCATCAACCCTCTCAATCCCCGTTTCTGCAACCCAATCACGCTGCTTAATTCTCCGCTCCAGACTTCTCTAACAGCTCCATGCTCGCTGTCGCCAAGCTCACTCCACTCGCTACCCGATACGCTTGTTGTTGCGCTTAGTTCATCGGGATCCGGCCTGGCCCTAGATACACTGGTATTGATCCGGAGACCTTCGAGCCCTCCTGCTGCTTCATCGGTGCTCGATTGTGACACTGACATTGACCGGCCATGGTAAGGGCTAACGGCACCGCCCCCTAGAGACGACTCGAGACCCATATAGAAGTTGGGATTCATGCTACCATCGATTCCGCGGCCCCCGCCAGCTGCCATGGCAGTAGCGTTGAACACGGCGGCGGCATTACGTGAATCGAGACGGGCATGAAGACGTTCGACCACAGCCTCCAATAGTCCGTCTACCTTGTAAGGCCGGGCAATTTGCAGTAGCGAGCAGAGAATCTGAGGCGTGCAAAGGGGTGATGACGGGGGAGGTAGTGCCGACGTATAAAGGAAGTGCAGGAGAGCCTGGACAGTCGGGCAAGTATGTGGAAGGTAAAGGCATCTCGGTCGAGAACCGGGCGGTAGTGACGCAGGAGTTGGCGCAGAATTAACGTGGCCAAGATCTGTTGAGCCACCACCACCACCGCCACCAGTTGCGTTTGGTTTGTAAGATCCAGCAGAGGAATTATTTAGCGTAGTAGCCATCGATAGACTGCTGTCGCCGCCGGTGCTCCTAGTTGACTGAGTAATTGTTAAGACAGAATTACGCGCGCCCGCTTGTCCCGACATGCCTGTTCTTAGGGTTGCTGAATCGCTACCGTCCTGTGTAGCAGCACCTTCACGCAACAACTGCACAAAGTAGGGACCCCATCTGCGCGCGACGATGCGGGAATTGATAGGTATTCGCTCGCCATGGAAACAAAGGATGTCCATGTCTGCTAACTCCCGAAGCATTAAAGCCTTCTCGCCCAACTCTTCAGCCGCCCGCATATGTGATCTCCCACCGCCGGCCCAACCAGCTTTCCTAGCCGTACTGAGATCAGGAGCTGTAAAAGGACTGCTAGCAGATATAAATCCTGACAGAGGCGATATCTTACGGGGGTTGTCGTAGAAGCCAAAAGCTTCTAGCTCCACCATGCAGACATTAGAGAAATTAATACGACGGTGGTTATAATCGTCGACCAAGCTCCTCTTACGATTGCCCAGGATTACAAAAATATTCCGCCTATTCCAGAGAACACCTCTGTTCCAACTACCCTGGCTAAAGACACTACCGCCCGTATCAATACGTACCCAAGTTAGATTTCTAAGGTCCAAAGCCCACAAGGCGTATTCTTGCTTGGAGCTTGTGAGATAGGTGCCGCTAACAACAAAGTACGTATCAATAACTCCACCGTTTGGAAATCGTAACCCAGGCGGGGAATAAGTTCCCGACATCGGTTTTTCAGCGAGTGACCCATCCGGGCCTCGAATTTGAAGTTCTAGTTTTACATCTAGAAAGTTGTAGTTCGAGTAGATGAGCATCGATGAACCTGGTTCCTTGGCTTCATAGCCGATCGCACTATCTTGACGTGAAGTCTTGCCTATCTTGGCGGTAACGTTAGGGGGTAAGGGAGCGACGACGCTGCGATAGGCACCACAGGACTTCCCGAGCGATTGTGTCGAAGTCCACTTTAGACTTCGGAGATTGAACACACTAATCTGTTCAATGTAATGGTTCGCTCCGTCCTGGCCGCCAACCACAACCATCTCGGCCCCTCCAGCACCGTCGATGTTGATGCCAATTCTACCTTCGTTCGGGTTCCCGTTCGAAGGATTATGTTGCAAAGCAGATAGAGGGGCCTTGTGGGACGAAAACGTCGCGGAAGAGGGTAGAATACACGCGCAGTGAGCGTAACGGCCTTGCGGGGCGTCCTGGGAGGGAACATAAGTCCACTTATTTGTTATAACGTCGTAGATGTATATATCAGACATCACGGTTACTTCAGGTTGCTGATCGGGGGCTGCCGACGTAGGTTGATTAGTTGTAGGTGACATACCCCCGTAACAAACCATCTTAGTATCACCCAGAGCACACATGGAATGGAAATAACGAGGTGGAGGAATATCCCCAGTGGTCTCAATCTTGCTCCAGTGTCTCCGAATAAGATCTAACTCGTAAAGGTCCGAGGTAAGGGGAGCTGGCCGGCTTCGCGACAGAATACGCCCGCCAAAAACATATAGCTTATCCCCAAGTATCGTAGTCGTTGCCCCGACTAGAGGGTGAGGCTCTTGGCCGGTAGTTCGGTGGACATTACACATCAACCCGGACAGGTGAGCGGAAGACCCCGAAGTCGCGGGAGTGCCGACAGCGGCACTAACAGAAGGATTTCTACCCGTAGAGGCCACCGGCGGAGAGGGGCCAGCTGAGTGAGGTCCATTACTTCGGGGTGTCAGATTATCCCTCTGGCCATCCCCACCATCAGTTCTCAAACTAGCTATACTGCTCTGGCTGCTGCTCATATCCATGCCACCGTTATACATCTGATTTGAGAACATTGAAGCGTTGGAATCCATAGCGTTCGTCCCACTATCTACGTTTGCGTCGTCGGCAATATTACTCTTAGCTATAGTAGTCAAGTTATCTTGCGGAGCATTAAACGAGATCGCAGGAGGTGCGAGACTCGAGGGGGATAGTGAAGGTGGTGGCGGCGCTGGAAGCGGTTTCTCGAGGCTATTTTGCAAACTCAGATTCCTGACATGTTGCAGAGGTGGCGGTCGCGTTTGAACGGGTGTCCCACTAGATTCTGACACTACAGGACTCGGGTTGTGCGTTTTGAGAGAGGCTAGTCTTGAGGGCACTCTTGTAAATCTTAAAGAATCTTCCCGACTGGGAATAGCCTTTCTGAGACCTCGATAGACGTCGGAGAAGAGATCGGATGGGGATTTCGAGTGAGTGTGTCGACGGTCGTGGTCATCTACTTCGCTCTCGTAGATGTCGTCGAGCAATTGCGGACTAGGTTGACGGTCTGGTTGACCCGTAGTTAGACTAGCACCAGACGTAGACATTTTAGCCCCTCCCTCTTAGCCGCGAGTTACACGGCGATGTTCAGGGCCGAGGAAGAGATCTAGAAGACGAGGAACAGAGCCTCAAAAATACAAAAGTGCCAGAAACCCGGCTGAGTACTACTCTAATACGATACCAGGGTAGCTAGGAGGTAGAACCGGCAAAGTATTATTAGGAGACGCGGCACTAGGATTAAGATAACAGGGGATATTTCTTCGGCCGGTCTTGGAAAGACACGACGATGGTAAGGCTAAGGCTAACGAAAGACCACGAGGCGGCTCCGAGCCAGGGGTGCCACGAGAGCTTGATGAACATGGGAGATGGTGCTCGAGACGGTAAGGGAACAGACGACAAGCATTGACCGAATGTCCGATGACATACCTTGGGTCCTTGAATAAACAAAATGATGTCTTAGAAATCGACGTCGCAATTGACAATCTTAAATGCTCGGTCGAACACGATGCGTCTTCCCTGTCTTCCCTGTCTTCTGAACCCTGGCTCCGTCTGTATGTATGCCGCGCGCTTTCTTCCGAGTCCCGCGGTCTCTTATTTCCTCTTTTCTATAGGTTCGTTTCTCCGGGCGCTCCGAATAGGTATCTGAAAGGATATCTAATTGCACAGACTTTCCCGTATTCTTGCCGATTAGCGGTGGTGCCCGTTTGTAAGGGGTAGGGGGGAAAAAGGGGGTGGAGGCCAGTTTGAGATTTGGAGAGTCATGGTCTTACTCCTACGCGCGGAGGAATTAAGGCTGGCTGGCTGGGCAGCCTGCATCAATCGATTGACTAATGAATTTATTCCATTTTATTTCTTTTATTTCCTAACCCCGCCTCCTTTTCCGTTGCTCTATGCAAGGTATTTAGCCAATGAGAATTAAGTAAAATGCTAAAAGTGGAGGCAAATCCTTTACAGGCCAAGCTAAAAAGATTTAACTAGCACGCATCAGGTAGGCAAGCTCACCGAGTTGTTCATTGTGCATAGGTATTTCACGCTAGGTAATCTTCCTATTGGAGCATAAGGAAGAACACCTGTAAGGTACCTAACGTTTGTACAGTATTTCGCTCATATGAGGTACTACCCACAATATAGATAGATGTATCCATTGAAACTTAACATGTCCCCAGGATGATAATTACATATACGAATCTACGGTAAGTTCCATTAGTTATATCTAATGTTCTCGCATAAAGCTTTATTTAAATTATATTGTCTATAAATGCACTATATTAGGTATATTAACTTGGCGCGTACCTACATAGTAAGCGCAACCGCCACGTTTTTTAAGGGTCTACAATATCGAGCTATCTCACATGACGTATATTAATAGTATATTTAAAGATCTATGCGGTAAGAAAGAAAGGTGCTTCGAACGTATAGTTCTTACTTGGTTAGCTATGGCTAATTAATATAAGTGCTTAATAGTCCTAGTTATAGTCCTTGTTTATAAAGGTATAACTAGCTTTACATATCCCACAAACTACATGACCATGTCATAACTCTCTCGTCGATATTTCCTTTTTAATTAATAGTTAGTAACCATTACAAACCAGAAATTATCAATGAGAACTACCCAGTTTCCGATAAGGCATAGTTACACTTTCTTCATATATTTAATTTATAACAAGCAAGTCACAGATGACATTTCAAGTTAAAAATACAGCGTCTAGCCATTCACATGCTTTTAAATTGTAGACAAAGCTACCCCAAGCATTACCACTCCGAGTAAACCAAGGCAGTAAGCTAGCTAGCTAGTTTCAGGCGGGCTCGGGCTTACTTGGTAATGCGAGACGATTATATTCACTAGTTCTAGCCAAGATAGCACTTTAGCACTAAAGTAAGACTTAGGGAATAGCTTTTTTTATTGATTTTCATTATCTCTAGTGTGGAAGTCACGGAGTAAGGCATACTTCCTTCCAGTACAATGTTTTCATAACAAAGCAAAAGAGTCGAGTAAGTCTGGATACATTGTATCCATTTTCCCTAAATTTCCACCATGTCTTCCCATCCTAGAGCTTTAGCTGTTTACGAAACAGTAGCCTTCTCCTTAGGGAGAGGGGTGAATCTCAAGTACGGCTTAACGATACGGAAGTCGGGGAATAGCTCCTTAGCCTGCTCGTTCTTGACGCTAGGGTGAACGATAACGTCGTCACCGGGGACCCAGTTGATGGGTGTTGTGATCTTGTGCTTGTCTCCAGTCTGGAGAGAGTCGACAATTCGCAGAACCTCAGCCGAGTTGCGGCCAGTAGAAGCGGGGTAGGAAAGGATGGTTCGGATGGTCTTCTTGGGGTCGATGATGAAGACAGAGCGGATGGTAAAAGCAATGCCCTTCTCGTCGACGTTGGTAGTGTCTTGGTAGTCAAGCCTAAGGCGTGCGTGGCCCTGTCAGAATTCGTGTCGAGACCTAGGGTAGAGCACATGACAACTTACATGTCGTAGAGGTAAGCAACTTTACGCTCCTTGTCCGCAATGATGGGGAATGCGACATGGCCGCCCGTGACCTCGTCAATGTCCTTGATCCAGCTCTCGTGGCTGCCACGAGTATTGGCGGACAGACCGATCAGCTTGACGCCTCGCTTGGAGAACTCGGGCTCGAGCTTGGCAAAGGCGCCAAGCTCGGTGGTGCAGACGGGGGTGAAGTCTTCCGGGTGAGAGAAGAAAACAACCCAACCGTCGCCGACGAACTCGTGGAAGTCGATGGGACCTTTGGTGGTCTCGGCCTGGAAGTTAGGGGCAATAGAGCCCAGGCGGAGGCTACATCAACGTGTGAGCCGGATGGACAGCTTAAAAGCTCAGTATAAAAATTTCAGGAAACTTACGGTGCAGCTCGGGAGTCAGCCATTGCGATTAGTAGGAGTCTAGTATAAAGATTTTGGAGGGAAATGCGATTGGGTATCTGGTGAGGATGGGTATCACGAGTCAGAAAGTAAAAGGAAGGGAGAGGAGGTGGTGGAAGGGAGGGAGGGCCGGTTCGATGCCGGGCTAGCGCACGACGTCAGCTATATAATCACCACATGGAGCTCCAATAAGTAGGTTAGTCCGTTCGCTCGGGATACTGTTCACATGCGGCTGGCTAAGCTGAGTAGGCCATGGATCGAGATAGATAGATTGGTTTAGGATTCACGCCTAGCCAATAGCCGGCTCTACTCATGGCTATCAAGACCTAAACAGGAATCTACAGACTACTTTCGTAAATGTCGCAATTCATTGATTATCTTGTGTTTTCTTGTCGAAGACTACGTTTTGACGTGCCCCGCGCAGCCCACGACGTCCTGGCGCAAGGCCGAGTCGATAGAGTAACCCCTCACTAGTCTACTTCTAGAATGGGAGCATATTGCGTGCTGCAACGCTACTCTCATTGGCTACCAGCTTCAACCTTTCTCCGCATCATGTCATCAAAGCCTTACGATGGTATCATCAACATCCCCCGCCATATACATCTAGTTCCGGCCCTCGGTCGGCTCCTATCACCTAGAAGTGGCGGATATCGGTGGGGGATGTCTAACCTAGGCAGATATTCTAACGTCTGAATTTATACAACATGTCTTGGAACTAATGAGTGTTATGGATTATGTAGTATAAATAGTAAGCCAGCTTTTCCAAAGATCTAATATACTTTTACAAACGAAATTAGCTAAAAGAAACAGTAAACCTATTTAACACTCGATTTTCTATAATATAGTTTCTCTAATACCTTTAATATTCACAGAAAATCCTACATGTTCAAAATGTGAATCAAACCTAAATACTTTTTAAACATAACGTGAGATCATGCTTATCCGTGTAATTACGCTCGAGCCCAATTCGATTGTCTCTTTATATAGAATCGATTCTCGAATATAAACGTCGTGGCACAGAAGTCTCCGAGAAATACCGACGTACTTAAGAATATCACTTTCGAAATGACTTTGCTACCACTTATCACCTGGACTTCACGGTTCAAAACATATATAGGTAACCAACCATTCTCACTATATAGACTTAATTAATTATAATAGAAACTAAAATCATGTTCGCTGCTTATATTGTACGAAACTGGCACGGAATAAGAAGGGACATTGTTTTATGAGTTGCCAGTCTAAAGCAAAACGGATGGAAGCTGTTTGAATGTATTTTAGTAGGGAAAGCGATAGCAAGAGAGAAGGGTATGATATACTCCATTTTTCAAGGTCTTTGATCAAGTTACTATAGCGATCTTGCACATGTGGGCAATTTTACTCACTTTACCCCCAAGTGCTGGCGTGACATAAATACACAGTCAACTTATGTTAGCAAATAAGGACTTTGAAAAGACTCAAGATATGCCCCCTTAGGAATTATATAAAGAGATTGGCCAATTGGGTTTAAATGAGCAATGTGCCGTGTCTCCCTAGCGCTTGAGGACTTAGTTTTGGTTACGGCTTCGTCCTGAGAGGCTTGAAGATAGATAGAAGATATCCACCAAACATACAGAAAACAATTTCGAAGCATATCAATTGCTCTTATTAAAGTATTTAATTGCAAAAGCGACAAATATTATAATTACCTCCTAGGTGTATACATATTAGGCTCATATAACCCGTAAAACAAGCCTTCCAATGCCATCCTATTGATAACAGGAGACATCTAGAAGACTGTGGGGAAGCTACTAATTATAGAACCGTCGACGGGAGAGAAAGCTATAGGCTGCACCAACCGTACGATTGCACGAATAGATTTCTCGTATTCCAGCCTAGAATCCTGCCCGGCAAAGAGCAATGACATCTACTACACATTACACACACCCATTACCACATATAACGGCGGCATTGTAACATGTCAAATATCAGGGGCCCACCGGGCCGCGTACCGCAGTGCATAATCAAGTTTAAAAGGATCAGAACTGCCGCTCATTGTAGCCATACAAGACCGTCTGTCCACCTTGTGAGGATCCCACCTCGCCTCAAATATCTTGTTTTCCAGCGTATGTAAATGCAATCCGCGTAAACTCACTCCTAAGCCAACTCATCCGACATCAACTACCTCCACATACACTAGGCCAGGTCCCATTCGCGCGGCTAACCAATCGATGAAACCCGTAAGTTGGCCTCTAGGGCCAACTGAGCCTAAATTTAGCTATGCATATAAATGTGGTCACCATATAGCGTTGTAGCATGGAGATGTCCCCATAGTCATCTGATTTATTACTCCGGGGAAAAAAGGGGGGTCGGTCGATCGAATTAAATAAATTTGTAAAAATATTTGACCACAGATACCACGCCGGGTATCTAACACCCCTGCAAATGATTGGACTCCCGATATTTTGACCGATGACGTTCCTTTTTTTCCCTACCCGGATGGATGAAGATATTTTCAACGTCTGGGATGGGGTATCTGGGGAAATACTGGTGGTTAGCGGGTTTTAACTAAGGACGGATGGAGATAATCTGGGAAGTACTCAGGCGGGTCTAAGCTGAGATACTCACATTCAACATCCCGAATCTCACCACAAAAGGTCCTTTTTCTTTTTTTCTAAGTTCCGCCGTTGAGATTAGACTCTCGCCTAAAAGTCCGTGTCCTCCTTTGGCGTACAGTCGTCGCAGAGGCCACCGGCATCTGACTCTTCCTCTCTTACGAGGTCCTTGTGACTGCACTCGCCCGTCTCATCGTATTCCTCACAGTCCTCAACTTTGACCTCATCGCTGGTGTACCACTGCAAGGAACTAGTTAGCCTTCGTTCTTGTTCAAAGCAAGTTTCTGGGGTAATGTATTAAGCTCGTAAGAACCTGTTTTGGGGAGGCCCGTAGCCTTGGAAGATGCTCTATGGGTTATTCTCGTGAATGGGATATGCGTAGGATGGTTTGAGACATCTAGAGAAAAAAGCATACTGCTCCGCACTCCTCACAGTACCACTTTAACAACATGTATTCGCACATATTCGGATAGGTGTTCGCTAGTATCCCGAGTCGTTAACAACGGAAGAGGTAGTAGGCTTCGAGAACGTGAATCTCGATCATATCCCGCTTCCCGGGAGCCTCTAAGGCAACTTGAGTCATGTTACTCAGGGAACGCCACAGACTCACGGGCCTCTACTTTGATTCACGGTATTCGCATTGACTCGCAAGACGTGGACGTTCCTGGAGACACTGACACACTAACAACGCTGGTGAATATCATCCGACTTCTGCCACGTGTGCAGGCGAGTACGAGCGGGATCTGTAGCGTCTAGAAAACACTTGACAAATCTTTTCATAGCTAGGACGAACGAAAAAAATGTATACTTTAATAAAGCGAAAAGGACTTCATCAATTGGCTGCATATACATGGCAACATCACAGGCATTTCCGATCCTAATTTATTGAGCAACATATCGGGACAGACACGAGACTTATGATTGGCTCAAAGTTGTTGAAGCCTTCTCAGGCTGTACTTCAGGTATCATTTAGAAATGCATCTACCCGAGCGAATAATTACCGCAATCTTCTAAAAACGTTTCCGGAGAACGGGCACCTGAAGCGACCTGAAGCGACCTGGGATGATGTAAGCTGGAGCTTCGAGGTCCGGCGTCCCTGTAGATCCGACACGGAGAACTCCGCGTAGTACCATGTGATAGCTAGCCGTAATATTGAGGAACTCTACCTCCGGATATCCGAGGTGAATCATATGCTACCTATATAATCTTGAAGACAGCAATATCCGGGCTGCTTAAGTACCTATATAAGCTCAAATTTGCGTCTTGCTGTTATAGTGTTAGCGACTAATACCTGACGATCTTGGGGTGTTTGACGAACCCAATGCCACTTAGTGCCTCGGTGTCCAAGCGGTTTCTTTTATCAATACCACCAGCTATCGGATTCGCTCGGTAATTAAAAAGATAATAATGGAGCTGGCCATCTCCAGGGCCGAATTTCTGTTCTTCCAGGAACAAGCCGTTATCCATGAGCGAGAGGGCATTGTAGACGTCAAATTGATACTGCTTGCAGAACACTAAAGAGTCCGAAACAAGAGCATTAAGACGGGGTTTCAAGGCCTCTCTATCGACAGGGGTGGTGAGTCCTGTTTCGGTAGCATAGTAGAAGAGATAAGCTGCTTTCACGTTTGAGTGTTTAGAGGGACCAATAACCGAGGACTCGAGACAATAAAACGAGACAAAGTCGGTGATTTTCTTATGTTCATCCTATTGATGCGGTTAGCTCAATCAGAATCCTACGCGGGTAATGAATATTACCTCGACGACGTAAGTCCAGACGACTTGCTCTTCTAGGGCATTTTTCTTGTTGTGCAGTAGCCAATGTTCGACTTCCTGCTTGTCAAACTCGGCGGCTAATTCGTACTTGGCCAAGTACCGAGTGAGAAGATCTTGAACAGCACCAACGTCTTTCTTTTGCATCTCTCTTAGTCCCCTGATTGAAGTTCGTTCAGGCACAGCATATTTCCTGATTTGGAACTGAGGCTTGCTGTTTGATGGTAAGGGGCTGAATCCGACTTCGTATAGTTTCTGCCAATTAATAGCTCGGTGGTAATATCGACAGGTGCTCACAGGCTTCGGGAGCACGATACCTCCGGTATAAATGGCCTGGAAAACACCTTCCAAGTTGCATAGGCGTGTGATCTCTTTGATAAGTACCGGGGCAAGACGCTTGGAGCGAAGCTTTTTATGTATGCAAAGGAAGTTGACCTCAGAGGCGTGTAAGACCTTGTCTCTAACGCGCAGTTCGACGGGAATAGCGGCGATGAATGCAACTAACTTCTTGGATTGTGAGGCCCGAACTCCTCGGTGCCACTCTTTTTTCCATCCGGGTGGCATCATCGCCCTAAACATAAGTTGGTTAGTTGGCGATCTCCCCAATTTCTACTTTGCTGTTGGGAATACGAGAACAAGAAAGGAAGAAATGAGTATAGATGGCTTTAGAGTGAATGCCTTACCATTTCAGGATACTAGCGGAATAATTGAAACGGAACATAGCTTCATCATCTTCAACGTAATGACCGTTTAGCAGTTCCCATACCTCCTTCAGCTGGCTATCGTCAAGTAAGTCTAAGGTGGACCATTCGAAGCCGTCGAGCAGAGGTGCAGGTGTCTTGGGAATCTCTTCGACGGTCTGAATCTTGATAGGTCCTTCCTCGATAGGCTGGTCGGGGTTGTCTTCTCCAAATTTGGGGACAGGTTGGGTGGCCCAGAACTTGTAGGCGCCCATATCCTTGACATTTTTCCCACTAGAAGCCAACCCCGTCATGATATCCTGGAGGTTGAGGCGCTTAAGGGCGTCGGTAGCAGAGTTGATATCGTCATTGCTCCCGCTGCCAAGTTCGTTTGCGAGGGCGGGATTGAGGTCGAGAAGTTGGGTTACTTGGTCCTTGGAGAGTCCATCAATAGCTTTATGTATCTTCTTAGCAGCCCTTTCCTTTTCCTTTTCCTTCTCTTTCTCCTTTCCCTTACCCTTGACGGGCTTTGATTCTTCGGACATGGTGTACTATGTGCCGTGTGCCGTATGCCAAGTCGTAGGTCGAGGGTAGAAGGATGAAGCGTGCTCTTAATAAAATGCTTGGAAGTTGTGCAGGTTAAGAGCTAAGGTAAATAAATGCATCTCATCGATGGCAGGGTTACAGTGCGGGGCAACATTAACCCCGCTATAAATCTGTAGCTGCATGTCCCTTCCTACTTACATACATGTACCTGGTGTAGATAGGGGGGCGCTACTTAATCTCAGGCACGTAAGTGCGTATATGTATTATACCTGATACCTGTTCCTATATTCAACTAGGTACATGTACACTGGGTTCATGTACAAAAAGAATACTACATGAGGTGTAGATCATTTAAATTGTATGTGGGTGGGTGCACATAGATGGATGTATTAGGTAGGTACCTATATATATATATATATATATATGAATGTATATAAGATAAGGTAGTCTTGGCTCTGGAAGTTTGCGTATGTGAATTTTATTAATGCAAAATTCTACTTTTCCGAGGATTAGTTGAGGTCTATAATGTTTGATATTACGACGTATAAAGAAGCTTAACTAGGTGCTTATAGCATCGAGCCCAAACGATCTCATGACGGCGAGCGAGACTGACGAAGACACCATTACTTCGTTGTGTCCTTCTCCTGTTAGTATTACTCCTAATTTTCGTTTGCTTGACTAGGCTACTTACCACTATACGACACAAGTTCTTCCCTGATGATAATATCTGGTTTAGCTTTGGCAATCGTCGTAAATGTCTCATCCTCTTTGTGCAGGGTTCGCTGTTCTTTCCATGATAAGAAGTTGTCGTTGTCCAAATTTTCTCCAATAGTAGCGCTAGCCGCAGATTTGAATAACGCATCGCTCTCACGAGACGGTACCGCTAAGTCATTCTTGGCATGGATAAAAGTCAGCCGTAGCCTTGTTCGTGTCAATCTCACCACATGGGCAAGCCGGTCTGCCGACTTCCACTTATCCACGATGAAATTTTGGAAGAACCGGAGGACCGGCGGGATCGGGCGAAGCAGCGAAAGCACTGGGATAAAACCCGCTGCTGAATATGAAGAAAGAAGAGTTGGTAGGTCCGAGAACCCGGCTATGAGAATGATACCCGCGAATTCGATTCCTTGCATAGCGAAATGCTCTGCGACGCCGCTCGTAACCGCCGTTCCGAGGCTATGGCCCATTATGACAATCCGGCTGGCTGAGATGCCAGCCACTTGCATTGCCCAATCCACGGCAGCAATACCATCGTGGATTAGCCCTGCCTCTGATGGCGTACCGGTCGATTTACCAAAGCCACGGTAATCAATGGCCAGAACATGGTAATGTGATGAATCAGTCAGGGTATGATAACTGTCGGGGCGATACCCCTGGGCAACATGGCCACCGTTCTGTTGCGTATTAAAGTTAATAATCACAACACTAACCGACGCTATATTTCGGGTCCTCACTAACCCCATGAACTGCAGATTGACAGTTAGTATTATTAGTAGCAATATACGTGGTATAAGTTGGATCTTCATACAATATATTACAAGGCGAGCATCGGGTTCATCTTTGAGCAGCTTAAATGATGCCGTCTTGGTAATATCGTCCGAGTAGCCTCGTTGTTGAGCCTGGAGCTTGTTCTCGTGCTTCAAGTAGGTTGTAAGAGGTAGAATATGCCACGCATAGATGCTTTCCCCATCAACGGTACTTAGCGAGAAAGGCGTTACCTGGTTTCCTTTAGATTGATTAGATCAGTTAAGGTGTTACTTCACATGAACTTACTAGCGAACCCCCAATACTCTGGTTTATTTAAGTCATGCCAGAACAACGTATTAATTCGATGACAGTACAAAAAGCTACAGGCGTCCTAGTTAGTAGCACATTATAGCTGCATTTCGTAAACGAGAATCGATGGCCTTACTGTCTCTGAAAGAAAGGAAAGGCGCCTAGTAATATGAAAAGTAGATAGAGACCAAATGGGACGCCTAGACTAATGCTTACGGGGATAGCCCACCGTGGAGTTCGCGAGGTCATAGCTGTTAAGGAGACTGGCGCTTCCGGTCCCCTTTAGTACAGTACTCTGTATACTCTGAGGGATAAGTTGAATGAAACAATTGATATTATACAATGTAGGTATGTTGGATCATGCAGGTGAGATCCATGCTGGTTGAAAATCAAGTACATCTTGGTACCTGAAGCTTCATATAGAATATAACCCGGTACATTAACAATGGCTTATAAGTGCATAAACTAATATGTCTAAGCCAGAATATAGGTTTATTAGAGTTTTACGTATTAACGCAGCTACGGATGACCCTTTCAAAAGTTATGTCCATAGGAAAACCCCTGCCGGGCCCGATACGCACTGACCATGCTTGGTGACAGCTGCTCACCTATTTAAGGCATGTATTATATTTTACCCTATTATTCTAAGCCAAGATATTTCCCTTTTAAAAAGATTATAAAATTATAAAAAGTTATATTTACATAAGTAATTGGATTAAAATTTGTATAACTTCTTTTTTTATTATAATTCCATTTTTCCGTCGGGATATAGTTTAAAATATAAAACAGGTATTTTATATATACATTTATCTTTAAGTCGCCAGGTGTCAGCTAATCATGGTCAGTGCATGTCGGGCCTGACAGGGGTACCTTATGGACAAAACTTTTGAAAGGGTCATCCGTACAAGGCTTGCATATGAATGCGGGTCCTGCGGCGAACCCTGATAGCCTGATCCTCCCCCCGGATAACCTATAAGGATTTAGTTAAGGTACCGTACTAGCGTACATCAAAAAATAGACCCGCCTTTTCACCACTAATTACAAACTCTCACTTCTTCCCTTCTTATTGATTGTGAGCTACTGTTCAAAAGTTTCCTGTCCTGTATCCCATCACTCAATCGAAAATCAAAGCCGATCTCACGTCGAATTACCCTACGTTATTGATAGACTCCCGTCCTTATTTACACAGTATTCTCGTGCTTCTCTTACCATACAGTAACTTACCACTACGTGACATTAGCTAGTCCTTGGCATTATCATTGTCGTTTCGAGAGATTGCTATACTACCAAAATGCACTTATAAATTTCCTTCTATTGATGGAATATAGCGTCTCTTTTTCTTCTCTTCACATTTCCACGGTTGCTCACCCAAGCTTCTTCGGGAGGTAGAAGCCCCTGTATACTTCGTTTCGATGGAGAGAAAACGAAAGCTACCGGCGAGGGCTGCCGCAAGAGTTGAACATGTCTCCAAAAAACGAACTGCGACACCTCCCGAGCGATCTGTAACTCCAGTTCCTGCATCGGCATCGACTCCGGTACCTACTGAAACTGTTCCGGAAGACCCTCCTCTACCAAAATCTATCCAGGCCGGTAATCCCTTACCGACCGTCGAACATCCGCAACCCGATGATCTCTCAAGTAAAGATTACCAGTCCATTCAAGAAAGGTATATCTGCTTAGCCTTCCCTATTGGCAGAAAATTCGCTAATACTATCATCTTAGTGGTGTACTAGCCGAATCACTCTTAAGATCGCGTCAAAAATGGGCTCACGAAGGCGTCTTTGAGAAGTATTGGACTAAACCCACGAAGCGGAAAGGCGTCGTCAAAGAGGACCCCAACAACCCCCCTAAAGATAGCATGACCAAGCTCGGTCAAGTTACGATTACTGTCGAGCCTCACGTTCTCGAAGCTACTATGTACGCTGTCAAAGATCCGAAACCTGCGCCTACTACCAACTCTACTTTCCGACCCATCGTACAATATGGTCCTCCAAATGGTGCCATGCCCCCTCCTCCGAAACCGAGCACACCATCCACACCGAGCGCACCGGTAGCCTCGCCTTCGCAGCCGCCAGCTCAGCCACCCTCGCAACCATCCTCGACAGCGCAACCGCCAGTACAAGCGCAAGGCCAGACACAACCTCAGTCGCAGACGCAGCAATTAGATCTGCAGCGACCTCCATCTACCACCATACCTCCTAATAAGCCATTAGCCTCCCCACGTGGTCTAGACTCGGTCCTTGCCGCTCCTCAGCACCCACCGACGATCCCTCCCACGACAGGCCCCTCACAGCCAGCACCCCCTCAGCCTAGAGGGCCCTCTCAACCCGGATTGAGTACCAACCGACCGCTACATGCTCCTAACTCAGGAGCAACTACAGCCGTCACGGGACCGGCTGTCCCCGCGCCAGCCAAGTCTTCTACGCCAGCTGCAAAACCGGCAACGCCGACTGCTCCCGGTGCTGATCCTATAATAGTTACACTGGCGGAGAGAGCATCTGAAGATCCCCAACTCCGCGATCTTATGAAGCGCGTTGCTATTGGCGACGCCGCACCCGCTGAGCTGGCGCACTTTCAAAAGATAATTGACCAGATTACCGCCGATTATAAGAAAAAAGGGGGCCAACACGGTCCATCAGCGGATAGGCTCATCGTAGACGGAAGAACGGTCAAGTATTTCGCCGACGAGGTCCGAACTATACTTGAAATCGTTCTCGCTTCCAACCCGCATCAGAGATCCAATGATCTGAGGACACCATCAGGAAGCGATCCATTAGTAATTCTGCTCGTGAAGAAGGCCTTGGATGATGTGGTTACGCGGGACATTGTTAGGAGAATAGCTGAGGGCAAAACTAAATTCACAGATACCACGGATTTGAAGACGACTCTTGATAAACTGAAAGATCTTGTAGTGAAGGAAACCTCAAAACCCCAGCAGGTGACAACAGGGGCTTCTCAGACAACGGCTACGAACGGGGTAGAGAGTCCTACTGTACAAACCGGTTCTGTGTCAAGAAAGGCATCACTTACCGGGCCTGGACAACCTACTCATACGTCTAATTCCCAGCAGGCGCTACGCTCAAAGGGACCGCCACCATCTATCAAACCCGATATCTCGGCTATCGTACTGGAATTTTCTGGAGGTACCGGTGACAGGTACTTGTTCCCCAAGTACAGCATCATCGAATATGTCAACCCTACTCAGGCCGTTGCATCCTTCCTTATAGTACGAAAGGGAAGCAAGTTAGAGTACGGAGGGGATCCTGCATTGGACTATTATCAGCCTGTGACGATCCGGATATATGCCCAGTCCCCTAAACACCTAGAGAGTTTGGCCAGGGTAGTCGCTCCTCAGGATGAAGTGCGACGCTACATGGATGATATCATGGATAATATGACACGGGCTGAGTACGTGCTCCTCGCAATGCGCCTGCCAAAAGCGGATAAGGAGGAGCAAGTAGAGGAGGGCACTAGTACGCCAAAGGCAGATCCGGTAAATCAGCCTCAGCAGTCTAAGGTGCTGTGGAACAGCAAGGTTTCTTCTACGGCGACTCCGCCGCAGAAACCTATAACAAAACCACTGGGCGAGGACGAGCAGTACCAGAGCTTCATCGCCACTGTAAGCTAGAAAGTCAGGGTAGAGAATGCTCTTGGACGCTTGCGCGGGAATCTCCTGGATTGAGGGACGAGTCTTGCTACTTAGAAGTCGAAGAAAATGGCGCGAATAAGGTATGGATGGATGGGTTATTGCTTTGATGGACTTGAAGATTTGATATGAGATACCTAGGTTGGGCGGAATAGGCGTATTTGCGTCCCACACAATGCGACTACGCGAAGATTATGTATTAACTCAACGGTGCCTATCACGTTTGCTGCGTTGCGTTCACCAGTCCGTATAGGACCCGCCTCAATAACTATTTTTCTTCTGATAGTGTAGTTTGATATGCAGACATATACTCAGTTCTACATGATGTATTACTGTCTCTTCACCGCCCACTCAACTTCTCACCTAATGCGCACCGCGCCTCGAGCAACTCGTTAAACCATTGCGTTCGCTCGTTAATAGGAGCGTGGCCCAGACCATCCACGATTAAGCCTTCGCCCGGTTGCAGCCACTCTATCAGTTTCCTCCCGTGAGGCGTTGATATCATCCCGTCGTCAGTCCCGTGCATAACTAGGATCCGCTCGCGGCCTACCTTGTCTCCTATCTCCTTTAATTGCTCCGGACTCTTGTAATGCCAGCCTGCCGCGACGAGCTGCAGTAGGAAACCCTTCTTGGTGAATCCGCTTGTGTCGCGCTGCTTAGTGATTTCTTGAGCGGCGAAGCGCTCGTAGTTGGTGTTGAACTTGAGGTACCCGCCGGCTGGGATTTTGCACCGCGGGACGGTCTCGTCGGGGACTGTGGCGGTGTCTGGTGCCGTTAGGTAGTTGGCGGGGAAGACTGGAGGAGGTTAATATGGTATGCATAATACTATGTCCAGCTCAGCTCGGGGGTGTGGATGTATATGTAAACAAGAACGGGCGGGAATGGTGATAAGGGGTAATATCAATACATACTAGCCCCAGCCGCATACTGCACACTCCGATCCAGACTCTTCGGCAGCAGCATCGTGATCCTGTTCATCATGTTCTCGGCGAACGTAGTCGTGTTCTCGATACATGCAGCCGTGCAAATCAGGCTCAAGCTAGCGATGCGCTCCGGCACTAGATACGCCAATTCCTGCGCGATCATACCCCCCATGCTGATGCCGCAGACATGTAACTCCCGCGGCGACGTCCAGCCGATATGGTCGATCACTTCCAGCGCGTCGCGCGCCATAGCCGATGTGCTGTACCGCGACAACGGCTTATCGGAGCGGCCCATGCCTCTGTTGTCGAGGATCAGGACGGAGTACTGCGATCCGTGGATGTGTCCGAAGTGCATGGTTTGCCGCTGGTAGGCGATTTTGAAGAAACCTAGGCCGCAGAGGAGCTGTGAAGAGGGCTTTGTGAGTCTTGTTTGTTTTCTCTTGAGCAAGGCTCATCCCGGAGGAGATATCACCAAGAGGGGTGTGACGGTGAGCTACGCACTATGAGTTTTATAGGACCGTCGCCGTGGACTTCCCAACTGATGTTTATGGGCCCGCCTCTACCGGCAGCGACGGGGAGGAGGCCGCTTTGATGCGGCTCGAGCTGCCACATTGCTGTCGGGAAGGCTGGACTCTTGACCACATCCTGGACGGACGGGAAGGTCGCCGCGATCTTTGTTTCTGGCCTGGTATTTTATTAGCTGAGGACTACGTAGGTATTCGGTTTACGTATATATGGCGTGAGAACGGAGGGTAAAATACGTACATGGGATTTAGGGAGTGTTGACTTATAAAGGAGAATATCAGGGTAGGCTACACTTATTATTCAAATGGCGAGTGTTAGGCCGGTATTGCTAAATATACGTGTGCTACTTATAAAGAGCTTCAGAAAGTTTATGTCCATGACAAAAGTATAAGTTCGCCTCTAACGACGCCATTCAACTCTACTGACGCCAGTCTCAGCCTCGGTTGGACTTATTACCTGTTGTGGGTGGATATCGTTAGCTGTAACTACTTCTTAGGTGCATTCATATGCTTTATAATTCCTTGTAGCCGCTTTATTGCGTTCTCGGTGACTTTTATGCTAGTGGCTGGATTGTACAAACGATCTCGCATGATCTACATTTGCTAGGGTCTAAACTGGTATCATACTAAATAAAAATGGGGACGGGGCAGTGAATACAAGGCAAGGAAACTTGATTCATTCTTCATGTCGTATTAATCAACACCTGCTACGCCCGGTGCCTGAGTCCCAGCATAATCGTACTGTAGCGATCCTCCATGCGTCAAATTTGAATATCCCATCTGAGTTGCCTGTGTATCCATCCCTGTCTTCAAAAATCCACTGTTATCTCTACCACTACTAGTAGCAAGGTTATTGTGAGTTCCGGTCGTCGTCGTCGTTGACGATTGGTCTGGTCGGATACTAGGTGATTTGTTTTGGCTTTGTTTTGATAGAGACCGGGAGACTTCTGCGGACGATACGCCTTCGCCAAAGTATAGGTAATCCGTAGGCTCGGGGCTTACGTCTTGCTTAGCGCTTAGCCTGCTTGACGACTGTCCGCTCGAAACTGAAGGTTTTCGTAGTCCTTTATTCGATTTCGGCGCGCGTGGTCCTGATTGTGACGAATCTTTCGATGTAGACTCGGTTTGCTCTAATGATGCTGTGGGAGCCTTAACATTGTCGTCCTCCTGGGGTTTTCCTTTCCGACTTTGTGGTTTTATAATGCTCTTTACACGTGAGATGAAGCCTGCAACGCCCATCTTGAAAATATACAATAGGTGTATGAGATTTAGGTACTGTTAAACGCAAAAATGTCAATTGAGTAAACTTAAGCTAGCGCGCTGTGCTTCTATAACAATAATCAATAATTTACCGGATCTTCTTGAGGTTTAATATAGGTGTATTTCTTTGACTTCAAAAATGTCTAATAACGTGATCAACGATGTAGGTTGGAATATGAGGCTGTGAGTTTACGTGTTCGGTTGCAATTTCAACTTCCAGCAAGGATAGCTTTTGGTACTACCTAGCTCAGCTGAAAGTCAGCAAATGCGCCACAATAGTATTATAAGTTTGGTATGAGGTCATAAGATGGACTCTACACCTAGGAAGATCTTGGAAAAGAAAGCCTTTGCTAGTGGTTAGAGGCTTTAGAAAGAACGAAATTAGGATATGCAGCTCGAAGTTCAACTTATACCTCACTAAATAGGTAGGTCATAGAATTACACGAAAAATAAAACTTTACCTAGGTACTCTTGGCAATCGTAAGTAAATAAACTTGATTTTCTTAAAGAGGGTGGCTATCACGTATAAACACGAGAATTGCGTAATTACGAAAAGTCGGAAATCAAGTGTTTATTATATCAAACACCAACTATTACACTAGGTAGACTCTAGTGCGCGATATGGAGACACTATTGGGTTATAGCTTACGCGGCAGCAACCAGGTACGGTTGACCATAGGGAATACAGGGACAACGACGACTTGTATGAAAGAGCAAATCCGCATCAGACCTATTGTCTGGCATTCGTTAATAATAAAGGGTATCTACAATAGACTGAAAAAAAGAACACCCTATGGGTATGTCCTCCTCATGACCAAAATCCGTAAAAGCCTTGCATAGAAGCCTCAAAACTCCGCATAACTAATTATCGAGGCGTAACTTCGTGACCCCGAAACCTATTATCCTAACCGGTCGCTCAGAGAGTTGGAATAAAATTCTTCGAATCCTCTTCTTGTTGTGCAAATGATTGTGGGAAAGCGGCAATCCCGGCAATAATCCCGGCAGCCATAAAGCAAACTGAAATAATGGACCAGATGACGCCCCAGCACTGGGAAGAGCCGCCGTAGCGCTCGGCAAACACACTGGCATCAGAACTATTGACTTTGCGGAGGATCAGATCGTCGCACTAGAAATCAATTAGCACTAATAATATGCACGAAACATTGCTCAAAACTCACAATATCCCAAACGCTGTACAGTGAGCTCATCACCCCGATGAAGAGCACAAGGAATCGCAGCGGTTCGGCATGGGCAATGAACCAGAATGCCACCAAGAGTCCGACGGCAAGTAGAATAGTCACGATCGTAAGCCAATCTCGTTTACCCCACCAGAGTGTCAGTAAGAAGCATACGCCTAAAACTAGACTGGCGATCTTGCTTGCGACGATGTCGAAGCCGCAGAAGATAAGAAGGGCGCCGATGAGGGAGGATCCTAGGTAGCCAGCGGGTAATGTGATGGCACTCTTTCCTCCAACCACTAACAATAAGAGTCAGCATTTTTAACAAGAATGAGAGGAAGAAAATAATATTTGAATACATACTATGGGTGACACCTCCTTCACGAGGGTCAAGAGAGATAGATTTGACACGTCCACCTGTGCAGCACTTTGAAACGAGTTAGTATTTGCATCCTGAAGTAATAAATATCTAAGCCATAGGCATGCTAGAGGACATTGACTTCCTCGTCAACTCGATAGAGAAATATAGAATATGTGAAAAAATGAAGGACTGATAATGTCTACTTACGGCAGTTATAGCGTGTCCAAACTCATGAAATGCAATAACAAGCATCTATGAAATGTAGTTAGCAACGAAAGCCCAATACCCAGCCAGATATGTGGGCAACAGCTATTAGATACCTTAAAAGGCCATAATGACCATCGCACATAAGGAACGTTCCATAAAATTGCAATAACGACGACATAGACAGCGATAATACCCAATGTAACTTTTTGGGCATCGCTAGTGACAGTCAAGTCGCGGCGCGATATGGCATCCCGCCGAGCTAGTCTGGCGACCTCGGGTCCGGCTGCTACCACGGCAGCTCTCGCACTGCGGAGTAGGTGCTCGGAAATGAAGAGCCCGGGCCTCTCGTGTACCGGAGCCATGTTGTAGTAGGTGGGTGTTGTGAACGAGCGTAAGGTAGCGTAGGAATGAGCGTCTGTTTAGGTACCTAGGGAATTTACAAGAGGTACGAAGGCATTGCAGGTTAAGGCGAAACGTTGCAGTCTCTCCGGAAAGGCAGTTTATCTGTAAAAATCATAAAACTTAAGAATTGGCTAGCTGACGTGGACAGGTGGGCTGATACAATACAAGCGTGTGTTTTTGCTGTCCTATTAGTGACTTTCCAGTGTATGCCGAGACAAAGCATAACGCAAGCTGTTCTGCTGCGCCCCCATGCTGTGGCGGTGGTTGGTTGTTGGGTACCTACCGATGTATCTCATTATCGTGACTTACAGTCGCGGGGGTGGGGTTGCCTAATTTTAGATGCCGAAGCCGCTAACCTGGGTACCTCCACGTCTTAAGAAAACCTCAGAATACGTATCTTTATCTAGAGGTTAGAGATGGCTTTCAGCTAGTATAAAAAAAAAAAGAAAAAAAAGAAGAAGAAACAATCATACCAGATTACTTATTAGACCTTTTTACGTTATAAAACAAATAACCATATACTTAATAGTATCCTATCTCACTAAGTGCTGTAGTTCGGAATGATCCGTATACGATAATTCTTAGCGTCGTGTCGATATGATTTATACGAGTATTGCTAATGTAGGGTGATAGTTCGAAGGCAAGAAAATATGTGATATTAGATATATGGTATTGGTGCGTCAAGTTCTACAGTTCCTGTGCCTACTCCTATCGATAAAGCAATATGAAAATTATGTCGAAGCGAACAATCTATTGATATGTCTATCAGTTCAGCTCCTGTAACCTCAACATCACGAAAAGACTTCGGGGTCTCCGAGAACAGTGAGAATTGACCATAGGAAAAGACATACAGTCCCGGAGTAACATACCCGTAGAATTAATATAGCTCCTTATTCTGCCCGATTCCGACCTTGTTGGAAGGGCCGACTCTTGCAACGTTGTAAAAGCCATCTTTGACATTTCGGTGGTCAATAGCTAGGGGAAGACTCAGCCCACTATATATGCCAAATGGTAAGCCACCAAGTATATTCTATACTGAGACATTTAATTGGTACTAATTGGACCGACCGTTTGTCGTGTTGAAGGATGAAGTTCATTACTCTTTAGGGATAAGGCCAGCGCCCTATAGCTACACTTTGGGTAGCGTTTTGCAGTTTAGGCGACGATCTACCATCGCCTATCGCGAGCCTGAGCGAATCGGAGGATGAGTTTAAGCCTCGAGTGGAATACGAGGCCTGCCATGGCTGCCATGTTACAGTATTTTGAGCATGTCTCAGAACACTACGATACTGGGTAAATTGAGAAAGGCACCATAAGCCTCTAAACTGATATCATTGGGACCAATAGGAAACGATTCGCAGTGCAGGTAAGAAAGTTAGGGGGGTAGGGAGGGTGCCATTCCCCATCGTATGAAAGGGGGGGGATCATTATTTCTCCACTGAAATAATTATCATAGACCGCCGTCTACATGCATTTGAGGCTACACCTACCATCTGATGCGATTCTAGACCCAACGGGAAGTATCGATCGTCGGGAGAAAGTGAAGAGCCGTGGATTGACTCGCCCCTTTCCCTCTGGTTGGGACCATTCAGAGGCAGGTAGGATTCGATGATGACAGGTACCATCAGGCATATATATAGACCTAGAAGGTCGCATCAAGAAATGTCAAAGTTAGCTTTCATCCTCATTACAGCTTCAGCCCTCTCGCTTAAACCAGACTCTCGCTAGACCTTCGTTTAAATTAATCAACCATCATTTTCAACATGAAGCTGTTCTCAGGTGCATCGCTTGTCGGCCTTCTCGCCACTACTGGTCTTGCTAGCGCGAAGGGAACCCAAGCGCCATTTTCCATCTCCAAGTTCTCTGCAGGAGCTACTCCGCACTCGTCGATCGGATAGTGAGTCGACACAACATTTCATAGGAGTTGACTTGTTCCTAACCTTTTTAACAGCGTCGAACTCACCTGGTCGTACTCCAGCGGCCAGAACTCGACGACATGCTCAGCAAATCCGGGAACCTACCAAGTCTTCCCTTCCGTCGTAAAGACTGCGTGCAGCGACCCGTCGACATTCTTCAACTTGACTAAGCGCTCAGACGGCGGAGCGGACCTTGAGCTTTGGTATCAGGAGGCATATGCCATCCACACCATCTCAGCAGATCAGATCGTATGGACGAACCAGCAGTCGCCGACCGGAACCGTGCAAGTCTACTCAGGCCCCCAGAACTTCACCGTAAAGGCAAATTACCCAGAGAACTAGGTGCCAAAGGTACTGAAGGTGTTGTTCGACGCGTTGGCCATTGTTGCAGTGTTAGCCTGTATATAACATTCGAAAGGCAGGACTGATTTAATATGGTTGTTTGTAGCCGTGGGACTGCGGTGAGGTATATTAGAGAAGGAGTGCGATTGAAGGGACATGTGCGTCGGTCTTAAGAGTAAAGCCATGCTTCCACCTTTTTTTAAAGTAGATAGCAATGTAATTTTTGAGATCATCATCAAACGCTTCCACCATATTAATATGTTGGACCTGTAGTGATGTTTCCGTACGGATGCGGACGTGATGTAATTACCCAGTGGTATTTCGTACCAGGTACCTGGCGTAACGCCGCCGGGAGCCAGTGTGCGTTTATGCCTACGAATACAAGGACTTAAGATATAGTATTACGATTAGTAATAGCATCTAAGTGAGTTGCGTAATATTGTTAATTATTAAATTTATATAAAAATTATAAGAATAATTATATATATAATTAAAGCCATTCCGTAAGCAGTAATGCTTTATTAATAATTAATTTATATGTAATAATAAATTTACATTATTTTTTTTTTATATAATTATTTTCAATTATTATAATATTTCCTTTTAATATATTTTAATTTAATCGTTTTTATAAACGTTATTTATTTTAATTTAATAATTTTTTATTAACGTATTATATATTATAAATTAAATGTTTATTTTAAACGTAAGTTAAAAATAAATTAATGTTATTATATTTATTTTATAATAATATATTATTAAAGTTTTAAATTTAATATATATTATTAATATAATAATTTTTAATAATTTAAAAGTTATTATAATAAAGTTTATGTTTAATAATCTATTATTTTATTTATAATATTTAATTTTTAAACGCGTACGTTTTAATTAAACCTTTTTTTTTTATAAATATACGTATATTTAATTTTTTGTTAATTTATTATTATTAAAGTTACCATAAATTAATAGTATTTTATGTTATGTAATTAATTGTTTTACGAATAATATTTTTTTTTTATTATTTTACGTATGTATTTATTATATTTAATTAATTATTAATTTTATAAAAATTATATATTAAATATTAAATAAAAATTATTATATTTTTTTAATTTAAAAATATAATTATATATAATTAACGCTTTTTTTAATAAATTGAAAAAATTTGCTATAAAATTTATTTGGTATTTACGTAATATAATTTTTTTAATATTTTTGTTAACTTTTTTTATTTTACCGTTTTTTTTAATTATAATAATATAAAATATTTAATTATTAAACTTTTTTCTTATATTTATTTAATAATATTTACGTTTATAAATAATTTTATATTATTATTAATTTACTTTTTTAAATAATTATATATATTGTTAATATATATAAATAATAATTAATATTTAACAAATATAATATTTTATATTAAACATATTTTAACTTATTTTATGGCGTATTTTACAATTATTAATAAAATATATATAATAATTAATATATAATTAATTATTTATTACGTTAATAATATTAAAAATTAAATTAATTATAAATTAAATAATAAAAAATTTAATTTTTTCATTAATTAATAAATAAAACATTTAATAATAATTTATTATATAATTAATATTATATTTAAATATTAATATTATTTTAATATTTCTTTTATATAATTTCGATTATAATATAATTTTAATTATAATAAATTTTATATAATTAAATAATTAAATTATTATATTTTAATATTTTTTAAAAATTTATAATTTTATATATTGTTTTTATTATATATAATAAATTTTTAAAAACTTTATTATATTTAATAACTTTATATAAATATCTTTTATAAATAATAAAATAATTATTTGTTTATTTTTCTTTAATAATATTTAATAATGTTATTAATAAATATCATTATTATATAAGTTATTAAATAAGTTATTATATTTATTTTATTTGTATATTAACCACATTATTAAAATAAACCATAAAAAAAATCTTTTTTTTTTTTTTTTTTAATTTATTAAGTTTTATATTAAATAAAACTTTATAATTGGTAGTTTTATTTTAATAAACGGCTTTTAAGCCATTAATGTAATACTTTACATTTAATAAAAAATATTATATTATTTTTTTATTTTTTTTTATTATTTTTTAAATTTATTCGTTATAACGGTTAAAACATAAAAAATATTATTACAAATAACCTTTTCGAAAATTATATTTTTAATGCCGAAAATATATTTTAATACTATTAAAGATATATTAAAACTTTAATATAATTTTATCGAAAAATCGAAAATAACCTTTTATTAAAAACGATAAAATATAATAATAACAAAATATAACACAATCGTTTACTTAAACCCGATACCTTTAAATTATTTACATATTCATATTTTCGAGTCATTTATATATCCCAATTAAGTTTTTAATTAAAGTTAAAATTAAACCATTTTACATTACTTTTACTTTTATTATATAATACTTTTATTTTAATTAAAAAATTACTTTTTTAATTAAATTAAAAAAATATATTATATTTTTTTAAAAATCTTAAATATTTTTTATAAAAATTTTATTTTAATTATTTTATATTTTAATTAAAAAATAAATAAAAATATAAATAACGTTTTTAAAATAATAACTTTTTTAAAAAAAAATTTATTCCTTTTAATAATATAAAAATTACTATAAAATAATATATAATAAATTTTTTTATACGTAAAAAACTTTTAATATTTTAAATAATAACATTTTTAATAACTTTTATACAATTATTAAATATAAAACTTTACCAAATCTTTAAAAAATTACAATTTTAAATAAATTATTAATTTATATAAATTTTGTAAAACATTTAATTTTATATAAAATTATATATTAAGTATAATATTAATATTAATAAATAAATTAATTATATTATTAATTAAAATATTATTATTATTACCAAAAATTTTAACATTATTAATAATACCATTATTATTAATAAAAATCTTATAATTAACATTAAAAATCTTATTATTATTATTAAAAATTTTATTATTAATATTAAAAATTTTATTATTAATATTAAAAATTTTAATATAATTAATTAAAATTATATTTTTATTAAAAATAATTTTATTATTTTTTATAA